GTAATGCAAATGGGGGCTTTATTTCCCCTGCCTCTGGCAGACGCCGCCGCGTTGGAGCGGCAGAGGAGGAACAGTGGGAGTCCCCGGAGAAACCAACTACAGCGGGGAGCAGAAAGGTCAACCATAAAGGAGAAATAAATGATAAAAAAGAAAACGGGGGCTTCTCCTCGCGAGTCGGGCGTGGCTGCAGAGCGCAGCGTTATCCACGGGGGCGTCACGGGAGGCTTATTGTGCGGAGGCAGTGAAATATTCATTGAGTATCCGCGCTGCCGGCTTGTACACACAAGCCTCAACCAAACAAACAAGAATAACGCCGAATCTGATCAGATCAAGAAAGGCCACTTATATGCACCAAATTAGGCCGCTCTAAACTGTTGTCAAGTCCCTGCTTCAACAAGTAGATGAGCCTTCCCACCCCCCCCCCTCTCTGCGTGTGGTGGGTAAACCTGAATGGCATTAATTGCCCCCTGAGATGACGGGCGGATGAAAGTGAGGTGGAGTTTTGCCGTGGACATGGAGGCCGGTTACAAAGAGAGGCCGAGGACGGCTTGCAGCTCTCACAGGCTTCAAAAGCAGATAAGGGGCCTTTTTTTTGCACAAAGGATCCTCTTTTTTTCTCCCTCTTTTTTTTTTTTTTGCTTAATCTTCAGATTCAGGGGTTTATTCGTGCCAGCCTCCTCGCCTTTGTCCACTTTGTGTCAGGTTTTAACGCCAGAGGATTAAATTGCTGTTGCGGAAATCATTGTTTGTGTTTTCTTCCGACCCGCTGCCTCCCATTGTCTCGCCACGTAATCGACCGCTCTCCGACAATACCAGAGGTCCGTCTCTGTCCTTTGGTGAGAAATGAACAGCGGACGGATCCACTCACCTTGTTTGTCCGGGGGAACAGTGGGCACAATATGTTGTTTTGTTTAGGCAGAGTGCTCTCAACTCTTTAAGTAGCTTTAAGTAGACGAGGACAAGGAGGTCTTACTCAAGAGAACAGAGCGAGAAAACAATGATTTTAACAATTGTGAGACTTGTTTTTCTTTCCTCTGCAAACAAAGCGCCTGACACGCTGGTCCAGAGGAATCAATCGTGCCTATTTTGTAACGGGGAAAGACAAAGGACAGCATTTAGCTCCCGTCTTCAGGTCCTCTAAAGTCAGCCGGACCTTCACCTCCGGCCCACATTCCTGTCATTCTCCAGTGAAGGTGCCGGTCTCCTGCCCTCCATCTTCCCATGAATAGGACCAGTCACATTCGTGATAGCGTTTAATGAAAAATCCACCCGGGCAGTGGAGGGGGGGGGGTGAATGGTGGATACGTACAGGGAGGGGTGGGGCAGCAGAGGAGGGCTCAACAAAGAGAACCTTTCACTGGAGTGCAAAGCCTGGATTGCTCCTTCTCCCTCCTCGCTCTCATTTTTTTTTTTTTATTCAACATCAAAAATGTGCCAAATGACCGGGCAGAAACCCCCAGAGGTTTTCATTGTGTGTCTGTGTGTGTGTCGCACAAAGGGACAGGTGTCTTGCGGTTTAAGTTGCCAGCGATGTGGAGAGGACACAAAGGTGAAAGCAAACAGTCGGTGAGGCTTCATTGAGAAAGATATGGCCCTGAACTTCTAGAAGCTGGAGGTTGTTTTCTGCATGACTTCATCATGATTATATCGTACCGCAAATATCCCTCAAACTAAGAAAGAACAAGCTGCTGTTGTTGTCAACCAATCTCGCATCGTGCACCTTTCAGTAAATAGTGAATTGGTTGGGGACTATTTTCACCTGCGGATTAATCCACATGTTGGTGCTTTAGTGATTTTGCGCAGTAGGACAGTGTGTGTGTGTGTGTGTGTGAGTCAAAATAAGCTACAGTGTGTGCGTTTATGCTAATGAAGTCACGCGTCACCCACAGCAACCGTGTGACTCGTGTTCATTCGCAGACAACAATGGAGCTCGGTTGAAAATAAAATATATATCAATTGTAGAACATCATCAGACGTCTTTGGAAACTGTTCTCCCCTCGGTAAAGAGACAAATAAAATAGAATAGATCGCACACGTCAGCAGTCATGTAAACATGTTGCTTTATGTTGTCCTCATAACACCTTCATGCTATTTCTGTCTGCACACATACGCCGTATGTTCAGAAACAGTCTGTTCACTCCTGTTGCTTTTTGTCTGAATGAATTATTCAAGTGTGCAGGTGTTTATCTGAACGTGTGCATGTTTATGTTCCCACACGGGGGGAGCTGCAGGAGGAGGTTTTGGGGGAGCCGTGTGATTTGTGTCTTACAATAACTTGTTTCAAGCCCCAGTTGGCTCAGAGTTTTACTTTAATAAGCAACAACAAACCAGCTGGGGCTGAAAACCACCGCTGCTCATGTTAAACGTTAGGACATCTAAGGCGGGTGTCTCAGGCAGGACTCTTAGTTGTTTGGACTGCACTTCGACAAGTGTGTGTTCTTCACTGATTCCTTTAAAACAAGCCTGAGAGTAGCTTTCTTCTTTCCCCAGACATCAGATAACAAAGCTCACTCATTCCTCATTTCCCGAATGACCTCGGTCTGCTGCGCCATCGCTCCCATCTCTGCTTTTGGTATTTGGTATCTTCTTTTTTTATTGAGTAAAGCAAACAAGTCTCGTCTTGTCGCAGATTGCTTTTGTCCTGCTTGACGGAGGTCAACCAGACTCTTATTTACTGCTTTATCTCTCCATTCAAATTACAAACAGCAGCGCGCTGAGGGCGCGTGTGGCTAATAGGACAGCACGCATTGATCCTCTTCTTTGGGTATTGATTAACATTTCACATGTCTCCACAGCTCGGATGCAGGTGAATGAATGGAGGACGGACCCGGCTGAAGGGAAAAAAAAGTTAGCATTTTAAATTATGAGGTACCGTAGACAAACTTCCAAACCTGTAGGGAAACCTGCACTACTTTTGCATCAACATTCAACCATTAAAATGGAACATATTCTGGTACACAAACTGGTCTGTAGCATGTCCCAGTTTCTCTTTCTGTAAGTTAAAAGTAACAAAAAAGGAAAATACACATCGACAGTAACAGTCTTACTGACTGAATATTTTAGAGATGCTGAATAATGAAACAAAAAAAATCTTAAAAGACGTTATTATTCCCAGAATGGAACTTTTCCGGTAGAATAATATAATACAGTCTGTGCTATTATTACACTTTTCTACCAGGTCAAACAGCAATATTTATCTTTTTTTTTCCACCACTGCCTTGCAGTGGGGGGACTGGAGCGGTGGACATCCGCTCACTGCTGTTGATGTTGGCACTGGATTAAAAGTCAGAGGATGAATGTACGAATCCAATCTGTCTAATAGATGTTGAGACCTTTTAAAAAACGCTAATCTCACGACTCCAGGAAAAGTGAGTCAGGTTTATCCTCAGGGGACCATGAATATCTCTTCATAATTAATGGAAATACATTCAACTGTTCATCATATCTAATTGTTGCTTACATTTATTTAGCTGTAAACATCCCCGGGTGGCAAAGAGATGCGTCTCTGTACAGATGGTCTCCATCTTCCACTCCGTCCATTAATGGCGATCATGAACGGCAGGTGAACAGTCGATAGTGGAAATGTTTGGTGGGGGGGGCTGGCATGTTTTCTTGTTTGTGCACAGTACGCTGCTGCACAACTGGAGCCAAATCTTCATGGACACAATTACAAAAACACCCGCAGTTTGGTTACCGGGACAAAAAAAAAAAAGAAGAAAGCAATGAGACGTCTTGGTGGTGCAACTGGGACGCTTATACAGTATAGAGGAGGGGGGGGGGTAAACAAGGGTGTAGATTTTTCTCTGGAAGCCACTGAGGAGCCCCGCGGCCCACGTGCACGTCTGAATGATGATTAACTGTAATTACCTAACGGTACCTGGCCTGCGTGCCAGGAGGCAGCCGGAGATTAATGGGCCTCCGCCGCAAACGGAACAAAAGCTCACATCTCCGAGGTAATGAATCGCTGTGGTACCGAGGCGTCTTCACACGGTGAGCGCCCGGGCCCCGGGGGGGGGGGGTTCATTACAACCAGAGGAATAGATGGATCCTCTGCAGCATAATCGTCCCAGACATCCTGGTCTCCGCACGGCCTCCATAACCAGTCAGGAGATAAACAGCCTCCTAAATGGGCAGCAAACGCTCCAAAGCGAACCACCGAGTGACGAGAAAAGTCTCCGATCATCGGAGACCCGAGCCGAGCCGCCTGCCACTCAGCATTGTCGCTATTAAAGGAAGCAGCTTGTTTGTGGAGGAAGCATGCACTTTGGGAAGGCCTGCAGGGTGAGGATTTTATTACAAGTGTCTCCTGTTGTAAATAACGGTCCAAGGAATAACCTGCAGATTAATGGGGACGTTAGTTTGGTGACGTGGGGGTTGCTGTTTGAAAAATGGACACACGTCGCCACCGGACAACGTGCGAAAGAGGCCCGCGTGAGATTCGGCATGAAGAGCTCTGCGGGAATGAACAGCGGTGATGTATGGAGGCAGGCATCCATTATTGGAAGTCAAAACTCCTCGAGGCAACAATGAGAGGATTTACGAGGCCGAGGCATTTTTCATGCCCTTGAACGTGTTACCTCCAGATACGTCGCTCGATAGCAGGATGAAATACAACCAGGCTGCAGATTTTAATCATTACAACGCACACAGGACACATATTTCTTGGCCCATTAAGCCACGTAAATACTTGAAGGCAACGCAGGTCGGGACAAGCTTCACATCACTGTGTGCTCAGTGTTGCCTTGACGCAGACTTTTTTTCCCCTTTCTTCTGTTTGCAAACCTCTAATCCTGTTAATGATACTTTGCCCCCATACAGGTTATTTCTCAAATCGATCACGGAGACAAAGGGCCGATATAAAGTAACAACACTCAGGATGCGCGTCCGTGCACGTCTGAAGGCCAGATTCAACCTTTAAACTGCCATTTATCAGGAGACCACAAAGTGAGTCAATGCCTTAATCCCTCAGTCTGTTTAAATACGCACAAACCTGCACACAGGAGAGTTGGAGAGTTTTATTGAACACCAAAACAAGCATTGTCACAAGGGCCGCACTAGTGTGTTAATCACAAGTATTGTTGCCCAAATCGTAGTTACATGTTAACTATTTAATCTGTTAACATCTTTAATTTGTCAATAAATATCACGAAAATACAAAAATTAAGTAACCAAACTAACAGTTCAATAACCTTTTGTGTTTTGTTCCTTGACAAAACCTCAAGCCTCCATTACCCACAATGCAACCCGCCCCATGGCCTTTTGTTGAAGGTTCTGCAGCCTTCTGCTCTACAGAGGACCGTCCTGGTGACCTTGCTTACCTAATCACGGCGCTGACATCACACAACAAGGTAGTGCTCCCCAAATCCTCCTAACGTGGTCCCTTTGTATTAATCCACAGCTGAAAATAGTCCCAACATCTGCATCAGTCACTATATAAAGACTACGGCCCCCAGCGTTTTTTTGCAACATACAGGATACAGAGACGGGATGAAGGACTAGCACATTGCTGCTTATGACCTTTACATGGAGGCGTTTGTTGACAACGAGAACAATTCACGCTTTGTGTTTTCCATCGAATAGAAACCAGAACAACATAATAATCACATTTGAAACCTGTAATAAGACAGTAAATGACAGCTGTGCGGACCGATGCGTCCCATTATCGAGGCACCGTGAAAACCTCTATATTTATAAAGTGGTTAGTGTTAATCTCCTGAAGGTGTTAAACAGCAACGACGCCATCAACCGGAGACAAAAGACTGCCGGTGCTCCTCTAGCGGGAAAGACAGCGTGGACAAAAGACTCGGCGTTCATTCATCTCCCCTATATGGACCGGATGCAAATGAGGGAAATGAGCAAGCAATCAATTCCCTAATTGGGTTTGCGCTATTTTAACTTGTTAAGGGGGCCGCTGTCTAGATTAAAAAAGGGAAGGTCAATCTCTCATTGTGACAATTACTGTATTCATTTCAGAGAGCAACAAAAGGAGGACGGCAGTGGAGCAGATGCCTCCCATTGTGCGCGTCCACCACCACAACGCCGCGTCCATTACGATACGTTAACATTTCAGTGTAAAGGTCGGGATGGAGGCCCAAAGTATTGGTCGTACTGGCATGTTCCACTATAGACAAAGAATACCTCAATATACTTCAAATACTTAATCATAACTTTGATATGTTGTGTTGACAAAGACCACAAGTTACAACTGGACGTTTACATATTATCTTTCAGGATTTTAAAACACAAAAACAAAGCTAATCTGTCATTATATTTGATTAACCACGATAAATAACACTAGAAATGTAGCATTTAGAGACTTAAACCCTGCAGAAACCCCCTGCTCACTTTAAACCAGCGAATACAAAGTGAAATAAACAAAGTGTTGAGGGGGATTTTTGCTGCGCAGCCACATTTCAAAAAGCAGAAGGCGTGGGAGAGCAACTCGTCTGTTGCTGTGTTTTTCTTGTTGTCCCTTTCCTCCCGTTGAGGGGGGGAGAGAAAGATAAATCTGTTGAAAGCTCCACAAACCATGCAGCCTTTTAACAAGACGCGCTTAATCTTCCCGGTGTTTGCTTTGGTTAAGTGAGGGATCGGCTTTGTCCGGGAGCGGCGCTGCGTCGATGAGCGCCAACCTCTTATCGGGGTCTTTATCTGCATTGGAACAAGTTCCAAGCGGGCCAATAAGATTAAATATAGCCCCTTTTTGCAGGTTGGTAATGTCCCGGTGCGTTCTCTGGGTTCAGCCAGAGTTCATGTTATTCGTATTATGGGCCTTTCATGCTCTCAAGTCCCACACGGCCCAGAGGGGCTTTGTGAGTTATGCCACCGCCGGCCAATTAATGCCCACGACTACAGCTGCTCCGCCGGTAAGGTCCACACCAAGCGCTTTACACAGATCAATGCCTCTTTTTTTGGGGTGGGTCATTATTCAGCTCTTTTTTTTGTTCGTTTTGTAAACGCACACCTGAAACTTTACATAACAGGGGTCACAAAGTACCTTGACGCACTCGAGTCAAATAACAAACCTGCTGTGCTTTGGGGCGGAGGGATCTACACAAAGCTCACGCGCCTCAACAGGAGAACCGGGGAGACTAGCAGGAGGCATTTTGGGGCTTAGAGGAATAAAGTCTCAGGCGCAGAAGTTACTTTCAGGCGTTTAACTGGCACTTTGCTCCAACTCAGGCTGACCGGAGACGAGCGCCGCAACAGGAAGCACAGCTGCTGCCGGGATATTAATCTGGATACGTTTCCTCCGACCTCATAACCCAAATGACACGCTTTAGCTTTAGCCTCAGCCTCGTGCAGCTTATCATCCGGCCGACTTGAGTATTCTTTGCAGCGAGTCGTATCCAGACTGATCTGTTGCAGCTGCACAGAGCCTTTGGTCTTCTACCGAGTGCATCAATTTACGGAGAGGCATTAACGCTCTTAAAGTTGAGGCTTTTATTCCCTCTGGGTTGAACTAAGATCAACTGCAGCCACAGTGAAACTAAAAAGGCACTTATTTATATGAGCGTATGTCCAAACATCACTCCATTTAAAACATTCTCCCAACATGCATAGCGTTACAAACAGGATTTACATAAATACTGAACCGACCCAAAATTAAATATAGCACATTAAAATGTGCCGATCGCAAAACAAAGTCAAATCACAACCTTTAAAGTGAAACAAATCATTTGTAGGCCCAAAGTTGAGGGATAAAAAGGAACCAGCGCCACCTACTGGTGACTTAACAGAAACATTAATTTGAAAATGCAGAAAAAACAAAGTAAAATTCAAGTGTTTGAATACAATCTTCAAACAGAAAGGTTGATCAAAAAAAAAAGAAGAAAAAAAAAAATCCTCAGCAAAGGAATGTTCAAAGCCCACAAATCATTCAGATGCAGTGGGATGTAAATCTAGTTTGATGCGATCAATAAAATTAATACAGCATTGGTGCACTTTCCACAAGTGCAACAGAATCCAAAAACACAAATTGTTTTCTTCGGCCGAAAATAGTCTCACCCGAAACTCACAGTCGGACCCCCCCGCGTCAAGTGCCTGCTTCTCATTTCCCACTTCCTACATGTTGACATTTCTACCAGAGAACTTGTCCTTGTCAACATTCTTGTGCTCCGGGACGTGTCGGAAGGTGCAGTCCAGCCTCGTGCAGCCAACGGTCCTCCAGAAGAAGCACTCCTTCTTGTACAGGCTACAAGAGTGACACAAATACGTACACACAACTAACAATCATGCCGCGTCACCAAATATGAGCAAGTGTCGGCCGGGGAATAATAGTAACGAGTCCTACTTGAGGCGTGGAAAGGGGTCAGAGGCCGCGGAGCTGAACGCACCGAACCGGAATTTATTGGGGTATCGCACAGAGAGCGGCGAGCCCTCGACCACCATCCCCTAGATAAAAATAAACACAATATGCATCAGGACACAAGCGCATTCTAAAAAGGCTTCCATCAGCTAAAAGCCAAAACATTCAACGTGACGACGGGATGCCTACATTAAAACACTGGATGGCCCGGTCGCAGTCCTCCACACTGGTGTAGTTCACGAAGACGCACTGTTGCTCCAGCAGCATCTTGATGCTGTGCACCGTCCCGGCTCTGACGGGGGGAGAGCAGCACATGAGCCTCCGATCAATGTGCGACACGCAACTTGAGTAATATGGTGGAAGTTTGTGGATTACGGTCAACAAGTTAACACGCCGGAGTCGACACGGTCCTCAATAATTCATCATGGGACATTCTAACGCCAGCTGTGAAACATCTAGAGAAGTGGATCTTATTTTCCGCTACCGCTCTGTGGTAGTGATGGAGAGCCGGCGGGAGTTGTGAAGGAGCTGGTTTACCTGCTGAAGAGCTCGTGTAGCGTCGAGTAGGTGATAGCAGGACTCAAGGACCCAACCCAAACAGAGAAGATCTCCCTTTAGACAAAAAGAGAAAACTAAATGAAGAAGCTTTAGAAACTCCTCCTGTGAAGGTTTCGTAAACCAGCCAAGGAGGCAGAAGAAAGACTCGATCAGCCTTCTTACAGTTTCACAGGATTCCCTGAAAGAGGTGTCGGGGACCGTGAAGTCGATCTGCTTTGGGCGTCGGACTGTTTGACCCGCTGAATTCTGGAACGACTCCGTAGGTGAATCCACTCGCCCCCGTCGGCTTCCGGCGGCGCCGCCAGCAGCGGGTCCACGTCGGCCCGGCAGGCCCCGACATCTGGAGAGAGAGACGAAATAAAACCCTGATGGGGCACACGCCGCCGAAGACACCGGTCACATGGTTCAAACTTTTTTGGACGGTTACCTCCACGACCTGGATTACCTTCTTCCCCAAACAGAGCTTCCACCGCTTGCTCCAACGTGGCGTGCGTTTTCAAGGCCGCCGAGCTCTGCGCCCAGTTGAATCCCATTTCCTGAAAGAAAAGGAATCAGGAACATTTCCAAAGTATGTTAGACATGCAAGGAGGACGGCTGCAGGGTTTCCTTCATATCCCAGATCTGCCAATGTTCCCCATAAGTGCAACAAATTGTTGCTTTAACGACACGGATACTTTGTTTATCAGCATCTAAAAATTAGATATATTTTTTTATAATCTGACAAATGCCTCCAATGCTAAAGTGCTCCAGAAGAGCCCGACCTCTGTTTACATCGGTCTTGCATCACTTAGCGTGCAATGCAGCATTACGCAACACACAGAATGACGGAGTATCTTTCCTTTGAGCTTTGGACGAGGCATTTTGCGTTCCGCCTCGTGAACCGGTGTAAACACGGCCTTCTCCTACCATGAGGTGCAGCGTCTGCGCTCGCTTCAGCTCCTGCTCGGCTTCGCCGCTGGAAGCGTCCAGCTTCAGCACCTCCCTGTAGATCAGCGAGGCCTCGTAGTATCTCTGAGGAGGAAAAGCTGAATCAGCATTTTTTCACTGACATTGTGAAGCCGGTTGCAACATAAAAGTGAGACTTCTATATGAAAATGACACAACAGGATACAATAGTGGTAATTCACCTTGAGCCCACAGAGCGCTTTGCCTTTCCTAAATAAACCTTTTATCCAGTTTGGCTCCATGGAGAGCGCCTGATCCGCGTCGCTCAGCGCGTTGTCGTACTGCTGCAGCCTTTCGTAACACAGGGAACGATTTCCAAACAACCTGAAGCAGAGGACACGCAATTCCCCCGTAAACATCAGTCGCTGCTTCAGTGCGGCGAGCACCAACGCTGCAGTTAAATCCAGTCGACGCGCTCACTTGGATTCCTGCGGGTTGTATTTGATGGCGTCGGTGAAGCACTGCACGGCCGTCTCGTACTGTCCCAGGGCGGCCAAGCGGTTTCCAAAAGCTGGAGGGAGGATCACAGGCGGTTGTGCGTTCGTGTCGGTCAAAGCCTGAGTGACGTCGGTGTGGAACACAACTCACCAGCCAGCTCCCGGCTCCTTTGGGCCGACTCTTCTGCCGCCGGGTCGATGGGTCTCTGCCGAAGGTCACAGTGAGTTTGTAAAGTAGGCAGAGCTTTAGGATGCGCTGAATATCATCGTCATCATCATCTTTCTATCGAACGTCGAGGTAAACTAGTTACCGTATCACAACATGACATTTAAAAAATAATAAAAATAACCCCACTTGAACGTACTTTATGTGTGGATAACATGGACGTCCCTCACCTCTTCATTGGGTTTTTGTTTCTCTTCCTTCTTTTTCTTAACTTTGAGTTTTTCCACAACTTTCGGCTTTTCCTCTTTGGGCGGCGACACGTCCAGTAATTTATTCTTTTTCTTTTTCCGTTCCGCTGCAGGTCTCTCGCTGCGCGTCTCCTCGGCCACCGATTTTGTTGTAGAAGCGCTTGAATTATTTAAATCAAAATCCTGCTGAAAGTAAGGCAACACAAAACTGATGGTTTCAGGATAATCATCCACGAACAAAATCTGGAGCTGGTTTCACAAAGACGGGGTTGAGTCAAAAAACAATTTTTAACAGGTCAAATTCTCATAATCTCAGTGTTGAAACCTGAAGAGCGGCTGCATCTTCTTAATGTGGCCGATTTTAAAGTAATTGCTAGATTTTATTTATGGGAAATAGTTCGGCTGAATTTAACAATTTCTTCTTCTTGACTAATAGTGAGACATTATGTGAGCACCAGCCTAAAAGGAATTCAAATGTTCAAAGTACATTTAAAAACAAACCTTTTGCTGCTGATCTTCGGTTTTATTAACCTCCTTAAGATTTTCTTTTGTATTATTAGCACGTTTCTCATCACAACTAGCAGCCTTAGGTCCATTTGGAGTTTGACAAGATTCAGGAGAATCTTTTGCTTCCGTTTTAATTTCACTAACAGGATTTTCCATTAAATTGTCTGAGGAGTCAGATTTTCCCTTTTCTTCCTCCTAAAATGACAAAAAGGTAGAAAAGAAAAAAATATCGTTCCAAGAGATCAGCATGGTTCTCAGAGCGTATTTGTTGTCAATCAGATCAAAAGCAGTAAAAAAAAAAAGACCTACAGGTAAAATGTCTTTAACCGCATTCTCCTTTTCGAACCGTTTCTTTTCTTTTTTGCGCTGCAACAGAAAGGCGAAATGTGCCGTGAGAAGAAAGAAGCAACGGCACTCAAAATGTTAAATGCCAATAATTATGCCACTCACCAATTTCTTACGCTTGTTCTTCACAGTTTTGTCCTTTCGTCGTTCCTCTTCTTCCAACAAGTCCTTTGCATGTTTATCAGCCTCCTGAGAAGAATGCAGATAAAAAAAATGAATTCCAGCCGTCTTGAGAATGAAACTGAAAACATGTCAGTCAGAACGTTGAATACTTTTACAAACCGGGGACAGAGAACGTGAACCTCTCACTTTTACTTCCAAAGAAGTGGAACTTGTGAAATACCTCGTTGGTCAGTTGTTTTATTCGCGGATGTGGTTTTAAATTATTGTAAGCAGCATTGTGTGCTTTACAGGGATGATCATCGTAGTCGTCGTCGTCATCAGAATACACAATGTCGTCCTCCAGTTCTCCTTCCAAGGTCCTTAAAAAATCTAAACCTAAGGGAATCAAAAGATCCTTATGAACTCCCATGAAATGAAATGTAGCACTGATAGTCTACCCACAATCCTTTTCAAACCGCTAAAGAAACACCGATTGACAGTGGAGAGTAGTTAAATATTAAACAGGATGCGATCTGCGGTTTTGGGATCTATATTGGACGACTCATGGACAACTTAGTACAAGCAGACCATTGGATCCCTAATCAACTCATAGAAGTCAAAACTAAATGTTATGCCAGGTGGGTTTTATCTCCAGCGTCACTCTGAAATAACCTATTCAGAAAAAAATGAACCTACCTACTAATCCAGAGGTAAACAGGTCCATGATGGAGCCTGTGGGTGGACGTCCATGTATGAAATCTACCATAGATTCCTAAGAACGAGACAAAGAGATAAAAATGCATCCATTAATGTGTCCGTGCTATAGCCACAGGAGAGCGTGTCTACTGTGCACAGATATTAATTACACACTGCTAATAGATTAGTCCAGATTGTGCCGATTCCTTATTTGGGTTCGTTCAAGCAGAAAACACTAGATTATCTGATTACAACCCCCAAGGGAAAAAAAAACAAGGTAATTGGAACATCTCATTTTTGTAATCATATAGACTGAAGCGTTCTCCCAGTAACTTGTATAAAGCATTTACCTGCCATTATAAACTGGACTGCCACAGAACTGGGAGGTGATAATTTGACGTGGATGTCAGATACATTACGTGTTACAGTATCACACTGATAATACGACTTAGACCTGTTAATCATAAACAACAACAACAACAACAGCCCAGCTGCTTGACTCATACTCACGTGCGTGCGCATGAGCCTCGAGTCCTCTCGGATCTTTGGCATAGGAGCGCCACCTGGACGGGTGGAGCAGCAAGAGGGGGTGGAGGAGGAGGTTTGGGGGTAACAAGGTCAAACACAAAACGGCACCAATGGTTTCGACTGAGACGAACAGACGTGTGTGTGTGAGGCTCTCCTCGTCGGGAGGATGACCGGGCCGCACGGTGGAGGCCAGCTTTCGTTAGCGGCTAAATGAAACTCACCTGAAATAACCGGAGTGACGGAGGCTGATTTGATCTCACCTTTAACGGGTTCCCTCTTTTTGGGCATGGTTTTATCTGAAGGTCTTTGTGCCGATCTCCCGCGGCTGTCACGGGTGTTGTTGCGGTTATTTGTGTATTTGTCGTTGAAGGTGTAGCTTCTTTTCTTCTTCTTCTTGTAATAGTTCCGCGGTGCCTCTGTTGTTTTCTTCTTCTTCTTCTTTCCGTGTTTGTCGTCAGTCGCGTGTTCCTTTAACCGGCTACCCTCCTCCAATCAGAGGCTATGGATTACCCTTTTGTTGTAGCTCGCGCCCACGATTGGGTGTCTGGCCTGTCAATCATTGCAAAGTAGGCGGAAGTAGAAAGCAGACCTGCGAGTCCGACTGAGGGCGAAAACTCCCGCGAGCAGAAATTGTGCTGTGATTGTGCCGTAAAGCAGTTGCGTTCAACTAATGTAAATACACTATACAGTATAAATAAAACGTAATTAGCAGATTCAAATAAAGTGCTGGACAAATCTGTACCGTATAAATAAAAATATTGGTAATCTGTCTCCATCAAAGATGCAATTTGAATCACTGAATGTGTGGGCCTCCATGGCCAGGTTTGTTATTCAGCTCTGCATGCCCGTCCCTAGATTTACATGGTGCACATTCTTAGACAAATGTGTGTTTCTCTAAACCTGTAAATGTTCTTAATGCAAAATTGTATAGTATAATCAGCTTTATGTTCTTTTTTGCCCTCGATATTTTTCTCAAGGTATCTCACCAGCAGCCAAACATACGCGTTTTATTATATTTACAATATTAATGTGTTAACGTTACAGATTCAAATTCCGGGATGTGTGAAAAATAATAAGACTGACTTGTTACTATTTAAATTCTGAGAAGGGCACAACCCTAAGACGTGTCACTCGGTCTGGTATCTGTGGCACGATAGAAAACGGGAACTGAACAACCAACAGCAAAACTAGAAAAACAGCTTTTAATAAATCCAGCGATGCGATGCGGTGACTGTAGAACCTTTGCAGTGTGGCTCACGCCAGTTTCGAACCGGAGCACTCAGGTTTTCTTTCGAACACAGCGGAGACGTTCCTCTGTTTTCGATAGACGATCTTTCGGGTTCCTCAGTTCAAATGAGTCGCATCGCTCCCGCGCAAGTTTCCGGGTTTTTCCTCCTCTTCGATTCCTAGCAACGCTTCTTGGATACGAGCGAAACGCGCTCGCAGTGGCGGACTGGCATCAGCAACATGGAACCTCCAGCGGTAACTTTATTCCTGCATTCCTGACGTTTTTGTTTCGTCCCCCCTCGCTTACACTCTGGCTAACGTCTTACCGTCGCTGGCCGTTGCTGATAGCTACTTAGCCCGTTAGCCATTTAGCTACGTAACGTTATTTACGCTAACTAGCCAAGTTAGTCGTGTGTATAACATTTGACCCAACGTTCATTCTCGTTCAAAGCGTCCTTGTCAAACACAATATAGTGTTGCTGTTGTTGGTAACGATGGTCTATGTGAGTTGCTGATGTTATTTGAATGGAGCGAATCACACAGAGGTGTCATGTCTCTCTCTTAACTAACCTGGTGCCCGCGGCTAACTTGTTGCTAATGCTTCGCAACTGTACAGTAGGATGGATTCAACGTTAGTTAGTCAGGGCTTTTGGTATCAGTTATGCAATAAGATAAACAGCAGCATGGATGTTCACGAACTGCCCTGCGGAATGTGTCAACACAAATTCTGCATGTCTGCATAATCACTAATGTTCCATGAAGCGTTTACCTTTTGTTATCTGCCATCATATCCAAGCAATTGAGATTACTAAGCAGTGCTTGGGTGGACGGTCATGTCACAATATTGCTATACGGGGTTTTACAATCTGTACTGCATGAAGATGAGCATAGACGCCCTGGTAATGTGTAATTAATAGACCAACATAGTAAAAGATTACAGCATCCAGATCGGATAACAGATGTCAACGGCCAGAGAGCCCAGCAGAGGTACTAGTGAGTCACTGCGTTTGGTGATTTTGCTTCCCAGGGGAGGGCTGCACCTCCCCAGTTGCCAGCAGATGGAAATGCGACTCATTCATTCTTGAATAAACCTGGAGCCCAAAGTCCTGGACGTGCCAGTCGGGACCAGAGGCGGGTCAGGCTGGAAACGGATGGATGGGAGCTTCAACAGCCGTGGGGGCTCTCTTTACGGCCAGGTATGTGTATTCAAAAAACAATGAGTTTCAATGGAAATATATTGTCTTGTAATGTCATGATATCTGTGTTGGTAGGGGCCATTCATAACATGATAGGGTAACAATAGTTAGTAGGATTTATATCATATTAGTAACTTGTATCTGTTTACAATTCCTGTGATTAATATTTAGGATTTTTCTTACCAGAATTCCAGGACAGTAACTTGTCCCCAGCGCTTTCGCTGTTGCCTTCAAACTCTGATGTGGAACCAAACTTCACTGAATATTCTTTATTCCAACAAAGTGACAATGAATTTGCCCCTTTAAGGTAACAATATGTTTTTTCTGTAAAGGTATCCCACAACAGGCCGCTTGATTGTTCGAAAGTTTCTAAATGTTTTTATTACTTTGTTTTTAAGTGCGTACCCTGACGTTTCTGTGGCATCAGAGAGATTTCACGTTGCACCCCAGGATGGCACCACTCAGGCCTCTGAGTGTGGGTCTCTGTCCCAGCACCCTTTGGCCCAGGCCACCATCCTGTCTGAAGGAGCGAGCAGCTGCTGCTCTCTTTCCCAGCACAGTGTGTCACTAAACGAAAGCAGGCGGGAGGAAACCGTTCACTCCCCACCCTTCACTGACAGACCGGGAGTACAATCCAGAGATGATGCCAGCAGCAGAGAGAAGGACATTGAGTCCCTAAAGGACGATCTGGATAAGAAAGTAGGAGCTGCTGCTGAAGATGAGACACTCTTCCTGCGGAAGGATATTCTGGCCCAGCGTCTTCTGGAACTCCTTGAAAAAGACATCGGCATGCCAAGCAGCAGCAGTAGTGCGTTCAGCTCCACCTCACAGACCTCAGTGAAGGCCGCTGCATCTCACGCTGACGAATCTAAAAGCCCTAGAGTTTGTAAACCAGCCACTGACCAGAGCATGGTGAGAAGAGAAGGTCCTCCGGGTGAAGCGTCTCGTCCCCGGCAGCAGACACAGCAACCCGACAAAGATTTACCGCCGGACACATCACACACACTGTCGTCTGAGACCTCCAACATCACCATGGGGTCCCGTAGCACTATACCCGATGAAAGTAGTGATCTGCTACACAGAGAGCTGCTGTCTGAGGTAGAGAGGCGCAGCAGCCGTGAAGCTGGATCTAAAAATCAGCAGCGGAAATGTCCGACATCAGCCGGTCAATCCGTCACACCGTATCCCACAGGGAGGATCGAAGGCAAGCAGAGCGTGACCAGAACAAATATGGGTGGCCTGCAATGGACGGGAGCGTTTTCAGCAGGAGTCGAAGAGGGTCACAGGGAGCAAGACCTCTGGTTCAAAGGGAACCAAACTGGGATTGATGGCTCCTATCTGGGTTACCTGCCACAGTCTCAGTCCACTCCGGGTTTTTTTAAAGCTCCACCAAAATCTAGTGTCAAGGCTAAATTAGGGCAACTCTCTGCCATAGAATCTGATAAAGGCAACTCTTCTCAGTCAACAACAGGAATATCTCTACAGCAGGATGTTCCTATGGCTGATGTCCATCCTAAAGACAAAGCAAATCAGAGCCAAGAGGAGGCTTCTTCCACAGAAGTCCAGTCCCTCCCAAGTCTCAACTATATACAGAAAGTAGACGCCTGGAGGGCAAATCAGAGTTCAGGCAAGACGTCGCTATTTGATAGCTTGCCACTTCAAGGGTTTCCCGGCATCCCGCCTAAAAAGACCGCTTACGAGGCCGTATCGGACCCCCTGAATCCCACCCTGAGTCAGCGGGTGAGTTTAAAACAGCCTCCTGTTTCAAGTTCTGTCAATCCAAATGTCACACAGAGCTCGTCCACAGCTCCCTCTGGCTCTCCCAGAAGAAGAGGGGAGGCGGTGGGCGGCGCTCCAAGTGACAAAGATAACACCGGGTCCACAACGAGACCCTCTGCCTCGGCCTTTGGGCGGTCACAGTGCCAATCTTCTCCCAGCACCACTGTCATGTCGGCCCAGAAGGATCCGCAGAATAAAAGACCTGCAGAAGAAGAGAACCGTCCGATGCAGGATGACGTGCATCATCAGCCAAGCGCCACAGTTCCACCGTGGCCTCGCCTCAGCCTCGGTCACTTCAGTGACGTGTCGCTTGATCAACATTTTACACTCTCAAGCTCGCAGGGTAGTTACAACAGCGGAGTGAAATTAGGCCCTTCGGTTGGAGCGTCTTCAGTCGTCAGCCTGGAGATCGACAACTACGCGCCCCACTGGACTTCAATGCCGCCGACGCCCCCCCCTCTGCCCAGGCCTCAAGAGTTCAACATCGAAGAGCGAATTCCGGTAATAGAAAAACTAAAAATACTATATAAACCTGCATAATATTTAATTAAAATATGTTTAAGACTGGAAGCTTATATTGTTGTTGATGCAAATGCAGTTTGGCAGAGAATTTGTGAAAATATTTCACGTAGGCATTCTGGGTAAAAAATACCATAACCGTGTAGATTTGTATATCTGATTTTGAGATTTTTCTTACAGTTGTATCTGCGTAACCTGGGTATTGACCAGTCGCCCTCAACCATTTTAACTCCATTCACGCGCCGAGGGCCAATCAGGGAGCCCGAATTCTCTCCCACTGATCTCTGTACGGTCAAAGGATCCGTCTGCACGCCCACCAAGAGCACTCAGACCTCAGAAGGTACTGATGCAACCACCATTCAAAAAAATACTACTGTGTTATTAGTGTTTCTCCTAGGTCTACAACTACAGGGGGGGTAGTAGTTAGACAAACTGTTCAGCCGGAGGGTGTGGGGGAGGGCGGGTCATTTATTTCCACATAAAAGTTAGATGGATACTTTTTTACCGACTGTACTTTTATTCCCCACATGAAGCAAGATAGGCATTTATTTAATGTACTCCTATTGTGTTTTCAGCTGTCAGTCCCAATAAAGGAGAGTTTTCAGGCTCCAGCATTCAGTCAGTGGACTCCAGTGCGTCTGCGCCGTGCAGCCTGGACATTCTTGGCCTCGGTGCATCCGTCCCTGACTGGACCAGGCGGGCGTCTCCTTCTTCACACACGGAAGCTATTCAGAGTGAACGCAGAAGTGCGCCTGATGAAGACTCTTATCCTTCCACGCAGCAACATCACACAGACAGCAGCTTAACCAGCAGCCGGATGACCGTCCAGCTGGGAGCCCGGGTGGACTCTGACCCCTCGTTAGCTTCAGAAGTAAGGAGCGTGGATCGAGACTCTCCGTCTCCCTTTCAAACGAGCCGTGGTTCTGGGCAAAGACCAGAGCTTTCTGCTGCCGACTCCACGGCTTTGTTGGAGCTGCGTAAGCTGCTCTCTCAGTCGGACAACGAGTCGTCTGCCGGGTCTTCTGAAGCTTCCTCCGCTGCAGCGCGCCATCTGCTTTCTGAAGACAACATCTTCCTCTCACTGAGGAAGAGAACCAGCGGGCTCCAGGACTCCTCGTTCTCCTCCTCCTCTGCCGCTGAGGATCCCAGAGCTCAACCCTCCCTTCTGTGGGCCAGGTCCTCGTCCGAGTCCATGCTGCTCTCAGAGAAGCGGAGAGAAGGCTCAGTTGGTCAGGAGAGTTTGTCGTCTTCGGGGCGACCTCGGAACTCGTCCACACAAGCTCTCGTGACTGCACCTGCGGTAGATACATACAGAAGACCACACGATGGCGCTGTTGGTAGAGGTTCAGAGCCGTCCATTGCCCTCTCGCAATCAGCCCGGCGGGCAGAACCCGAGGGCTGCAGCGCGGCGCCCCCTGACACCGCCCCACCAGCCCTCGCCCCTCCGCCAGATTCCAGCACACAGCAGCCCACGTCTACTCCTGCAGACGCGGAGGAGGAGGAACAGACGAGCCCGGAAGGTCCTGGACAGAGCAGCACCTTGGAGGACACCGATCAGGGCGGGATGAGCGATGGGAGCAGTCAGAGCTCGCTGGCAATACGGGTGGCCCAGTTGCTGCAGAGTGAATCTCCAGCCACGATGGTGTCCAGTACAACCAGCACCAAGGACCACGAGGAGGGCAGAGCCAGAGGTAAGACACACCGTTAACTTATCATGGGTTAAAAAAAGTTTCAAACAAGTCATCTGCACAAGCATAAATGTTTGTGTGTTGCAGAGTGGATTAAACTGAAGATATCAGGACAGAAGTGTGAGACTCTGGAGTTGGACAAAGAAGACAGAATGAGGATTGAAGAGATCAAGAGGGAGCTGCTTTTAAAAAATCCAATAACGGTAAAGAGTCATCCGTTTAACAATTAAACAACATCAACCGTCTCGTGCATTTCATCCTTTTGAATATCTACTGAATAAAGTGCAATTTTGTTGTCTGCCACCGTTCTCTGGACAGTACGCGTCTCATGCTAAAGGTAACCTGTGTGTCAGACATGTTTCAACACACGTCAGACTTTTGGAAACATTCATTAAAAATGTTTCCACAGCAATTTTGCAGTGCGGAACTTTTTTGTTTTTGATGTTTGCAGCTTATGAATGAATTTACAACAAAACATAAAAGGCTTCTTGTCGTTGCTTCTCCTTTCAGAGTCAGGGGAGCACCGATTCGGAGAGCAGCGCATCGTCCAGCGTCCTGAAGGGGGAGGACCCGACCCAGCGGGCGGCGGCGCTCACTCCCCCAGGCGGCGCCAACACGCCGCGGGGCCCCGTCGAACCTCAACCACCTCTCCGCCCAAACCTAGAGGCTCAGATACGTGAGATCGCAGCCAGAGAGGGGGTGACCCTCGCTAGGACCAACCCTCAGCCCCTCACATCCCCCTCCACGTCGCCTGCGCCTCCCCCCAGTCCAGCGCCGGGGCTGCTCCACCTAGCCGAACTCTGCGCTGCTGCCGCTGGACTCCCCGCAGTCAACGCGGCGCTCCCCGCTTCCGTGGACGGAGAGGAGGGGGAGGCGTCGGCCCGCGAGCCGAGCAGCACCCCGACTCCTCTCTCGGCACCGGCGCATCAGAAGAGACAAGACACTGTAGGAGGCCAGATTGAAGCCCCTCCCCCTTATGCGCTGGGTTTAAGCAGAGAGCACGTGGACTCTGAAGACGACAACGCACCGTCTTTCAGGCGAGAGGACAAGTTATCCGCTAGGGACAGCTCTGTTTCCGGTGTTTCATCCGCATCTGAACCCGGGGCCAGGACGGGCCACGTGTCCCATGTCCATCTCACTCTGTCCCCCAAAGCCACCGATCGCAGCTCGTCCCCCGCTGTCCACTCGGATCTCGTCGGTGCCGTTACAGATCCGCGGCGTAAAGAGTTTGTCTCCCTCAGGCACTCTGCAGCCAGCAGTCCGGACGAAGGGGTCGGTTTGTCCAGTCCGCCGGAGTGGAGCGACAGCAGAGGGCCAATGAGACAGCGGGCGACTGAAAGAACGGAGACGTCCACCCGGTTCAAAAGCGCCGCGCCTCAGGGACGGACGACCTCCACGTCTACACAATCCTTCAAACCGCGTCACAGAGTCGTTGTGTCACCGAGACCGTCCACTACCGACGCACCAGGTGGGCTCCTTATGAAATGCACAGCGTGGGATGGAGACCTTTTTACTTCACTCTGCTGTTTATCTCACTATAAACAGGCTCTGTTCTAAACCAAAGCATAGACTCTAGACTATGTACGTTACTTCTCACCTTTCCTCTCACAGCGGTGCCTGTTCTCTTACCTTATAAACCCCGAGGAAGTGAGGAGCTTTTCTACGTCCCTCAAACAGAAGCTCACGTCTCCTCCACCGAGGACACCACCATGGAGAGCTCTCACACCGGTACGTTCGCCTCACATTTAGGCGATCCTACTGATCGCTCCATTACTCCATAACTGACTAAAAGTCGGCCCGACAGTGTTGAAATAAGAATTTTCTTTCCACAGATAACAAAAGGGCATTGAAATGTAGGTCTTACAGGCAAAATATGAGGCTGCTGTTGGCCAATCGAGGAGTAAGTGCTCACTGTGCCGGGGTTTGAATAATAGGTTAGTGTATAAAAAAATACATTAGCAATACTGTTAAAAATCATTAATAAATTATACAGTATGTATATATATTACATATGACATTATTTTAATGTCCAAAGACTTAAATAGTCAGTTGCTCTTTTCCCCTGAGGTGGTTCTGGGAGCAGCTGGTCTATTGTAACGTGCACCAGGCAGCGCATTCATTATTCATGTTCAGGGGCTGCGTGAGACAAAGAGCAGGGGCCCCAGCAGAGAGACGGAGGGAGCGGGGACTGCAGACTCCTTTTATAAACATCTTCTGTTACTTGGAAAGAAGCTTTGGTCGCTCCTCCTGCAGCGTTCTTCTCCTGTCGTCTCAGAATGACGACACTCAACCGTCTTTGAGCACCACTTCCACGTAAAAAGGCTCTTTTTAATCCCGCCCAGGCTCAGACGACGCTGTGCCGCCGCGCTTCAGCAGCGAGGTCCTCGGCCACAGAGACGCCGGGTTGGACCGGGGGGTCACCATCACGCACTCGGAGGGCATCTACAGCAAGAGGCGCGAAACAGCCGCCTTCAAAATGCCCGAACCGCGACTCCGAGGTGAGCTCTTTAGCGCGTTTCAATAGTCATTTAATAAAAATGTCTTGTTGCTTCTGTGTGGTTGTTAATACAAAACACATTGAGTGCTACATGTATCATTTAGACAATAAGACCTGATATCCATCTCTCCTCCTCTGTATCAACAGAAGGAACCGGGACTCATTCGCTTAAACCGTCTCCTCGGAAGTCCGTTGCCTTCACCAGAGGCCCTTTATCGAGCAACCTGGAGGCCGCTAACAGAGACCAGGGCACCGGCCCGGTGGTGTTCCCCAGTTCTGATCAGTCAGAGCGAGGCCGCGTGAGGTTTCAACCGGTCCACGTGGACTACGACCGGGCCGAGGCCGGAGGGGATCCGGACCAGGAGAGGCGGGACCGTCCCGTCCCTCACACGGCGGCCCAGAGGAGCAGCGCTCTGGACCGGCTGTGGGAGAGGTTCTGTAACCAGTGGAGCCCGGAGGAGTCCCGCCCGCCCGGCCACAGCGACGCCTCGCTGCTGGAGCGGCTGGAGCGCCTCTCCCGTCTCATTCACGGCCGCAGGGACATGTCAGAAGGACAAGAGGACAAGCCAGGGAGGGAGGGGGAGGTGTGGAGGGGCGCGGAGGTCACAGCAGGGAGGGAGGACAAGGGGGGGGACCCCGTCTCTCTACCGGCCCGCAGGCCGAGGCTTCAGGTGGCGGAAACGCCTCGGCCTGCGGACGAGGACAGCTCGTCCTCGCAGAGTCAGCACCTCTGTCCAGCAGACAGAGACCAGTCAGAGACCGTGTCCACCGCCTCCATGTCCACGGTGGACACGGACCGGCTGATCCGAGCGTTCGGCGCCCACAGAGTCCAGCGCCTGAAAGCGAGTTCCAGCCTCAGTAAACTGTACGGCGCCATCGACGGGCAGAAAGAAGAGCGGCAGCAGAGGAGAGGACACAGAGAGACGCACGTCATCACGCTCTCAGAGACCACCGGCACTGATGAATCCACAGTGAGGACGTCCGCATACAAGGGCCTGTTTAAAATGCTCCTTTAATTCTGGATGCAACAATGTCTTTACTGATGAGTCGTGTTCATCTGCCGGTTGAAGCTGCTAAACTTCACCAAAGCAACTTTAACGTAATTTAAAGTCTTCGGATCCTGCCGACAACGATTTTATATTTAACCCCCTCTAGCGCATCAATAGTCCTATGAAGTAAAGTCAGTGACACACAAATAGTGACTTATAATCTCCGGTATGGAACAGCGTTAAACGTTTATCATTTCCTCGGCCTTCAGGTTGCTGCAGATTCTACAACATCAACCAGCACCTCCAGCCGGCCGTCGCCCGGCGCCCCCCTCCGGACTCAGAGAGCCAAGCGGGCCGTCCAGCTGGTCAGCAAAGGCATCCAGGCGGGTCAGTAAGACAAAGTCATTGTGTCCTTCTGATGATGTCACCAATAGGGAGAAGTAGACATTTGTGTTAAAGTGTCACGTTATTATTGGGACGAATCCACATTCTACCAGGATATTTTAAAAAGATACAAAAGTCTCACTAAGAAAAAATCCCAAAGGTACCAACAGTTTATTTCACAAAGCAACACTAGTGTAACTTGTCCAGTTGTGTTTAAGTGTGTGTTTTCTTTCTACGATGAGAACGAGTCCAGTATGTTTATTTATTTACAAAAGGTTTACTGGTTCTAAAGTTCATGTTTAATACTTAAAGTAAGGTAAAGTAAAGTTGCAACAAAAGTAATTATTTAGTTATTATCTTGTTCTCCTTTTCTTCAGGTGACCTGGAGATCGTCAGAAACGGAACCCGGCGCCACACAAGAGATGTTGGAACCACATTCCCGTCTCCCGGTGAGGCCAGGACGTCCCGCCAGACAGGACGAGGAGGACGGAGGAGCCCACCAGAGACTTACCCTGAAGGTACGCAGACATTTAGTGTCGGTGCTCTCACCTATTCTTTATTTATCGTTGTCTTTTTCATACTCGAGAACAACTAAATCTTTTCCCCGATATGTGCGGCCCTCTCCAGGCGTCTCCTGGTTCATCTCTGCTGACGACCTGCGGTCAGAGGCGAGGAAGGAGAACCGGCCGGAGGAAGAGGAGTGGACCGGGAGGCCGAGCACCGCCTGGTTCGAAGCGTACAGCAGAATCGACCCATGGAGGGAACCGCTGAGGCAGAGACAAGTCCACGAGGACAGAAACCATCACGCCCAAACCGAGGTGGATCCAAGGACCAAACCGATGTCCTCTGGTCTGACCCGCCTCTCTCTTCAGGTCGGTTTGTCTTCACAAACATCGCGAGCGGGCTCGTTGAGTAGAATGATTTGTACATTTTAGCTTTCATGTCAAACAACCAAAATGTTCCATCATGTGTCGCTGTAGAATAACGTCACTTAAAAGAATCTGAGTGACAAACGGTGACTGTTCGGTGGCGTTTAAGATCAAATGTTGGGGGTCCGTTCTGATACGATCAGATCATGCATTTAAAAATCTCAGTTGATCCTTTAAAAGCCTGAACACTCCTCTTCGCTCCTGCAGGAGGCTCTGGAGATGCACCGTCCACAGTTCCTCTCTCAGTCCAGGCGGCGGGTGAAGCGCTTGGCTCTGCAGGCGGAGGAGAGGAAGCTACAGGAAGCCTTCAGCAGAGAGAGAGACCCACTCTTCACCCGGCCTGGAGGACCAGGGAGGCTGCTGCAGCCCGCAGGTAACCGGCGGCACACAGTCTGTGTGTCCAGAGAGCGCGCCCGCACAGAAAACTGATTACTTTCACCTTTTTCCACGTCAAGGCGCCGCTGTGCTCAGGAGGGCGGTTCCCAGAAGAGAGATGATACTGAGATCCAAACAGTAAGACTTTCATCTGCATTTCAAAACGGAAAATAAATGATTGAAAATCCAATAGTAGTACAAATATTTGAAAAGGTGACTTTTCGGCTTGTTGTACGTCGTCACCTGTTGACGTAAAAATCAAACCGGTGCCGAACTACTTTTGTTGTCACAGAACTGTAACTGTTGCAAACTTTGTCTCTTCTCCAGGATTTATGAGACCCTTCCAGAGGTGCAGCGGAGGAGGGAGGACGAGAGAAGGAAAGCCGAGTATCGATCCTACCGGCTGAACGCGCAGCTCTACAACAAGGTACGACACGCGCGTCCGCTCGCATTCCCTCACGTGTCCGACTCGTCTTCCTCACATCTTCCTCTTCCTCTTTCAGAGGATCACCAACCACGTCCTGGGCAGAAGAACACTGTGGCACTGATTAAATCTGTGGAAACATTTTTACACTTTGTATACCAAAATTAAAGTTTTTATTTATTTGCGAATGTTTCATTTGAAAGATTATGTAGATTAAAATATTTTTTTATCTTTTTTTACATACAGAGTGGAAGGTTTTAATCCGTTAAAATAAACTTACATATTATTTATTTTGTATGAAGACAATGAAGACAGGCTTGCTGTAATGTCTTTATTGATCGGGTATCGGTTGTGCAAGAGCAGGAAGCCACAAGGGAACAGGTTGCACAGATAAATGAGACAATTGATAAATAAACATCTGCATTTTCTCTTAAACCACACTTATGAAAATGCCCATCAATTAAATTAATTCTAAAATAAAACTTTGTAAACCTGGCCTCACAAATCAATAGTAAAACAATTAGCATGTATTAATAAACAAAGCGCCTTATTTAAATCAGATGTGGTGAAGAGAAACAAAGATTCTTTGGCAAAGATGAAGTTCTGCTTGTTTGGTGAGAAGGACATAAGGCAGCGGAGCGCTCTTCACCTTTAAGGCTTTGACACCGCAACAAAAGTAACGCGGCTTTCTGGGTTATTGATTCTTATTCGAGCCAATACCAATACGAGCACTGTGACAACCGGTTTACACCACAAGTGTAATAAATAAAACATAATTTAAAACGTGTGTTATTTTAGTTTTTAAATAAAACATGAAGTAAAATCATTTTATCTGACTTTACGCAGCAAATCAGTTTCTTTATTTGTTCTGTGCAGTCTGCCTGGTTTGGATCAAACCAGAGATAAATACTAAATATCCTTCACACATTCCGAGTTTGCTTCCATGATGAGGTCGTTGCTAAAATCATTTAGTCATTAAAACACCAGAGAAATTAAGTTACATCCAGGTAGAGCGACTGTGCAGGATTTTGTTCGGTTTCTCACTCAGGACTTTATATGTGCAAAAAGCTTCTGATCAAACCGCAATAAAATATCCACTAAATCACATGATGCTTCTTTCCCTTAGACGTTATAAAAACACAACAGTGAGGATCCCTCTAATACGGAGTCACGGGACGCGTGGAGAATCATCCGGCATAATAAATAGACCACAATGTGCAGGTTCCAGTCTGATAAATATTCTACTCGATCCGGGCAGCATGCAGCAGTGACACGTCGCCTCCGCAGGCTTTATATCTACGGCTTCCAGGACTGTAGTCGAGAAGCGGACTCAAAACCAAGATCAGTCTGATCTGATCGGACTTTTGATTTGAGATCGAAAAAGAAAAATGTCCTCAGGGCAATTTCCTCCAGAAGATTATCAAAATGCTTTTTTTTTCCTGAATATAATTAGAAATCAAAATAAGTGTCATATTTCGAATCCCAAAGATTCTCAGTTTACTAAACAAACAAAAAAGCAGCAAATCCTAATTTGAAGTTAAACAATTGACTTTAGGTTGAATAATCCAATGAAACTATTTCAGCGCTGCGCCTCCCTGAGACGGAGCCGGCCGAGCGAGTACGAGACATCCAGGGTGACCTTGAGATTACGCCGCGTCTCAAACTACAGCCTTCACCGATCAACGAAGAGAACTTTCTGCCGCCTGCGAACCAAAATACTTCCTGGTTTGACTTGTTCGGCGCCTGACGTAGGAACCAGGCCGCTGGGTGGAGGCGGCGCGGGCGGAGTTTAGGTCTGCAGCAGACTGTGGACTCGGTGCAGCTGAGACTGGGACAGCACGAGGCGATGCACCTGCTCCTGGCCGCTGTGACACGGCACCATGACCCGGCCCACCAGCACCGTGTCGCCCTGCTTCTCCTCCTTGGCCTGACAACAGACAGGGTTCAGCCAGGTGCATTGTGGGAAGATCGCTTTTAAGACTAAGCATGAGGGCTTTATTTAGAAAACAAGTTATCAAAAAAAAGGTTTAATGGCAGCGGGTGCAGAAACAGATCTTCTTGATACATTTTTTCCAAATTAGACTTAATTTGGAAATCAGTAAATCAATAATGCTCACGTTTCGTCTCAAGCGCTTACCTTCACAAACGAGGTCGACGGAAACGTCGCGAAATCAGACGAGACTCGCGCTCCGGCCTGCTGGTGGACGACGTGCTCGGCGACTTCGTCCTGACGGCGAAGAGAGAAAAGAGGACTTTTAAATAATACGGCTCCCGGATCAGCCGGTGAGCATTTGAAGGACGCGCACGCTCACCTTCAGCCGGCCCAGCGTGTCACTGAGGGACTGTAACCGGGCCGTCTGCTCCAGCAGCTGAGCGCCGGGGGTCACTGCAGCACAAACAACAACAACCACCACCAGTGTGCTATTAGCGTAGTAGAATACATAATTCATGTAGTCTGAAAGTATATTGCAAAACAAGTATGTCTTTGTACTTTATATATATGTAGCATTGTATTGAAGCATCATTTGCATACCTGGAGATTTCCCAGTGATGTCCACCACCTTGACGTTGGCGCTCATCTGCAGCAGCGTCTCCAGCAGCTGGTCGGTCTTGCGGTAGAGGGCGCTGGAGAGCACCTCGGGGCGACCGCCTTCTCTGCAGGGGAGCTTGGTCACGTGAAGAGGAGGAAGAGAGGCGAGCTGAGCGCGCATCTTCTCAGCCTGCAGGAGGACACAAAGAAACCCAGATGTAACGAGAAGGGGGTCATGTGACGTTCAACATCCACGTCAGAGGACGGCGTGAAGACCTTCATCCGGTTGTTGTCGTTCTTCAGGTGTTTGATGCAGAGCCGCTGCGCTTCGATCTGCTGAGTCAGCAGAGGGGAGTCGATGACCTGGACCCCCGAACCGGAGACGGGCATCACGTTGGCTGCTGGGGGAGAAGAGCGGGTTCCCGTCAGCAACACGGTTTAACATTTTGATCCTGGGTTTGTGAAAGTAGTGAAGCCTGCCTCTGCTTTAGTCCACTGCACTTACATTCAACCAATAGCATAAGAGTAACTATGCATTAAGTAGTAGATGTACATGCCACAGGATGCCGGTTCACGCAATGCATTTCTACCTGGTGTCAAAATATCCAACTATTTAACAGACCTGCAAAAACCCTTGAATAAAACACTGATGAAGAATATCACGGACGTCAAACCATGCACGTTTCATTATTTTTTAAATAAAAATGAGCATGCGGGATCAACAGCATATAGGCAGATACCTTTTTGTTCCTCTGCAGAACGTATTCAGAGATTAGAAAAAGTGATGGAAAGACAAAAGAGGACTTAAAGTTAGAATCCTGTTTGTTAGATTAGTTTTTTGTCGGCTAGAGTTCATTGTTAAAACATCGCTGAAAGCCGTTAACGTGGTGCCTTCAGGGTTCAGCCTGATGTCGTTAAAATGTACGTCGGTGTCGTTTTCACCTCCTGCTGCTCCCGTGACGATGGAGGCGATCCCCGACGGGCCGGCGGCTCTGAGCCCGTCGACGGTCATCTTGGACTGGCTGTTGATTCGCTGCTTCAGCTCCGCCTTCTCCGCCTCCAGCTGGTCGATGTCGGCCTGCAGGGCGTCCATCGTCTCCTCGAACTCCCTGCGGAGAGGAGGACAACGTGGCTGTTGACGTTGCGTTACAGAGGACGCTCGTCTCTCTGCAGAGGGGTTGCTTCTTACTTCTCCTTCTTCTTCAGCAGAGTCTGGGCCTCGTCCAGCCGAGTCTGGATCTTCTCCACGCGTTCGTCTGCGTCTTTGGACGAACTGTCCAGCTTCTTCTCCAGCAGGCTGAGACGGACGCTCGCCTCGCTAAGCTCCTCCCCCTGAAAACAACGGTTTACCCAGCACACATCTTTCATCCGACAATCTTTCTTCTTTTGATTGAAGAGATTTGAAGAAAATAATATATTATAATATTTGAATGCACTGCTTAATTGCTACTGTGATTAAATATGTATAATTCATACATTTCTACATTTATCCTCATTTAAATAGAAGCACCTGGGGAGCCTTTACACACCTTGATCTTCAGAGCCTTCTTCAGCTCTTTGATGACCGTCTCTCGGTCCTCCAGCTTCAAGCCGACTCCTTCGGCGTCGGTGATTTCAGCCCGAAGCGCTGCGGCCCGCATGTCCACAGGTGGAGGGTTCTGATGGATTAACGAGGGCAAAGCGTCATGGCGATTAATCTGTCTGAACCCAAACCTGCTTCCCCGAGGAGACGAACGGAGAGGTGCAGAGCTCACCTTGTTCTGAGGCCTCTCCGAGTCGTACTCTCCCTCCTGCATGGCGGTGGCCATCTTGTTCATGGTTGCTATGACCATGCCGCAGGAGTGCCGCAGACACTCGTAGGGGTCGGCGCCCTGGGATCCATAGATCTGAAAGCGATGGAAGCTCGTCAACAACGGCAGCGCTCCCGTGATTTGTGCGATCGCCTCCTCTGCAGAGAACCTGCAGCGCCGAGTGTCACCTGCTCTCCGGCCTTGAAGGCCACGTCCTCCAGCTTGACGGCCGACAGCCCCTCCTGCTCACCGAGAGGCGACACCATCTGAGCTCCGGCCGCCGCCACTTCCTGCAACACCGCCACCACCCAGGTCAGGTGCTTCCTGCAGTCCGACAGGGTGTCGCACACCTGCAGGGGCCAAAGGTCAACATGACTCAAATTATCACAAACATTCATGAAGAAATAAGAACAGCACAGACAAGGGACAGCGGTTGCCGTGGTTACCTGTTGTCCAAAGGTGAGAGCCGCGGGGATGCCCGGCGCGTCGGTTCCCGGCATCCGGCGGCGAATCTTCTTGCAGAACTGTCGGATGTCGCTGCAGGACGTCTCCAGGTCCTTGAGCAGCACGGCGAGGTCGGCCTTCTCCTGCCCGGCGTGGAGGAAGGACCGCAGACGCCCCACCTCCACCGCCATGCAGTCCAAGGCACTCTGGGTAAACTGCACATGGACACCACAGGGGGGGGGGGGGGGGGTCAAACGGGTGGAGACGCCTCGCTCATGTTACCGTGTGGGTGGTGTCGGGACTCACTCTGATGTGATCGGCCAGCTGCATGGTGCAGTCCTCGTCCTGATCGGCCAGGTGGATGCTGTACAGGTGCTGCAGGTCCACATGCGGAGTTATCATAAACAGGCTGTGGTACGTACATAAAATGGTGTGTGTGTGTGTGTGTGTGTGTGTGTGTGTGTGCGCACGCGCACACCTGGTAGTATTTAATGGCCTTGGTGAGCGGCTCCACGTTGACCGTCTCGTCCAGCTGGTCTTTGTGCAGAAGGTCGATGAGGAAATCAAGAGATCGTTCATGGACGCTCATCTCAGGGTAGAGAGCGCCGACCTTCTTATAGACATCCACGCTGCACTGAGCCAGAGCTCTGACACACACACACACACACACACACACGTTGTGATTCTGTGAAATCTGGAACTAAATATTACATTTGAAATGTTCCCTCAACAATAAGCATTATCTTTATTTCGTACTGTGATCTGCGTGGGACTTACTGCTCGTATTTGTGCAGCGTGGCCTGCAGCAGACTCAGCGAGTAGACCAAACCGCCCGCGAAGCTCAGCTGCTCCCCGACGGCGCCCTTCAGCCCGGCTCGCTCCACGCAGTTCTCGTTCAGCTCAAACTTCTCCTGGGCCTGTTTGCTGATCAGCTCGGCCTGCAGACACACGGGCGCGCGGGGAGTGAAAAGGGTTGAAATGGAGGTTCTGTCTCAGTGAGATCTGTGGTGAAAACAGAGAAGCGCGGCGCTCGACCTTGCAGACGAGTCTGGGGATGAGCAGCAGCACCAGGATGCAGTCGTGGTCTCCGCCGTGCCGGAGGAAGGACTCGGGCATGAAGGAGGTCAGGAGAGAAACGTGTCTGTTGGCCTGACCCACCTCCATCTTCCTCAGCTCCATCTCAATCGCCTACACACACACACACACACACACACACTAAGTTTTAACTCAACAACCTCTCAACTCACAGAGCAGATTCAGGTTGTCTAACGTGATCACGCCGCTGAGAGCTTCTCATTATGTCTTAGTGACCTTGGCGTAGGCCTTCGTCTCTGCGAACTTGATCTTGAAGTCGAACATCTCTGCGGGCGCCTGCTGCTGCAGCTCTGCAGACGCTTCCTGCTGACTGGTGAGCTCTCTGTTCACCTCCTGCGGCGCAAACACACACGAGGGAGAGAGAGAGTTCATGGAGCGCGGGCGTTCATGTGAAGACGACGCGCTGCATCGGCGCTGGCGTCCTCACCTGCAGGTGAGCCGTGAGCTCGCGGTATTTCTTGATGGTCTGCTGGTAGTCGGCTACGGTCTCTTGCGCCGCCTCGACGTGCTTCCCGGACTCCCGGACCTTCGCGGCGCCGAGGTCCAACATCTCCCTGAGCTCCAGCTCCGTCTCCCTGGCGTTCTCCTGCAGCTCGTCGTTCATCTCGTTTATAGCTTCCTGATCGGCGGGGGACGGGGGGGGAGGGAGGGTGATGTCATTACAGCATTGTCAGTTTGTTCCGTTCTTCATTATCCATCTTGCACGCGCACACATTTTTATTTCTTTCCTTTTGTTGTTTTGTTGTCGTTTTGTCACATGCATATTTAGTTTTATGTTTGTAAATTATATATAAATTATAATATTATATAGGTGGAAGCTTCAGATAAGCCCAGTTGGCTTTTTGCTTCTTCCTGCACAGTGATATTTATTATTTCTATATTGTTTATTTTGTATTGCTTGAATTGTGCAAATAAAAAAATAAAAACTATCTTGTAGCAGAAACATACATCTGGAAATCCCTGCACATACTGTAGGTGGTTAAAGTCAATGGAAAGCAGAGGTTGATTCATTCCAGTAGCACCTAAAAGACGTGGCCTTTATATTTCAAACATAATTCATATAAGAACTGAACAGCAGAGGGCAGCACGTCCAATGAATGACTGATGGAATGAATGAATGATGGAATGAGTCAGCCTGCTGAGGCACTTTAACTTTCTCTCACCTCCCGTACGAGCATCGACGCACAGAGATGCTGTGATCTTTTTAATAAACAAGCATATTGAATTGGAAGTCAATGAACTGACGGTTGTCTCTCACCAGGTCAGTCACCGTCTCCCTCATCTCCCGGACTTTCTCCTCCAGGTCCAGGTTCCTCTCGGTCAGCATCTCCACCATCTCCTCCGCCCCCAAAGCTGCATCCACCTGAATCAAAGCGCATCGTCAGCATCACAAACATCTCCGTGGCAACACGAGTTTCCCGGAACAACTGAGAAAGAAAAAGCTGCGTTCGTCTGAAAGCGGCGGATCCTGATTCACGTGACCGCAGCAGCTCTGAGGCTCTTTGTGACAAAAGAAACCGAAGAAACCGACCTGTTCCTTCAGCTCGTCGATGGTCTTCTCCGCCACCGCCATCTCCTCCTGCAGTTTCTCCTTGTGAGCCCTCAGGGTGTCCAGCTCCACGTTCTTCTTCTCCATCTGCTTCTGCAACTTCACGTGTTCCTGCTTCTCTGAGGACGACAGGTCACGCATCCTGAAACACGGGGAAACACAGCGTCAACATCTGGATCGGGTAGAAGCATCTTAAGAAGATCAAAATAACGACTGTTGCTACATTAAGATGGAACGCACTTACGCCTCTTGTGGCCAAAATAAGTATCACAAATGCAAACTAAAAAATGTGTTATTACGTTTTTTTCCACCTGTTTGACATGATTCTCTTCAAGAAAATGTCTTCAGTCATAATCACAGTAATACAAATAAATGAAGATCAGACTTAGAAATTCAGAGGTTTTTCTAATTTGCCTTCTGGGGCTTGTCAATCAGATATGAAGAAAATGTATTTGAGGGCTAAATATAATAAAGAGTCTGTTTTATTTTTTAAGTATTTCTAAAAACTAAATAAAATTGTGATAAATGAAAAAATTACAGAAAACACACACACACCTGACCAGTGCTTCCTTCAGCCTCCCATTCTGCTCTTCCAGCTGTTTCACATGGTAACTGGAGGCAGCTCCATCCGAACCTGTGAGCAACCCAAAGTCCACAGCTGAGCGCCGCCGCGTCTCTTCTCACATAACAATGATCAGAGTTCAGAACGCACAGATAATTAAACTGGTTTGTCAGCCGAACCTTTCTCCTCAATTTCGTGCTTGAGGATCTCCAGGTCCATGGTGAGCTCGTCCACTTTCTCCTTGTGGGAGTCGACCTCCAGCTGCAGAGACTCCGCCCTCTCCTCGGCCATCTCCTTATCCAGCGTGGCCATCTCGATGGCGTCCGCCGTGTCCGACATCTCCTCCATGTAGTGCTCCTTGGCCTCCTGGGCTTCCTTGGCCTCCTACACGCAGATTATTACGTACAGTTAGTTATGTTCAATCCTTAACACCTGCAGGGAAATAACCCCAGATTAGAGAATGTCATTCCCCGACGCTGGAAACATGCATCTCTCATCCGTTCATCAAACATCTCCTCGCTCATCTGCTGCTTCTCACCCTCTTGGCCTCTTTGAGTTGTTTCTGCAGCTCGGCCTGCTGCTCCTGCATCTTCGTCTTCCACTCCTGCAGCTGCTCCAGCTGGATCTTGTGCTTCTCCAGCTCCTTCAGCTTGGCCTTGTCCTCCGTCCGCTTCATCTTCAGCGTCTCCAGCTTCTCCTCCAGGTCCTTCACCTGACCGCGCAGCGCCTCCTCTTCCTGTGGTACGGAGATGCTTCATTAGTCAACACTTTTAAAGAAAGAACAAAAAGGGGCTCTAGTCCTCCACAGTTTTGGTGTGAGTATTTCCATGCAAGGTAACAAGAACTTTATTGTTCCTTACATGCACTTACTCCACCTGTGGAGTGCACTCTTTAAGCATTAAGACACACACACACACACACACACACTGGATATACGTGCTTTGACATTTCAAAGCAGGAGATCTTTAGCAGGAGAATTTAATCCTGGAATAAAGACATCACGCCATCTCACACGCAGTAATTAAAGACGAAGTCACACCGTTGACAGCTTGTTAACATGTTAGTGAAAGGAAAGAAATAACACTGCGACATCAAGTGCAAAAATATTCACATCACTGCACCTGCGTTTCCATAGTGACGACCTCCTGAGGGGATAAAGTGCCAATCAGACTGATTGCGTTGGCCTTAAAGTTAAAATACCAGACTGCAGCTGATTTTAATAAATGTTAACTAGTGATATTTAACTAAAAATGATGCTACATGTTGATTTTTCTCTGTCGGTGGTTTTCTGTGAGTTTATAGACAATTAAACAATTAAATGTTTGACCTTATCGTGCTTAATTAGCCATGAACAAATGAAATGCAAACACTTAATTGGAATATAAACGCTGTTGTTATTCTATGTTTCCTTTTTGTATTTTAAGGCGCCCGTTGCAGCCGCGGGCTCCTTCATGACAGCAACGCCGACTGACAGCGGCGCCAAAACGTCGCATCGGATTTAACTCCCACACCTCCGCCCCCGTCAGAGCGCGATGACGTCTTCGACCTCCACCACCGCGGCCCGGGCGTGAGAGAGGCGGCAACTGACCTTGGTGGGCGCGGGGGCCGGGGGGTTTCCCGGGGAGTGGAGGGCGGGGATGACCGGAGCGGCCAGCGGCGTCTGGGCCGGCGTGCTGGGCTCGCTGCTGCTCATCTCGCCGGCCGAGGCCGAGGCCGAGCCCGACGCCGCCCCCTTCCCCCCCGCGGGGCGGGTGGGCTGCTGCAGACCGAAACAAGGGGGAGAAATAATGAGGAGGAGCACACGACCCGATATGAATGAATGAGGTTTAATGCGCCGTGATGGAGGCGATATCCGGGGCGACAGTGATGGACTAAACCAGGCTGCGTGAATGTAGCTTGCAAACGAGGCTGAAATGATCAGAAACTCGGATGCTGATATGATGATTACATGTGCAACACAACCAGGATCATGCTAACGTAGCATCGCGCTCACAGACATACAAACCGCTTCATGAGCAGCGTGATAGAAACAGACGGACTGGGCTCACCTTGGGCCTTCTGGCCGTGGTCTGAGGAGGAGAGGAGCAAGTGGAAAAGGGTCAAGGGGCAGCAGAGGAGGAGAGGAAAGAAGGGAAGGAAACAAACAGCCGTTAGTGATTCAAGGCAAAGATCATTTTTCACATGGAAATCAAAAACAAAAGCAAAAGATGGCTGCGTGAAACGGACAATAAAGCAGCACAATGAATCCATTACGGAGGGACGAGGCTGCAGGTTTTTGTTCTGTTGCCCCCCCCCCCCCGTCCCTCCCCTTCCTCCCCCCCCCTCCCTCGTAGCTTTCAGGGCCTCAACCCACGTGGACACTGGGCCTGGTACGGATGTTGTGCCCTGAATGAGTGCTTTGTGTCTCGCACGGACGAGCTTCAGTGGAGCCCAAACGCCCCCCCGGCCCCCCCTCTCCATCCCCATCTCCCCCTCCTCCCACCGCGGTGCTGCAATAACGAATCACGCTATGTAAACTTTAACATGAAGGTGTGTGTTGCAGGCTGGACAACCCTTCCAGTGATCCCAACAATTATTATTAGATTAAGAAAATCTGTTTCAAGTTTGATTCATTCCCCAAATGGAGTTTGCTCAGTTTCCATGAATTTGTACTTAATTTTGTTTGATAATAAATAAATATTTGTAGTACTTTATTCATACTTTATTCATTCAAATATGTAAATTTATAAATTTCTATTAAACTCAAGAGTTGAAATTATCAGAAAAATGAGGACAACTTCAACATAGATGATCAAATAATAAAGAAAGATTTTGAGAAGACAATCATGTAAGCTTGCAAAAGGATATTGAGGGATATAAATGTCGACACAACACAGCGAAGCCGCGACGCTTTCACTTCCACCACATTCATGCAGAATGATGTGAAGTCACTCTCGCCTCTTCTGCACCCCCCCCCTCTCCTCCCCGGCCCCCCGGCCTCAGCTCGGGCCCGGCCGTCGCTCTGACTCGTTATCGTCCTTTATCGGATTACAGCCGGACCATTCAGCAGAAATTAGCCCGAGCTAACAGCCGTACCAAACGAGAGCTGACAGAGCTCTTAAGCTGCGGCGCCGTCCTGAGATCACATCCGCCCGAGTGGACGAGTGAAGTCACTGGACGGACGGACGAGAATGAATCGCCCGCTTTGTAAAAAAGGCTTCTGCATGACGAGGCCGAACGAACGAGCAAAGCTTGTGCTGCACGTGTAGAAATCAGTGACCAAGATGCAGCAAGGCGTCTAGTTTCAAACTGGAAACATCAGATTTTGCCTGAGATGGAAAAAAAAAGAGCAATTCCCACCAAAGCGAAAAGAGGAACTAAAACTTTCCAGCATGACCTTCAAAGCAGCCCCAGCAAAATAAACAACAACAACAACAACAACAACAACAACAGCAGCCTAACAGATACGATCACATGGAGTTCTGTACCTTCCGGGGAGCAGGAGTCTGTCTCATCATATTTGCAAGAGAAGAAGACACACACACACACACACACACACACACACACACAGGAAGGTGATGAACTGTAAAGATGCTCGATCCACAGAGACCAGGACAGACAGACGGACAGAGAGACAGACAGGCAGCTGGAGACGAGCAGACAGACACTCAGGCCGGGAAGCTGCAGCGGTGCAAATGGCCGCAGCGATTCTTTCCCAGGCTCCCCCTGCCTCCCTCTGTCCTCCTGCTACCGTCCTCCTTCGTGTCCTCCTTCGTGTCCTCCTTCTCGGCGTCTCTCATAATCCGTTCGCCGGAGCCCCTCGGGTCGGTGCCTCCCTCCCCTTTTTCTCCCCCGTTCACGACTCGGACATCTTCTGCCTGAGAGCCTCCGAGCTGCTTGTGCTCGCAGGAGACGCCTCTCCTCCCCTCACCCTCCTCCCCCTTTCTCTCTCTGCTTATTGTGGTTCTCCAGCCAATGCCGTGCTCCGGCATTACATCACCGTGCACCCTCCTCCCTCCCTCCCTCCCTCCCTCCTTGCCAGACAGGGAGGGAGGGAGGGATGGGTGAGACGATGTGTGACATGGGAGAAACGGAGGAGAGGATGTGAGACAGAGTTGAGCGAGAAAAATGAGCAGCGACGGCGATGGAAGCCTCTCGTTGCCTAGCAACACTGTCAGAGCTCCCCGATGGCTCATTAAAACGAGGCTGCCAAAAACAACGAGGACGTAACCGTTAAAAAGTTCTAAACGCCTTTTACATTTCAGGTGTTTTCGTTTGACTTTATTTCGTCTGTTAACACTTTTGGTGTCGCAGCGTGAGACGACGCATTAAACATCAACTGTATTCATCCAGAGGGAAACTGCTGAGCAGCAGGTACAGAAAGCTTCTTCTTCCAAACATAACGCTGCGTCTGTTCTATACTGGTCATTAAAAAGCAGGATCCTGGAGAAATGGATTGAATGTTAAATTAAAAAACTGGCTAATCTGGAGCTTCAGAAGTTACGCTGATGATTTCGGGCAAAGAGTGATTTAAGAGGCCAGTTCGTTCCTCTGAGAAGCTTTCATAATATCTTTCTCTGCTCCGCTAATCTCCTTCTGTGCAGGACGACGGAGCGACGTAAGAGGATTAATGGAATGGAAACACTCCGACTGGCAGCGAGCTCTCGACCCAAAATACTTTGACACAAAGTGGCCGTGAAAACGATCTTTACAATAAAAGTCAGCGAGGTTGCGTTTTCTTGTGAGATTATATGATGAAGAACGGATCATTGGGAGAGAGACTGAAGCGACTTCAGAGTAAACGGTTTACACGGATCGGTTTCAGGGCCGCGGAGGGAGATCTGTCCTGATGAAACATTAAACATCTTCCTCTGCAGGCTGAGTGCTGCTCTGAGGCGGACAGAGGGGAGGATGGGGGAGTGTGGGGGGAGGAATGTGGGGGGGGGGGGAACCCGAGAGGCGGAAGAAGCACAAATGTCAAAGCAGGTTGTTTGTTTGAACGTTGCATCACTTTGGCGATTTGGTTAGCATTGGTTAGCATTGTTAATTTACTAAATTGATTCACACTGCATTTGTATTATTGATGATTTATTCATTCATTTAGTCATTTATTTATCTTTTTATCTATTTATTCAACACTTTGTGTCAACATAAATACAAAACGTCCCTTTTCTTAAAAAGAAAAGACTGTATAATAAATCAACCTGGTTTTTGATGCTATAACTTTTAACTGGAGAAAAACAAAGACTTGTTTTCATTCATTCGACTTAGAACAGTTCAGCTTTCCTCTCTCTTCTGTATTTCTGCATTTTCCTGCATGTTCTGAATCTCCTGCGTGACATTTCCCCGCGCACATCCTCAGCTGGATCAGAACATCGGGGCCTCGCGGCTGAGACTAAACCGAGCTCCTGAGGACCGGAGACGATAAAGTCGACCCGAGCTGACGGGAAATCCATAGTGAGAGAGTCGGTTCTCTGCAGGATTTCACCTCGTCCACCTCTGACATTCATCAGCACGCGTGACTCAGCGGCTTGATAAAGTCAGACCGTCGACATTTACAGAGACCATCTTTTTTTCCGCATTGTATTCCGACGCATGTTCAGATATCACGGCTTCATGCGTTTCTGGACCCACCGACACGAATGCGAGACAAAGCCAACAGCTGCATATTTTGAATACAATCCCCCCCCTGTGAAGGACCCCAACGCCTGCGTGTAGCATTGACAGGTGACAGGAGGTGGACACACGTCTCGCACGTTTCATTCCCTCACATTCACATCGTAAATTGGCAACAACACCCAGATGGGCGGCGCGGTGAGCTGGGGGAGGGAGGGGGGAGGGGGAGGGGGGTCAAGAAATGAGCGGCGAGGCCCGGTTGCCATGCAGAAGCGAGCCAGTTCAGAGCCACGGTTACCACACTCATCACCACTACATCACCACGGTACCGAGGTTAGAGAAACATGCGCCACCTTTTTGGGCTTCAGTCCTCGCTGCGTGGTCGGAGGAAAGAAGGGAAGGAAGTGAGGAAGGAAGTGAGGAAGGAAGGGAGGAGGTTAAAGGTCACGAGGCATGCTGGAGCTGACGGGGGGGACTGAGGAGAGTCGGTGCTCCTCGATGTCGGATCAGAGACCTCAATCAAGTAGACAGAACACTTTTCCACTTTCACACACATTTCACAGATGAAGACTTTAATAAAGAATTCCAGGTGTGAGCAGAACATTTTCAAATAAACTCAATCCTGAAATTCACTTTTTGTCAAAAACCATTGACAATTAAACTGATAAAATGGGATTTTAGTGTGAACTATACTCTCCGTAGATAAATAATCTGCCAACGCATCTCAACACAGGGAGCGTGTTTATGAGTCAACGTCGCCATCTGCTGCTCAGGCATGAAAACAGAACCTTAACCAACCAAAATAATGGGTTTACTTAGGATTAATTATTATATTGTATATATTTACATATTATATATTTTAATATACATTTGAATGAATACAGGTTTTTCAGTTTTAAGATTCTTATCCATCCTTTTACGGTTATAAATAAAAGAGGAGGTAAATATGTCATATTAAGTATGTGTGTATTATTCCTGTAGTATTCCCAGAATTTTAAATAAATACTTCGAAACAGACAACAAGTACTGAACATTTAAGGCACTCATGATTTTCAGTAACTATTAGACTGAATTAAAACATCCCGTTGAGTGATATAAAAGCACTTTTTCTCTCGTAAAGGCCCGAGACAGCAGCGCAGGTGACGTATTATTTTAGTCACACAGTGTTTACTTTAGATAACAGTGTGTGTGTGTGTGTGTGTGTGTGTCCAGGTGTGTTTCGCCATATTTCTCCCCGATGTGCTGCGTGCGACCTTTGTGCGCGAGCGTTATCGGACTCACCAGTTTAGTGGACTTGGGCGTCTCCAGGATCTCTGAGATTAAAAAAAAAAAAATAGAAACAAGGAAAGTAAATATTCTATCATCATCAGTCTTGAGATGTACAGACCCACAAACGGTCAACGTGATTCATCGGCCTTCAACAAGAATACATTCAGAGACAGTCGCATGTGGAGGAAAGTAGCTGTGTTTCAGTAAATCATACAATAATATAGAAATGCACACACACACTGAAAATGAAAAGCACTTCTGCACTTTGACATCAAAAATGTCTCAGCAGTTTCAGTTTGTGGCATTTAAGAGAAAGTTCACTAGTTTCATTGGGGCGTTCCAGATCGTAAGAACACCAGGTATGTGTGTGTGTGTGTGTGTGTCTTCACCTCGTTTGGGAACCTTGCCGGTGGCGGCCTCGGGCGTCTCCGGAGACGTCGTGTCGGCCCCGTCGTCCACCAGCTGGATCTGAGACAGACAGACAGGCGGAAAGCAATAAGACGTTAATCCGTTTTTCCATTTTATTCCTTTTACTGCGGCGACTATGAGAGCTGGTTCGGACGGGATCAACAAATAAAAACAAAAAGGTCCTCGTGCAGGAGTCACATGATCAAATAGATTCATTCACACATTTTTACCTGCGACTGCCTCACAAATATCCCGCGATTCTCCTCGCAGGTGAAGTAGCGCTTGCCCTGCACGGTGCCGTCGTTCTTGCCCTTGGCCTCGTCCAGGATGACCCCCACCCATTTCCCGGAGGCGAAGAGCGTGTTGCCGATGTAGGCCACCGTGCCGCGCTGCCCCTTGCCGATCACCTCCACCGGGGAGCCCACTTTGACGGGCCGCCCGCCGCCGTCCGAGCTCATCCTGCTGCTGCCGCTGCTGGTGGTCTGTGGAGGAAACACGCGCTGTTGAAAACACGTTTACGGCGCCGCCGGTAACGGGCCACCGCGCTAAATATCACATATCAGTATTGAGCCAATAAAGGGAGCATCCTCTTCTTCTTCTTCTCTGGAGGAGAGTCTGAGGAAACGACCACCAGGACGAGAAGATGAGTTTAAAGTCAGACGGGGGAATGAAAGACACCCTCAAGTTGCATTGTGGGTAGTGTAGGAACGAGTGATTTTGAAGATGAATGAATAGTAGGGATTTCAATTTGGGAAATCTTGACCCACCGACACCAAATCTGACTACAAAACCCGACATTGAGGCGTAATACTGGACGTCTACTGAAGTGATTCCATTTCATGAGCATAAGGGCGCGAAGAGTAAGTCAGATTGCGTCGACATCTTTGACAAAATGACTATTATTCCATCAGTAAAGTAATTCAACATGTCCTCCAAAGAATGCTCGCTGGTTATGAAGAAATAGTTGCAAGAAGAAAGTGTGTTTAATGTATTTACTGTTCATTTCAACAGCTCATCAAACGCTCTAAATCCCACCGGCATGCTGGGTAAAGTTCTACATGTTCAATCAGCACAAGCAACACCTCAGGTATAAAAAAAGGTAACGCTTTCATGATCTGCCTAAGAGGTTCAATTGCTGCTTCATCCTCTTGTTCATCGACCAGGAGCAGCAGAACGTGCTTCATGCCAAAAAGACGCCTAAAAAAAAAAAAAAGGCCCACTCTTGTTTTCCACGCTTTTTGTGACAAGTCACGATGAGGATGGAGAGCAGATCACGCGGCCAAAAGCAAGCCTGCGTAACCCGATTTACAGAGTGATGTCCTAGAAGTGACGGTGACTCAGCAGAAGCCACGGGAGCAGATTTCAGCGCGAGAGAAGGCGCCGTGGAAACATTCAGTGTCTTTGTGTTTGACCTGAAAACATCAATGACGGAAGCACAACAGAAAACGATCACCCCCTTGAAACGAAACGAAAGGGTCGGACCTTTGAAGAGCGTTTGCTCCGCTTAGACATTGCAGGATAAAAACCCTTCCGGCAGCGAGACTGCAACATACATGTAGTAACATGGGGGGGGTGAAGCGTCACGTCTCTGGTCCCCAACAGAAGAAACAGCAGGGACAGAGGAGGTCAAAATACATGTAGAAGTTAAATGTGGTCAAACGTCCATATTGCACAAGTTGCGGGCAGAGAATCTCAGTAAGTATCGGCGGGATTGTGGTCAAATCCAGAGTGTTTTGTTGCAGCGCTGTTTAAACATAAGCCTCAACATGGGGCCCCTTCTTACGGGGCATTTTGAACGATTTAGATTTCTCAGCCACAGCATCTCTTACATTAACGTGTTCTCGGAGCTACAAATGGCATTTTTTAATCTACTAAGAGACATACAGAAGAAATGACTTCTTTCTTTGCAGATGTTATCAAACAGATAAGAACATCATATTGCAGCTGCAGTTATTCAAAGACCTGAATTCCCATGAATGCTTAAAGTTTAATTAACCTACCTTATAATTCATGCCCAATATAGAAAGAGACGTTAGAAGTGGTTACGAGCAGTAAACACGTCCTCGATGGAAGCCAGTGTTAAGATCTATTATTCAGCTATTTAGGTGCATCCAGATCCACGACGGAGGCGGGAATCTTTGGTTTGCTGCAGGGAGACTCGCATGAACCCGACAACAGTCTGCAAACATCCACTTCACAGTCGTAAAAACCACTCAGACCAAAGCGTGCGAGCGGTCTGTGACGAAGCCTTCGCCGCTCCGACCTGTTTGCCGTGAGGGCGTGATGAATTATTCAGGGGCACTCTACTCTTAACGCACAACTTCCACGCTTAATGGGAGATAAGAACACGGCCTCATTTGCGGCACCGTCGACGAGGCCGCCGTCCGATTGCTTTGTTTACTCCAAAACAAACCTCCGAAACGCTGTCGCGCACACGTCACGCAGGCTGGATGACAAAGAAAGCACCTCTTCTTCATCAGTAGGAAGAGGCTTTTATGTCATCGGAAGAAAGAAGAAGAAGTGTCTGAGCGCGGATGTCACGCCTGCTGATGCCTGACTCAGAGGCGGAGGACAAACAGGAAGTCCTGTGGTCCTCATGGACGGCGCGTCCGGTGATGACAGAAAGCCTCGTGCTCGTCCCGACAGTGGACTCGTCACGCAGGTCTGAATCCCAGCTTTGGACCCCGGAGGGGGCGTCTGAGCCAAACAAAGAGGCGACAACCCAGACAGAGGGATGCATGCAGCGCTGAAAGGGATTAGAAACCCTCCTATTGAAAGTCAGAACCGAGGCGGCGCCGATGACGGGGTGAGACGGATCGGAAAAACACACGTGAAAGACAACAATGGTGCAACAATTAGGAGCAATTTAAGGAGCCGCTGATTCGCCTCACTGGAATGGACACTCACCCGGCTGTACGTGCTCCTCCTAGTCTGTGACATGTTTCTCTCCCCCCCCCCCCCCCTCTCAGGAGGGAAGGAGTGTTATTGGGGAGAGCAGCGGCCAGACAGAAGGGGGTCTCGGAGAGAGATGTGTGTGTGTGGGGGGGGGAGGACGGGGGTTAGATGATGCCGCCGGAGCGTCTCTCCTCCTCCGTCTCCGGATGCAGCACAGCCTCAGCCCTCCTCGCTGCCGGAGGACAGCCGGCGGGGAGCTTCTTTGGCCCCGGCAGAAAGTTTCCAATGGTGGGGGGGGGGGGGGGGCGGAATGGACCGGAGGAAAGCGGCGGAGCAGAGAAAGGGATGGGGAGAGGGGGGTGACCAGCATCCAGGCCGGGTCTGCTGTGCATCAGCTGAGCGGCGGCTCTGCTCTGCAGTGTCTGAGCTGGTCTGCAGGAGGGAGTCTGCTTTAGGCCCAGACAGGGCGACTGGGTCCTAAAGCCTGCAAATACGCCTCTGTAAAAGCTTCTCAAAATAATCACTTCTCCCATTGCACGAGCTCGCTGTATGCCGGGGGCAATCTGCCGTGATGCAGACGTTCCTTCAAAGAGCAATTTAAATCCTCATAAGACCAATAATTAAAGCACAAAGTGCCATGATAGTCACTTTTGTTTTGAGTGGTGAGTCAACTAAAGAAATATTCCTTTAAGAGCATACATGCAGCAAAGGAATATTATTAAAATAGCTCAGGTGGATCCTTGGAAGGCCGATTCATGTCAAGTTTCCCTCAGTATCTTCTGCCAGAAGAGGCAACAAAAACACCGGCGGTATATTATAAGCATTTTCAAATGTGGGGGGGTTTGAACACAAAAGGCTCAGGTGATGCTCCGTTATACAGCACATTGTAACCAAATGCCACAGGATTACATTCGGGCCTCCCACAGAGCGGGGATTAACTCCCCTTTATCAGCTAACTGCACAGCCGGGTTTTTTTTTTTTCAAACTCTCATTCCCTTCGATTTCTGTGTTGTCATCGTTTTCAGAAAGCGGCAGGGTTTGTGTGTAAAAGCTTTTAGCTCAAAGGCGGTTAAGAGATTTTCGTTTCATTTCAGAGTGCATTTCAGTATCGAACAAAAGAGACCCGCCTTTCGAGGGGGGGGGGGGGGGGGGGTTTGAATAATAAATAATAATAATAATGCAACCAGACGTCAGGACACGTCAGGTCGGCTCCGTGTCAGCGCTCCACCTACAGAACGGATGTACTGATTGAGGCAGTTTGTTTGTGGCTGCATGGCCTATGAATAAAACTCCCCAAATGAATATGTAAAATCCAGCCCACAATTTACAATGCGGGAGAGTTATACGCAATTTGGCACGGTTATAAAAAAAGAAAATAGAGCCTCTGCAGTCGCCTTGCACCCATTTATGCAAATGACGAAGGCCAGAAGGGGTGATGGGATCGGGAGGTAGAGGAGAAAGGGGGGGGGACCTTCATCCCTCACCAAAGAAATTATAGGAAGGCAATCAGCAGACAAGCAGAAATGAAGGAACTGGCTCCTTAAGGAAAAAGAGAACAATGCGGAGGAGGAGGCGCCTCCTGCTGCTGGAAGGAAACGCAGGACGGTTGCACCTTGAACAGAGGTGACACGGGTCTGCAGGTCCAAGCGAACGCGTCCAAACCAGGTAACGATGAGCCCGTCTGCGTGCTGCCAGCTGCCATTGGTTGGGACTGTTTAGTGGGAATACGCTGGTCTCATAGTTCTATAGATTCACGATCTGAGACAGAAACTGCTGCGTGTGACAACAACAGTTTCATTTAGGGATGCAATTCCTTTTGTATTTTAAGTCAATCTGTTTGTTAGTTTTTGAAATTACGGGTTGCTCATTTGTTCACTTGATTTAAAAATGAAGTGACACAATATCAGCTTCCACTTTGGACAAAACAAATGATTTAGCGTATAAATGTATGGAATCAACTTAAGTTAAGTAGTGTCACTTAAGTGTAAGTGCAATTTGTACACAACTAAAACTTCTAACAACTGTTACATATTTTTCTTCTTTGGTCTATAAATTGAACAAAATAGTGAAAGATGCCCATCAAAAGTTCACAAATCCCAAGATGAAAAACAACGTGTTTTGTCAGAATGGCATTTTCTTTAATAAACAACTGATCATCTCAATTGATTAATTTAGTTGTCAACCAATCAGCGAATGACCAGCTTAGGTCATACAGTGCAGTAGGATAGCTGACATTAAATAAGTATCAATTTAATTCATCATAAATTACATAATAGAAAATTATTTAAATATTCTCTTAGCTTGCTACTTTTCATTATTCTATTATTGTTTGTAAACTATATCTGGTTTGTTGGCCAAACACACAATTTAAAGATTGATATTCTTTTTGATTAAAGAAGTAATAAGTATCTGAATCGACAATGGAAACAGCCGAATGATGTGCTTCCATGCTCATGATATTCTGCCTGCTCTCAACCAGCATGCAGAAGAAACAGGTCATCCATAGAAAACAAGGCCAGAGCCGCTTCATTCAACAACGCTCATTTAAAATTAAAACCAAAGTGCTCATTTTTTAACAGCCTGGTAAACACAACGCATATATTTATATATAAATAACACAATAAGTAGTAGTAATATTCTGCCAGTTTAGCCTGGTGCGAATTAGAACCATGGGTGTGGCTGCACCCACGTTGTCTCCTGACAGATTGATGAAATACCAGCAAAAACAGTGTAATTAATTCACACAAAAATAGACGCCTCATCGGGGTTAGATCCCGATCCACTCCGCCCCAATAACCACGTTAGCGTTTTTAAATATTTGCAACAATATCAACTGCGTTATGAGCTGAACAAATGTGCAAATGGTGCGTTTTAGCAGCGCGGATCCTCCCTTTTTAGGGCCGATATTCGGTGCAGGCAGCTGGACGCTCCCCGGCCAGCTGCTAGCACGATTAGCCGTTAGCTTCTCAACCCAACAGAGACAGAACCGCGTTAATTAACACCCACACCCACGCGCGCGCCTATTACGTCACTGAACAGGTGGACACGCGCTTTGGGACTCATGTCCCATTGACCGGGCGGCGTGTGACGGCTGGGTCGTACCTGCTTTACGTGCTAAGGATTCGGCCCGACGGCTCCGCTGCGTGCCCGACCGGCTCCCTCCATCCACGGAGGTCTGGACCGGACGCGTCCGCGCTGAGGCGCCCGAGCTGCCGCCTGAGCCGGCGGCTGCAGCCCGCTGGATCCGACCGGACAAAGATGGTAAAAGTATTTCACTGTTGAGCACCTGCAGGGTTCTAATCCAAAGGTAATTTTGTATATTTAAGGCCATACCTGTGTTTTTCTCTTTTGTCATGTGTTTTAAAGTTTATGGTAAAATGAAAGTTTTTTTTTTTAAATGTAGGCGTAAAAACACAAAGGATTGGGGAAGTTCGCAAAAAAACAATAAAGCAAAACAAAGTAAAAAGACAAAAACAAAACCAAGCACTGTGACACTTTGTCCGTGTGGTTTTAGAAAAACATAATTCTGTCCCCGTTCTGTATTTTATTATTTTGTATTCAGTGTGTTCTGTGTTTTACTTCCTGTAATGAGAAAGAAACATCAGCTGAGTCGCCACAACCTTCCTCTGGCTCTCCTGAAGCAGAGACTTGTCCCGTTACGGTGAACGTGTCCCCGTGTCCCTTACAGGCCTCCAGCAACACAAAACGTGGGAGAGGAGAAGATGACAAACGTAAAAGCTGCAGCGCCGTTATCGAGTGAGCGACTGGAGATCCGTTTCCCCGAACACATTCCAGCTGTGAACAAACCTGACAGCTGGGGAGATGCTCTAGAGAAATAACACCATCATCAGCAGAAAGCGGGAACTGAGAGGAGATGAAAGGGTGAAGAAGAAATCACACACTCGTATCAACAGAGGGAAAACTTTTAAACCTCAGTACAAGTTTACTGAAAAACCTCAACGCGGAGAGCAGCACATAGCTGATAATAATAAAGTGTGCTTTCAAAATCCTTCCAATTCTAAAATCAGACCTACAGCTTACCAACCATCACAAGCACACCGGTGTTCATAAACATCTCATTTGTAAATACCTCGGCTCTCTTTTCACCCAAACGTTTAAAACTTTAGAACTCAGTACGTCAAAGTTATTGGAAACATGTAATTGTGAGGTAATATGACATTAGGAGAGATCACTGAATAAATGGAATCAGTAACACTGACAAAACTGTTTAATGTGGATTCATCGTGTCAGGACTGATTATTTAGATCGGTGCAGTGGTCAATACTATTTTTTGAGCATCGGGAAATACAAAATGAAAGCATGCTACAAAATCATAGGAGCACGTTCAGATCTATTCATTTATTCTAAGTGTTTGAAAAGGAAATACTTTACAAACCAAATCACTTTGAAGCAGCTCAATCGACACAAACCCAAACAGACTTTAGGCAGAGCAGATATTCCTCTCAACTGAAAATAAGTTATGTGTTAGTAGAGTAAACATGCCTAACCTTTTCACTGTGTGTGTGTGTGTGTGTGTGTGTGTGGGAAAACAGTTCTTCGTGTCGCCTGACCGGTCCGAGTGTTTGGTTGCCTTTAAGAGCAATGCACGCTGGGAAAGCACAAGCACAGAAACCAGACGGATTTACAGCGGGGGAGAAAAGGCCGCTCACTCACTTTTCCCACGTTTCTGTAAATCAAGTCTGTATTCAAACAGGGTGAAGTTTGTGATTTTGGCGGCCAGCTCGGGAACGACGAACTCCCTCATCTTCTCGTAGCCCATGTGCTCGTACAGCTTCTGAGCGTCCGTTTGCACCACGGAGGTGAACAGCACGACCGCCGCGTAGCCTCTGTCCCGGGTGAAGTCGGCCACCGTCCGGCACAGCGCCTTGGCGATGCCCGCGCCGCGGTGGCTGCGGCGGACGGACATGCGCTTCAACTCCAGGCAGCCGGGCGCGTCCTCGTTGGGGAGGCAGGCCACCGTGGCGACCACCCGGCCGTCGACCTCGGCCACCCAGAAGCAGCTGTCCTTGGCCCGCATGTAGGTGCCGGCGATGTCGTTGAGGTCCTTCCTGAGCGATGTGTCGATGTAGCGGTTGAAAATGTGGACGACAAACTGGCGGGCCCCGGCCAGGAGGAGGGTGACGGCCAGGACGGGCAGCAGGAAGGACTTGGAGCTGGTCAGGAGAGCGCAGAACACGCACATGAGCAACATCTGGGTGGGCGGCTGCTTCAGGAGGTGCATGAAGGACGAGGGCACGTGCTCGCTTATCCCCAGCGTGAAGATCTCCTTCGCGGCCTCCGCGTCGTCGTCCCGGTACCTCCGGATCTGCACAGCGGCCATGGCTCAGCCCGGCTTCCTGCAACCACGGGCCGAAAAGTAACCGGTGACAAAAGGCTCCAAACAACCAGATTATTCAGCTTGAAAACTTGTGAATTCTTTTGTCCTTTTAACTTCGTGTCTTTTCAGCGTCACAGTGTGCAGAAGCCTGCCCCTAAATATCAACTATAGCAACGTTACATCATGTTTTAAATCATCACAAGGATGGAAGTAGAATATTTTTGGGATAAAAATGAAAAACTAACGTTACTTGAATTAAAATTAAGCTTGTAAAGTATTGCAAGCTTATTTCACTTCTAAGTAAAATATTGATATTGCTATCGGTCAGTTTGAAGAACACAATAGTAAGTAACGTCAGACCAAAAAAAGCAAATGGGTGATATTGTGCTTACATTGTAATAGATTAATATTAATTTATTCAGAAAATGCAATATCATCAATCGCCAAATTAACGGCGGATGGAAACAGCGCAGCCGATGACCCGTTAACGGTATAACGGATTTTAACAAACAGCTAACGTTACGTTACGGTGTTTATGCCCACTGTGTCCCAGTAAACAACCCCGTCACTTCATTATAAAACACTTTACACATTTAATATCCACGATTAATTAAGTCCTATTCGAAGACAACTCACTGGTTCCTCGGATTAACGTTAGCTAACAGCAGCTAGCATCAGCGCTAGCTTCACGTAACGTTAGCTCCCACGGATTAGATTTGCTCCGGAGGAATAAACGCGGTAAATAAAGACAATTACCGTGTTTTCTTCAATGCTTTGTGTCAGCGGCGTCTTGTCTTGTGTGTGGTGTGTTTTGGGTGTTTAAGGAGGCGCTGAAGGCAGCAAAGTTTCCAGAAGTCAGTAAAGTGTCATTTGATTCGCCTCTTACTTCCTCTGCTGGGATCTGATGCGTTCACGGAACATCTGTGAATGGGACAACGAGGGATCCGTCGGTCCAGTATAGCGCTTTTATTTAACTGCAGTTTTAACATAGGATGTTGTTTTCGACCAACATTTTAGGCGTTAAGTCTCCATCCCACAAGAGATTTCCCGACGGTGAGGCTCATCATTTCACTACAGATACGATGCGAATGGATAATGCTATATTTAGTCATACAATGTTAAATTGCCTGTATAATTACATTTTTAAAATGAATTTATATTAAAAATAGCATAATAAAAATCCAAATCAAAAAGTGTGATGATAAAAAAAAGTTAATGATCATAACAGGTACTGTGTATGCATGACTAGATAGTTATTTAAATACCAATACCAAACACTGCTAAAAGACATTAACTGTCATAATAAAATAGTGCCCACTACAGAACCAACGATTTTAAATAGATTTTTAAAATTTCACACAACAAAGACTGAAAAAATAAATTTATTGTCTCCTGAAAAACAACTTGATTAGAGTTCATACATCAGGACGATTGAAAAGTTTTTCCCTTTTTATGGTGGAAATTTTCCACTAACTTGATAGTCAAAAGATACATTGCTTTTCCTTTAGATATTTTGGTTTTTGTTTGTACAAAACATTCACCTTTCCCGCCCAGCTGAGCGGAAAACAAACGCTAATTTAAAATATATTCTTCTTCTCCCCCTTCTAGCCCAGGTTGATATCCCCGGCAAACACGGTGATCAGCAGGATGACGGTGAAGCCGGTGAGCAGCCCGGCGTTCTGGATCAGGAAAAAGATGATCTTGGTGGACGTCCGCTTCTGCTCCCGTAATATGTTGTCCATCTCTGGAAACTGAAAGGAGGAGGAAAAACAACAATCACATATCAGAAATAAAATGCTGTTATTGTTTAACAGTCAACACGATGGGAAGTGACAACATGCAAACAGGACGTGAGGACTGGTTTAAGAAATTGCCCTTTGGCCTTTTCCAGACTCAGAAGGACCATTTTAGCCTCATCAAAAAGAAAACGTATCTTTGGCAAAAACAATCTGACAATGTAAAAGTCCCTCTTGTGCCACAGTTTATAGAAATGTTTAACTTTTGATACCGAGATAAAAGGTTTGTTGACTTTGTATCATTTCATTCTGCAGTACGCAGCTGTTTTTAGAGAATTGTTCAGCATTTATTTGAGGTATGCTTCTATACTTTGGCCACTTGGGAGCAGTATAAAAACGTATTAACACCAATTCCTAAAGTTGTTATGGCAGAAATGAAAGCATACGGTTTTATTTCCATACAGAGAGTAACATCAGCATTCATTCGGCAGCTTTAAAGACGCACGTCTTCAGTGGGGATTAACGCTGCTCGCTTTTCTCTTTTCATGGGAGTTAATGGCAGTAAGAAAATATAAAAAAAAAAAAAAAAAAAAAGTGCACGAATGAACAGCGGCGTGCGCGCCGAGTGATCCGACTCGCCATGTCTGCCAGCGCAATGTACAGGAACATTCCTCCCGCGATGGCAAAGATTGCATTGGGGGCGAAATTGCTCCCGAGCAGGATTCCAAACACGAGGCCGACGTAACACGACATGGCCGACAGCAGGTTGAAGAAAATGGCTTGAGGGACGCTCATGCCGGAATTCAGCAGGATTACAAAGTCACCTGCACGACGAAACACAAACGTGCAGTCAGAGTTAGTTAAAACAGGCGGTTTGAGCATTTTTAGAAGAGCAATGGGAGTCATTTTTACTCCGTGCAACAGAGTGGTGTGGAACTGCTGAAAATAGTTTTGGACTTAACAAAACGTGCTACAGATTTGAGTTTGAAGAATGCAATAAACCGCAGAACAACAATGAGATGTTTAGTGCGATTTTAAAGAGCGTCATTATTCAGCTTTGGCCCAGAATGAATTACCCACTAGAGTGCAAAAAAGCTGCAAACAGCCCGAACATGCTCAGTGTCGCTAAACGAAAGTAAAAAGAGTCAAAAGTGTTTTAGAAAAACGGAAAAAAGATAAAACCGTTATGTCCACAGTTTGTGACCTCATTTACTGTCTACTCTCTATTGACACAGGTTCAATGGAGCAAAACCAAACCACGTTCTTCATAGAATTGTACTTAACAATGACCAGAACAACAGAAGCATCAGTAAAATGTAACGCAACAGTGTTCTGCTGTGTTTCTATTATTTAAGGAGGATCAAAACTACCAGGAACAAAACGCAGCCTGTTGAAGATTCCGGTGGTTTCTGGTTTGTTCAGAGTCAAAGTGAAACGCAGCAGAAGATCCGGTGAAGGTTGTGGTGTAACTCTGCAGAATGTCAGTAGAGGTCATTAACCATTACGGATCCAGTTTGAGTGAAGCGATATCTCACAGAATCACATTCGGTATTCGCCCGTTGCGGCCTTGTGACGTTTTCATGACTGTGTAGATGCACGACGCACATTTGCCCGAGTTCAGCCCGAAACACTCGGGATCTCCACCCGGATTCCGCCCGGCCCGAGAGCCCCCACTCACCCAGCTCGTGGGGGAACTCCTCGCACACGATGGCGGTGGAGGTGCTGAAGCCCGCCAGCACCGACACGGTGAAGGAGGCGCCGATGGCCAGCCCGTCGATGAAGTTGTGCAGCGCGTCGCTCAGCGTGATCATCCACGCCACCGTCCTGATGTCGGAGATCTGCTTCCCGCGCAGCCAGTGGCACATCACGCCGGCGCCGTCCTGGAGGAGCAACAGAGGGCGTCGGCCTTTGACCCACTGGACGCAACAGAAACTAATCAATCAAACCGGAGCTCCTTGATGATATAATGGCACGAGTGTCTTAGACGGGGGGGAACCGGAGAACCGGCGGGACGTGAGCGGAGCCTCTCGGGCCTCGGCTGAAGACGGTCGCCGTTGACAGAACGACCCTTTTATTTTCCAAACAAGGATCCTTTGTGCTCGAGTCGCACAGCGTTTAACCGGCAGCGGAAGGACCTGAGGCCTCCGTCCTTCTGCACGTCGGCCTGTTTTGTATTTCGATCCCTTCCCGGCAGGAATCCTCCACATGGAGCCAGAGATTAAACGGAGTTAAACATTGACGGCGGCATTAATCGCTGATAACAGCTCGATTAGTGAAACCTAAACATCAGAGCACATAAGCAAGTTTATACGACCGATGTGATGTTTTATGCACCGTCGTGCTTCAGTGGTCAGCAGGTGTTTCTGTGATAAGAGCGTCGAACTCTTTGACACACACAATTATTAAATGGTAACTCACTGTTTTTATTAGCTTATCTTTAGGGCTCCTTGCTGTATGAAGGGTGATTTGCGTACAGGGGGAGGGAGGGGGGGGGGTTGCCGTGTGGGTTGAGGTGACCTGTGTGCCAAGAGGCTGAAGGGGAACGCACCTGAGATGAGGTCACGTGGGCCTCCGGGTTCGGGCTGCTCTTCCCCGTGGCGACGGTGTTGACGGTGGTCAACGCGATGGAGTCTTTTGTCTCCAGCAGGTCCCCGTTGGAGAAGGAGCTTTCCGACGGCAGCTCGGCGGGGGCGAAGTGGCCGTGGCCGTGCTGGGGACACGAGGGACGAAGCAAAGTCCGATGAGCGGGAGAAGGACGCCGGGTCGGCCGACCAACAGAGAGAAACACAGTGACGGTTTAAGTAACTGAGGGTACAAACGTCTGAAATACTTGGTGACCCAAATACAACATAAATAGTAGATTTAAAACTACTACTAGAACTTTCAGAATACTAAGAGAGTCTTGACCCTGATATTTTTCGAAGGTCGCCATCTGTGACCTTTGTGTCCATTAGCCAGAATAATTAACAGAAACAACAGGAAGGAATTATTACGCGACTCCCATAAAGGGTAATTGCCCTCATTAGCAGCCAGTTTAGCAAATGATAGATTCCGTGGACAAATAGAATCACTCCCCAATAAATGAAAAGTGCTTTGCTTGTGATGAACTTGATAAACCCACTCGGGTGAACCGTCGTCCTACCTCAAGGTCGACCCGCAGCGCCATTTTCAGCACCCTCTCCATGAAGAACAACAGGTAGAACCCTCCAAATATTCCAACGGCATTCGCCACGTAGTTGTCGTGTTTGGGATCGAACCCCAGAGCCTGTGGATCAACAGGAGAACGTCAGCAAACAAAAACCCCTACTTTTATTCAAAAATTTAAAAAACGCCCTTGAAACACGAAAACCACGTCGCCGGCTCACGCACCTCCGGGATGAGCTGCAGCACGGCGTTGGAGAACAGCGTCCCGATGGCGAGGCCGATGAAGTAGGTCAGCACTTTGGGGAAATACGGCTTCTTGGTGAAAGGGATCAGGAAGAGGCCGAGCAGGGACGCCAGGTTGATCACGGTGACCGCCAGAAACCCGTAACCCCAAACTGCGAGGAGGAGCGCTCAGTTAACGCCGCGGCGGAGTTGCTTTTTCATTTCACTTAAATGAGCTATATTCAAAGACAATGTCACTGCTTATATTTTCAACCAAATGTTGTTATCTTCGTTATATATTTTTTTTTTAAAAACAGTAGTTGATGCTGCTTGAGTTTATTCGTCACTTTCGGGAAAGTCTTGTTTCTCGGGAAAACGTTTAAGAACAAATGTAGATTTGACTGTAAAGGGATTGAGGACAAAGACCCCTTTCAATGCAGCTCTTGGTCAACAGTGATTAGAAGGGAGACACTTTGCTTCTGGCACTGAGAGACATCGAGAAAGTAAAAAGACATCGTGAGGTTTCTACTCAAAACACACAAGTGTCTAATGGAAAAACTCCCATTGCATTTCCCAGTAAGAAAGCGACTCCTGGATCGGCCACAGGAACCAGCACGCGTGGCTATGATTGTTAAATCGGCCTCAACGCCGGAGAGGAAGACAAAAACATCACTAAATCCCTCTACAACCACATAGAAAGATTTCAAATGCTTATTTCCCATTATTTGGGCCTAAAACGCTTCTTAAAAAGCCGCTCCGTTGTCGTGGTAACCTACATTCTCAACGCGCATTACGGAGTTACCTAACCGACCGATTTAACCCGACAAACTATTTATTTGCAGAGTGGCGACGGTCGTTTGTCGGGCGGGTGGAGAAACAGCGTGGATCACAATCAACACTCGCAGATGGTTGTCAGCGTGTCACCAGCAGCGAGGAGGTTCGACGCAGGACACCGCGTGACACGTCCTCCGTCGTTCGGGAGCCTTCACTGGCTTTTCTGAAGCAAGCGGTTGTGTACAGGGGGATTATTTCGAGGGGCTTTATCAACAGAAAGGGACGTGACTACAGAGGGAAGAGATGAGGTGCCGAGAAACATGAGAATCCAATAAGAAGAAGGGAGGACTTTCAAATAAAAACAAATCGAGCAGATCAACACTAACTAGTATTCAGATTAAGATAATTTCCTTTTCGTATCAACCTCACGCCGTAAAAATAATCTGTGGAAGTAAAAGTCCTGATTAGAAAACAGTAAAAGTACAAAAGGTGTCTGAGAAGAGCTGACCGGTGTAGTCGAGGGGCTGCACAGCTTGGGGCTCGGTGTAAGGGCAGGAGGGCAGCAGCACCTGGGTCAACAGAGCGGGGCAGATTGTCCCCAGATGTCCCGCAGTCAGCTCACTGACATTACTGAGCCCGAAGTGGGACAAGATCTGCTCAGCCGAGGGACACTGAGGGGCAGAAAGACGGCGTTAAACATCCTTTTAAAACGGGTTTAAAGCTCCATTTTGTCACTTAAACTCTTTGATCTTTGAACGATTTGAATGCTTGTTTTTCTTGCACCCGTCTTCTTTGATATATGATTAAATAATTCACAAGTCTATAAAGTTGGTTATCCTCATTTAAAAAGAAACATTTTAAAATAATTTAATTATTAAATAGATTAATTAAACAACAATGAAAAAGCTACATGCAACAATATCAAACTTATAATAAGAAAAAAAACCATCAATAAAAAAAAAAATGTTAATAAAGAAAATACATATGCTATATAAACATGTAATACATTCCTTCCTCCCTGTATAAACGGTCTGTTTTACACTGTAAGGGTATTAGGAACATTAGGCATTTAAATCCCATTCAGTAGGTTGTGTAAATGATAAATAATTACGTAAATAATAATAAGTGAAATAAATACAAATGAGCTCACTTCCAGGTCTGCAAGTGGATTTTCCTCCGTTGTTGCAGGAGATATTCCGTCTGAGATTATCAGCAGAAAATTATCCAGATTATCCAATGAGATTGAATTATTTTGTCCATAAAAGCGCAAAATATCCTCTAGAAATACGTTTCCATCCCGGCCAGCCACGTTTATACTGTGAGACTGTGAGAGAACGACCAGAAGGCACGAAAACAAGCGCATGAAATGAGGCATCGCTGCTGTTTCCCCCTCAGTAAATTAATCCGCTACTTCTGCTGCTCGCAACGCATTTTACCACAACAAGAAAAAGTACAAACAAATCAATAAATCCGTGCAGCCTGTTGCTTCCATGCTACAGTGGCAGCGCACTTCGCGTGTTCGCGGTTTTCTTTCAGCCTGATTGAATTATTTGCGGGAGAAGCGGTCTGATCGATCAGCGCTATCGGAGGCGGATCGGGTTCAAAGATCGATCTGCGCAGCGATGGAGGAAAAACATGGAGGTGACCCGACCGCGTGCACCCGGTGTCTCACTGCTGCCTTTTGTGACCGACTTTCTCACTTGGTATGCAACGCACACACACACACACACACACACACACACACACACACATGCCGACACACTTTTAAGTAATTGTGTGTGTGCGTGTGTGTGTGTGTGTGTGTGTGTAAAGGATAAGAGTGGGCAAGTCGTGTAAAGGCTTTGACTCAGTTTACAGCTGTGAATCAATTATAAAACATCTGGAAGGAAAAAGAAGAAATCATAAACAATGAAACGTGTGTACGTGTGTTTGTTTGTTTGTTTGCAGCTCTGTGTCGCCCCCTGCTGGCAGCCGGTGGTCACTGCGTGTTTGTATCTTAAAAACGACGGGATTATCTGGATTAGAAATTGTTTTTGTTGTTAACATTCTCAATGAAGCAAATTAAAGAAAAGAAGAAGGAATCAATAAAGATCTTTTACTGTATCTACTAAACACATTCGGGACAATACTGCAGGTTATACAACACAATGACAAATGATGGAAATAGTTCAGATTGTTACAAAGAAACAACTGATCAGTCATTTGTCATTTAGCTGCTGAATAATCAAAAGACGTGAGCGGTTTATATTGGCTTGTTTACCTTCATCAACATCACATTTCATTCCTTGAGATGGTTTTTCGTGTGTGAATGAAGGCTTCATATGAAAGTCTGTCGCGTGCCAAAGTTTCGTGCAGCGGATTGAACACAGTGGGTCGTCCTGTTGTCTGGAGCCGCTCAACCCACCTTCAATGGGGTCCTTTGTTTGGAAATCTTCAGGGTCCAACTGCTGCTTTCTGAGGCTTTTCTGCCGCAAGGCGGAGGAAAAAAAAAAAAAAACGTGTCCTCGGTCAGAGACACTGTGACAAAAACCTCAGCCCCGGTATCTCTTTTTAAAAAAAGGACCGACTGCACCCTGTGTGAGGCCGGCTGCTCTCCGGTCAGTACACGTCCCTCAAAGACGTGACGACCAGCGACCTGGAGAGCTCCGCGGCGCCGGTGTGACGTCCGGCGATGAACACGACCGTCCTGCTTCTGGAAACCATCAGGAAGCCGTTGGAGCCGAAGCGCCCGGGGACGTCCCCCGCGTCCAGCCAGACGAAAGCGGCCACGGAGGCCGAGCGGAGGGTCACGCTGAAGACGTAGCCGGCCTCCAGCTCCCGCACCGTGGCCTGTGGCGGGAGGGGGGAGGGGGAGGGGGGGAAGGGGGAGACTGTCTCAATGCTTCCTGTCTTATTAGCAGAGGGAGCACTGCAGCATCCCCGTGTGTCCCCCCCCAGATAGAGAAATGAAGGCGGGCTCACCGTGATGTTGGGTCTCTGGAGGCCCCGGGCGTCTTTGGGTTTGCACAGGAAGTGGTGGTTGGAGGGACCCTGCTGGCCGCCGCTGTCCTCCAGGTGGAAGGTCAGCAGGCAGGTGAGGCGGGTGCAGCTGCCGCACGCCCCCAGCAGGGCGGCGACCGGACGTTTAAAAACGGTGGCGGCGCTGCCTCCGGGGACCGGGACCGGGTCCGACTTGAGCGTGCAGACCGGCTCCGGACTGGACCAGGAGTACACGGACACCTGGGCGCCGAGTTACGTTCAGAGTCAAAGGATCGCCACAGGGGCTTTCGCTAAATTAATTCAACTTGTGTTGAATCTTTATTTTTTTTCTTTCTAAATCTTTTTTTTTTTTTTTTTTTTAACTCACTTGGATTTATTGTGGAAGGTTTTTCTTTTTCTCCACGATTAAAATATAAAACTATTGATAATAAGCTGCTCTAATAAGATACGGGTCTTACAACCACATATTGTTAAAGGCACTTTCGAACATCGTCTTCGTTCTTTAAGAATTTTAAATGAAATTTGATGCCGTTTCTTTAAAAGTACGAGGGAGGAAATAAGAGACGCAATGAAGAAAGCGCATGGCGGGGGATGACGTACCACGGCCCAGAGCTCCAGGTCGTGACTCAGGTCTGAGACGGCGTAGACGAGCAGCGCGTCGCCGTCCTCGAAGCCCACCGGCAGGACGGCGGCGAAGAAGTCCCGCGCAAAATAATGCAGCATTTTCCACTTCCCACCAAACTCTGGACGCACGAGGAAAATGGTTATTACAAGCGGTTGTTACCGCATTGATTAAAAGCTGCAGAGTTGGCGCTCACTCACCGATGGACGACCAGGAAGGCGCCGGCCAGACGTCGTTCAGCTGCCAGTAGAGCGCGCCCATAGTGCGACCTTTGCCCCCGATGATCTCACTCCGACATCGCCGGTAAAACTCAGTCTGGGCCTTCACGCACTGAGCCTGCGTGACCTGGACACCAAACGGGATCGTTGCCGCTTTTGAAATGTGTCGTTTTTTTTCCACCTCTTAACCACTTCCTGTTTGTTTTCCCTTTTTTTGACGCCTTATTCGTCATGGGCGCGTTTACAGCGAACACAAAAAAGATGTGTGTGACACAAAGGGACGACTTGGTACAAACACAACACACGTTCATTCCCACGTCCCGAGGAAAGAGGACTACGACTATGCAGCGCAATCGGCTCCCCAATCGGCGGCGTAGCGACGCCACGCGATGGATTCGGTGTTTCTAGACGAGGCGAGTGTGGTTTGTGAACCTGAGTGATGTAGAGAGTATCCAGGAATGTTTTCGTGGGATCCGTGGAGTTGGGCAGGTGGAAGTGTAGAGCGGCCTGCCGTAACATCTGCTGGTTTCCGTCCTGGTGGTGTTGGCGGTGGGACGAGAAGTTGCTGCCGTAGCTCCAGTCCTCCGTTATGGAAACCTGAGACGTCGCAGAACAAAAAACACCGTGAACAACCGCGACCTCCATGAGCTTACGGAGAGTGGTGGAGAAAATGAGCGCGGAGCTCCTAAATCCTTCTTTTGTCATTTTTTTAAAAATTCGCAGTCACCGGCTTCAGAGTGGAAAAGGACGGCCACGACTGGAAGCCGTACTCGGAGGCAAAGCGCGTTCGAGGGAAAGTCCTCCAGTCCCAGCAGTCCAGCGAGTAGCTGTAGAAGTGCGTGTCCCCGTAGTGAGGGTCGTAGGGGTCCGACGCCACCCAGCCCTGCTGCTCCGACCCGGCGCCGTTGGTCGGGCTGGAGACGAGGAACGGGCGACTCCGATCCTCCTGAGGGGGGGGCGGGGGGGGGGTGTAAATTGGAGATGGAGCACCTTCTAGAAACATGAATCCTGGAGGATCCGGAGTTCAGATGAATTACGCTCTCATGTGTAAAAAAAAAAAAGGTATAAATTCAAAATTGTGGACTTTCGTGGTGCTAAAAGGATTTTATTTTACAGAATACGCCGCATGGACCCTAAAAGCATACGTCATGTGTACGAGTCTCACCTCCTGAACGACCGCCCTTATGTTGTCCACGTACAGCGTCACGTAGTCTTTCAGGTACGTAGGCCTCTGAGAAGCGGGAATGTTGAACCAGTCCGTCGCCAGAGCAGCTTCGTTTTCGTTGTTCCCGCTCCAAGTGATGATGCAGGGATGAGACTTGAGGCGCTGAACCTGCAGAAACCAAAAGCAGGACATTTTAAGTCGAGATGCGACAAGAACCTTTAGAATGCTTCCAACAATCTAGCAATAGCGGTTTTTAAATTGTGCTTTGGTTTATTTTCCGGGTATAATTTGTGTTTTTGCGTCTTCCCATGAGGCTTCATGAAATCATCTTTAACAGAGAAACGTGTAAATCGAGCACTGACCTGTTGGGCGACTTCCTCTCTGACTGTCTGCATGAAGTCTTCCTCGGTGGGATACATAGCACAGGCAAACATGAAGTCCTGCCAAACCTAAAACACACATCTTCACACTTTGAGCCGTCCGTTCGTCCTGAAACGAGTTCTTCAGGTCAAAGTAAAGTCACACAGCCGGAAACCACACAGACACTATTCGGTTAGATTTCACACATTAACACACTCGGCCGCTTGCTGTCCTGGTTATTTCTACGTATGCAGAGGCACGTGAAGTAGTGTTTCTCTCACGGAGGGATGCCGGTAGTTACCATGATTCCCATCTCATCGCAGAGGCTGTAGAATAGATCCTGTTCATACACTCCTCCCCCCCAGACCCGGAGGGCGTTCATGTTCGCCTCCACGGCCGAGGCCAACAGGTTCCTTAAGCTGGGCAGGAGAGCGGGCGGGTTCAGAGGTCACGCGTTCACAACATTCTCAGGAGTCGGTTTGTTTTTCGAAAATCACGAAATGAAAAGTGAACTCACACAGCGGGAGCCACTCGGTCCTGGAAGGAGTGGGCCGGGATCCAGTTGGACCCTTTGAGGAAAATCGGTTTCCCATTGACGCGGAAATAAAAGCTCAAGCCCGGCGAGCCGACAACCGGCTCCTGGACGAGTTCCACCGAGCGAAAATACACCTGAGGGAGAGAGGGATATTCTAGATTAAGGGGAAACTCATCGACAGCGAGGTCGTGCAGTTTGTTTAACACTAGATAACCCTTGAGGAGGCCGTGAGTGAACTCTGAACTCTGACCTTGGACTCCGCCTCGAGGATCAAAACGCGGCCCTGAAGGCCTCTGACAGCGAGGCGGTAGGAGGGCTGCTCTCCGTGTCCGTTGGGCCACCACAGCTTCACGTGGCTGCTCTGGAGGAGGAAGAACACGTCGGCTTTGAGGCGTTTATAAGCAGCCGAGAGGATTCTCTGCAGGCTGCAGTTCAGCAGGCCGGTTGACTACGTGGAAACAACACTTTTTAAAACAACAGCGACGTCTCTGGAAAGCGCAGCTGAACATTGCTCACAGTACCGTGTTGATGTTTAGGGTGAAGGTGTTCCGGGTCTTTCCGGTGAGAAACTGGGTCTGGAGGATCCGCTCAGAGTCCAGCTCAGGTAGGGAGAGAGCGATTTGCCCGTTGGTCGTCTGAACGGCGTCGACGAGAAGCTCGACCTGGACTCTCCACTGAGAGAGGCTGAGATCTAGACAGACAAAGGGATTTGAGGACTGAGAAGAAAGAAAGAAAAACGCATCGGACGGACTACAAATGGAAGAACAAACGGAAAGGACTTTAGATTTATTCTGACAATTGACCTTTTCAAAATAAAATTCCAATACACACTTTGTAAGAGACGAGTTTCAAAAACTAATTCAAACCTGCAATAAAGACAACGTCAGGAAGGTTGTGAGGAAGCTTTCCTGATTCATATTTCTGAACAATTTATTGGCTGTTATAGGCCCTTTACTTGTGTTTCTATTATTCCCCCCCACATCTACATCCACGACAAGACGTACTGTACAGAGGGACAGAGGAAACCCGGATGAGCTGCAGGACATCGAACGCCTCCAGTCGAACTCCTTTCCACAGTCCCATCGTGGGAAACGAAGGGCCCCAATCCCAGCTGAACGAGCTCTGCTCCTTCAGAGGAGCAGAGAAACGTTAAAGTAGATTAGATTCAACTTTATGGTCATTGCACAGGGTACAGGTACTGAGACAAAGAAAGTAACAATGACATGATCCAATCAAACTTTAAACAGTTAAATTCAAAATGTATACGTTAGTTTTGTCTGCACAATGAAAATTAAAGTGGCAAGAAAAACGCTTTTATTTGAATAGTCTCAAAATCTTAAAACAATACCTTTTCCTTATAAAATGGCATCCGTTCTCCAAATACAATTTTAACTTAAACATACGCGTATCCATCAAGATTCTATTATCCAAAACAGTTTTACAGGATGAAATGTTTCTGATGTGACTCGGATCAATTAACTTCGCCAGGTGAGGGGTAAAGCGCAGGAGGACGTTCTTACCTTTCTGATGAAATTGACGTGACATTCCCCCTTCTGGACATCTGGAGGACATTCAGGAGGAACCCTGTAGGCAGAATGAGCTTTCCTCCGCTCAGACGCATAAAGAACTGGAGACAACAGGCTCACTTTTAGCACATTGTCCCCGTCCTTCAGCAAGTCTCTGACTGCAAAGTCCTACTCAGCAAAAACAGAAGACAAAGTAGAGAAAGTAAAGAAATGAGAAAAATGTGCACAATGCGGGAACTGTTTATTTTCCAGGTAACTTACATATTTACGAAACATGTTGTCCGTCTTCCCAACAACTATTCCATTGAGCCAGATAGATGCTACGGTGTCCACGCCGTCAAAGACCAGCAGCACCCTCTGATTGGCTCTGTTGATGAACACGCAAGTGAGTCAGGCACAGGACACAGAGAGAGCTTTAAACAATAAAAGAAATCCCCACACCAACCTCAGCTGGGCGGAGGCGGTAAATGTGGTTGTGTAGGTCCAATTGTCAAAGGCAATCCACCGATAAGACACATCGTTAAACCTGTAGTACGGGTCCTGAAAGAAAAGTAGGAAATTATTTACTTTTTCTTATTTCATTTCTCTCAGTTTGCAAGGTATTACGGACTACTGCTGCTAAAACATGGGAGATTATGTAGATGCAAAATAATGGGCAGACACAAAAGAGAAATATGTTATTTAAAAATAACTTTCAGTGTCTTTTGTTTACTTGGTTAATAGTTTGTAAATTGTATTCTCAAAATGAAATGTTTTGCGTTTTTTAAATATAGAACTGATTTTTTTCTTCAGTACTTCCACCTAAATAAAATGTTTTACCAAAAAAATTAAATGTACACAATGTACTCCTTTTACTGTAGAAAACGACATGCTGTATATTCCGGTGTTCGAAGTAACTTTTGAACAGGCACCAACACCCGCCACCTACTTTGTGTTTCACTCTCGTTTTAGCAAAGTGCCTTTGGCGTCAAGACCAGAGCTTCACGGCCATGTACGTTTGTTTTAGCGCAAATTGTTTCGTTTATACTTTATGTAAAGAAACTATAAAAACAATGTGAAAAAGAGTCAAAAGGGATAAAAATGTTTATTTCCTGGTTTACCGTCGTGGGTCCTGAGAAGCCACGCCCACGACACCTCCACCGCTATGATTATAGCGTTATCTCACGGATGCGATGATAAACCAGTTAAACTTGCGCACCGGAATATAATAAAGGGAATTTACAAAAAGGTGCAGGTGTAAATCCTCACATTTAGTACGTCGTTTACTCTACCTTAATGAATCCCGCTTGGTGAAGAGCTGAATGAACACATCCGGGAACCTCTGCACCCAGAAACACTGAACCATCGGAGTTTGAAAGACTCCATTTACCGTTCAGATTCACAGTTACCGAGCAAAACCCTGGTAAAACGGCAAAGAACAAACACAGCAAACACTTCAAAGTCAAAGTTCTTGGCTTGTTTTTGGACATGGTAATTCACGGGAATACTCTTCCAACTGGGTTTTGATGTGGTTTCTGAATTGGCTTTTCCTGGTTTGTCATGTGACCCTCCTCGTGACAGTCATGTGATCAGAGCCTTCGCGCGAAAAGTTTGAAAACATTTGGTTAAAGACATAAAATGTGCATCCGCTTATGTTTATGGAATCAAAATCCTAGTTTAAAAAAATATATATTATTGTAACTTTAAAAACAAGTTTGTATTACTTTGATATTGAACAAACCACTATACGTATAATTGATATTGCGATTTAAAAAATAAAAAGTTTGCTTGATAGGTACGTCCATACCTGTCAATCTATAAGCACAGTAGGACACTTGTGTTTTTGTAGGAAACAGAGCATACCCGTTGTCAAAAATAAATGTCCGTTTGAGGACAAATATTGACGGTTTACCTCTTTGATCTGGAAAGTAGTAAAAAAATGAAAATGCTGAAACATTCAATGATTTATTAAGACAGCGGTTAGTTCTTTATTATTTTACAGGCATAAGAGGTTTATCAAAAGGATGAATCAGGGATATAGACTTTATAATCAACAAGACAAATTGTGAGATTAGCATCAGACTTTGAACTCTAGTATTTAAACAAAACAAGACCTGATTGGTGTCAAGTAACTTTATTGAAGGGGAAACTAAAAAGAAACAGAGCCACAAGTTGATTATCAACCATTTGCTTTGCATCAATATTTTAGGGCTACAAGAAGACAGTGTTCGATTGGGCATAAATCTAATAGCTCATCTACAGAACGAAAAAGAAATCGAAAGCCTTTGAGGGGATGCACATTCTTCCAACTGTTCAGCCTTACAATCGCCTTAATTTGCAGAAACATCAGATATAATAGCCTACCTTTATTAACATGCATAAAATACAACATTGAAGTTTTAATATTTTGTTTCCTTAACATTGATATATACTGCTGCGCTTCTCTGTACACACACTTTGATAGTGGAATAAGATACACTTCTTTCCTGCAGTAATGATTCCTATACTAAAAGATCAGAAGACGTCACACCCGTTCGGGAGGATACAGGAGCCACTAACCAGTTAGTCAAATCGCTCAGATCAGATCTTTACCACTTTCAAATGACCAAATATAGTAATAGTAGATATATAAAGGCAGCAGAATTTCACCAAATTTAAACTTTAAAACTCTGAGTTTACAGGTTATGGCAAAAGACAGGCTTCTCTGTAAGTGCTTTGAGAAATCCAGCTTAGAGTAAAAGTAATGATCAAATCGCACAGGATGCAGCCAGTGGAGCAGCTGGACCGTCGTGGGGCTGATGGGGTTCAGGAGACCAGTCGCATCAGATTCTACCAAGTGTGTGCAGAGCAAATGTCATCACCAACTCTTACTGGTGCATGCTCAGGCAGAGCGTTAAGAACCACTGTGATTACTTTATTTAAACTCCGTATAAAAATGGGAGCCCAAACTTCACGGAAAACTGGCACGTGTCCTAGAGTGAAAACACTATCTTCTTATAAGCGCGCAGGTGGAAAGAGCAGAGGGCAAGACACTGATTAACCCCCCTCCTCCCCCCAAAAAAATGAAAAAAGAGAAAATTAGTGAAAAAGTGAAACTGAATCCCGTAGGTTTTTTTGTTTGAACCAGCAACAACATTTTCCTCCAGCTTTCCAAATGAAGCAATCACATTGCGTATTTGTGTGTCCAGTCTTTTGCCATTTTGGTGTATCTACAGAGGGGAGAAGAAGAAAAAAAGTTACTTGAGGAATCTCAAAACAAATCACGTTCTGCATAACAAGCGTTTGCCTCATCATCTTGTCAAAGCACATGCACGTCAGCACGTGGCTTTGTGTCAGTTTATGCACGAGTAATTAAAATAACCTGCACAAATTACACATCTCAATGTGAAACACTTCCCTAATGAAGGAAAGATAAATGATTCTCATGCTCGGGTTAGTAAATATGCTTCCATGCACAGAAAGTTCTGCTTCTCTGCTACAACTGTCACAATAGTTTATTTATATCACCAGCGATTGAGCTTTTAACACGATTGAAAGATCGTTCAGATATACAAACACTTAAAGAATAAGGAACAGCATTTTGACGTCAAATACCACAATGCTTTGTTTCCGGATGGGGATAACGAACGAAAGACTCAAAATCAACTCTGAAAATGGCTGCAACGCAACTAGAACCCAGTAATTGTGTCGAGGTGAGCCGAAAACGTTAGTTCATTTTCTTTAATGCCAAATGTGTTTTTGTTGCAGCTTCTCCAATGTTGTAACTATAAAATCGAATATTTGGAGCGGTGATGGGATTTTATCCAACTGTTCCACCCGCGTGATCAAGTGAATAATAAGACTAAAAGATGACAATATGTCATTTGCACTGCTGAAGCTCCAGATTCAAACATTTGAGTAAATGACTCAGCTTATAAACACTGCAACACTTTTACTTTGTGAACACGTGTAAAGTGTATTATTTGACTGGAATACTTTTTCTAGTCATTGATTCACCATCGTATCCCCAGATTCATGTTTTCTTAGAATATCTGGTTCTGTGAAACTATGTAAAAAAATACTGATACATTTTTTAAAATAATGAAATATGTCCTCGTTATTTCTTGTTTGGATTGATTACTCTCAGGAAGCTGGTGTCTACATTTCAGTGCAGCTTGGAAAGATTCAATGGGAATCAAAATTAATGAATTAAAACCATTTAAATCAATACGTTACAATGTTCTGGTTGAGTCTTTGTTCTCACATCTGTGAGAAGTGATTTGCTTTTACTTCCCTGCAACAGAAAACTTTTGGATTAACACTACTGGACTATTATATCGTGACGGATTGGTGGAAATATTCTGCTAATGTGTGTATTTACAGCAACAGGCTTCATCCACAGGACATCAAAGCGCACGTGAAAAGCCAAACTCAAGAGAACGAGTTCCGTCAGTGAGGCCGCGGCATCACAGAACACAACAGACCAAACGCAGAACACCAGCCAAGATGCTCCGTCTTACCCTAAAGCAAGGCATACTTCGTGGTCCACTCCTGAGCTAGTTTATTGTACCTGACAGAGTGAAACTACGTTACACACTCATTGGACGAGCCGGCCAATTGTCGCGCTTTGGTTAATCATCATCCTCATTAAAACATACAAATCAGAGGCCAGTTTATTAGGAATGACTGGGCTGCAAAAAATCTCTTCACGAAAGTTGGGATGTTCAGTTGTGTCATGTTCATTTAGAGAAGTGCCAGGACAGGTTGCCTCATCTTTAGTGAATAGTTCAACGCGCATGTGTAGAATATATACACACACACACTCACCTCGAATTATCTGTTTTGTAGATCTGAGCGATCTCTGGCACTAGCGGGTCGTCGGGGTTTGGGTCGCATAGGAGTGAGCAGATGGAGAGAAGAACTGAGAGAAACAGATTAAATATAAACGTCAAAAGGAGGAAATTAAAAGGCAAATCTGGGTTTTAACTTCCTTACTTGGGAACACGGAAACGTAGATAATAGCGAAGCAAGTCTAGTTGTTCACAAAGAAGGAATTTCAAGCATTCGAGAATTTTGACGCCGGTCACCTCAAGTAAAGGAGATCCTACTTAGCAGGTTTAGCTTTAAGTTTTAATTTGTTATGTGTCCGCAAATCACATTACTGAAAATACAAAAAAAACATCTAAAATGACACACATTTCAATCACATTTATTTTTCAGTCGACAAGATTGACATTAAGCACATTGTGTCCTTGTTGTACCTTTAGAAATGGTGAGCGCAGGAGACCACTGCGATCTGAGGATATCCAGACAGATACTGCCGTTACTGTTAATGTTTGGGTGGTAGATTCTTGTTGTGAATGCAACCTGGCAGGAAATAAGAACACAGAAACCAGTGAGGACGCGTATAATAGGACACGCGTCAGGTTAATGTTATGCAATTCAAATTCCCGACAGGAGGCAGAACTATTTAACGCTTGTGTTGTTATCAGCTGCTGGAAAAACTGGTTCAACTTGATGAGGGTTGTAAACAATCAAAGTGAGTTCATGACGCACAAGCGCTGGGCTTCACACAACAAATGTTTCCCCAATACATTTTCTGAGGTAAGTTCCTAAAAGTAAATAGTTATTGTTCAGGTGTGATTCAGCGTACCTTGGGTGGCTTGAAGGGGTAGTCTGTTGGAAAATGAATCGTCAAGAAGAAAACACCCCCCTGATATGGACTGTCACTCTGAAAGGATAAATGACATTACAAAGTCAAATCTCAACCTTTACCTCGTGAACGGGTTATGACATCATGCTACCGTAAGGCCAGAAAAAAGGATCAACAATTGTGTCATAAAGGATCTACTTACAGGCCCCATGATCGTGGCTTGCCAGTGAAACACTGTGGAGAACAGAAAGTCAATGTAAGGGAAGAGGAAAAGGGCACCAGAAAGAATCCAGTCTCGAAAACACCATTTCAATTTATAGAATATCGTCATATTTGTTTTACAATACGTTCCATCCCTCTACCTAGGGAGGAGGTATAGATGACCAACGGAACACGTTCTCGTGGTACATGCGCACAGCTTTGCTTTTAGTTCAATTTCTATATATAAAAAAAAAATATTCTGTTGAATTTTTCAGAAAATGAATGTTCTGTTTTCTTTGTCATTCATGCTGTTACAATTAAACAACCGTGGAACGCTTAAATAAAGCTAGGAGTGTATCTTTGGCCTGTGGTCAATCATTACATCTACTTTCCACTTTTTTTTCTGGGAAGGAAATTGAAAAGGAATAAAAATAATAGAACTTTGGAGCGGCCCTGAGGAACTTACTGTCGTCGCCCACTGGGCCGGCGGAGCACTGTGCCGGAGGGTCACGGGCCAGGTCGTTAAGCTCCTGAAAGCAAAAGCAAACGTTTACCACAATAATCAAGTCCATTCATCTTCACAACCTCTCTATCTCTTTCCACCAGCTGAGGGAGAGAAGGGCCCCTTGTTATCATTCACAAGAGGACACTTGAGCACATCGAGCCTCTTAAAAAGGTTAATTTTAGGTGGCATTTTGACGGGCACAATTTCACAAGGGAGTTAATGAGTTTCCTTGAAAGAGGATCCCGGATAAACAGTCGTGAAGACCCTACGGGGGCCGATGCTCCACGTCTGACCCCATTAAAACTACCACAACACTGATGGCACCGAAACAACACCATCACACACCAGGACGGTGGACCGTGAACCAGGAGTCCCCGGGCGTCCTGAGTCACGGATCGCTGACACGTTTTAACGATTGAATGTAAAGCAACGGATCGGTACAACAGCCAGGGAGAAGTCAACTATGCGGGCGTTTGCGTGACTAAACGAGGTGTGTGTGCGTCGCGCGACTGACGCGGCCTTTCTCCTTTTATAGTAGCCGTCATGTCACTTGGATCAAACACACGGAACCTGTAACGTAATCAAAAACGCTCGTGCTAGCGAGCTAGCTTAGCTGAAGGCTGTTAGCCGATCATCGCGACATCGGTGTGTGGCAGCAGTGACTGGTCGAAACTATCCTCAACTAACCAATTACCATAAAAACACACCAACTTATTAGAGATCCGAACCTAAAACACGTTTCCCTAACACGCATCCAGCGGAGACACTATCGGTGACGGCGATGTTGGGAGGCTAGCGCGGCGCGCTAACCCCGTCAGAACGCGTTATCTCTACCTTGTGGATCCTCTTCAGGGCCATCTTCTCTCCACGTCCGTTCTTCTTTCGATTTGAAGGTTTTCCGATCCAGGCAGTGAGGGGCAACCGTGATATGCCAGGATGATTGCGCTCCCCAGTTAAGTAGTTGATGCCGGGGACAACTCGACGGCCTTTCTTCTCGGGAAGCTAGCGCAGTTAGCAGGCGAGCTAAAACTACGTATGCGCAGAGTTTGGGCGACAAAGGGTTAGCCCGCGATGCTAGCGAGTTTATTCTCCCCCGAGCGGTTAGGCTGTCTCTCCGGTGACCCCGCGCTTCCCCGTTGTCACGAAGCCGTATATCGGATTATCTGAATCCCCGGGCTGAGGCTTAGAAGGTACGCTAACAAGGTGAAGTATCCCCGGGACGACAAAGCTGCTCTCTCGTTAGCCAACTAGCGGCCGCCTGCCCGTATTTGAGGCTTTCTTATGGGGAAGGCGGTCCAGATGGCAGCCGAGTGACGAGGCGGAAGTGACGTAGCAGTCAGCCCGCTCAGTGTTTCATCAAAATTAAAGTAAATAGGATCTATTTTGTTTCTTTAATTATGGTTATGAACAAACTAAAAGTATACACACATTATGATTTATTTTTATTTTTAATTGTTGTGCCTAAATAATTCTATTTCACTATTTAGAGGCAAATATTGCACTCGTTACTGAATTTGAAGGATATCTCCACTTCCCAGACTCCTATTTTGTGATACAAAAGATAATATTATGTCACATTATATATATATATATATATATCAGATCGCTAGGAGTCTATTAACCCCTATAATATAATGAAATAATATATTTAATATTCTGAAATGGGCAAACGTTTTTTGTATTTTGAGTCATTTTGTCAATCTATTTTGGTGCGAATATTGTCTTTTCCATTCAGGCTGAATTGGAATGCATGCTTTTAGCTCTTGAATCTGACCGCTTTATCGTTACAGCCAACTTGAGCAATACATTAGATGAAATAGATCTTCAAAGTTATTTACAGTGGCAACAATTAGTTGAGAAAATAAGTCAATAAATAATCTTAAAAAACTAAACTCATTAATCACTTAAATACAGTTTGTGTCATCTCTCATTCAAACACGCCAACTTTGGCTCATAATAGTTTCAAGTTGTTGGATTTTGTAACCCTCAGCTCCAGAAAAACGGTGCAGCAAATTTCACTATTAAGATGATTATTTGATGGTGACCGTTTAGTCCAATATAAAAGTGGAATCATTCCTTTGCATTGTCCAGCCTATTGTTCATTGGATGTGCTTTTCACTTGTACTGGCTTATACTCACATACTAAAGTTGAGCAAAGAAACATTGCCCAGCATGTGTAAAATATTTAAGATAAAAACTATTTCCAGCATTTGATGATTATACTTCACCGTAGATCTGTGTGAAATTAAGTAATGATGCTGAATACTTTATTATCTCATTATCAACATGGATAAAAAAAGATCTGGTCTCTCTCTCTTAACTTTCACCTACATTAGCAATATAATGTCAACCTTCCCATCCACATGTTGTCAATTTATTCATTTTAAAACTACGGGGCAAAAAAACGGTACATGTTCACATGAAGCCGAGGAAAAGGCTGATTATGATTTATAAAAGACAAATTATGCTACATTGCTTTCACAAAAATCCAATAGAGGATTACAAGGAAATCTGAAAAAACAGAACAAATCAAAGTTAATATTGACGCAAGACATAATTTCTATGAATTATATGTATATCTATCTTTTTTTCCTCTTTACAATTTCTTCACAGTCGTACAATAAGCGTATCATTTACTCTCCATTCTCAACATAGATGCATATTATTAGCTGAATTGAGGCACGTTCATCCCACATTTCTCCGTAGGTTCACAGAGAGAAGGCAGATATGTTTCGGTTCCCCTTCACACCCTTTCCAAGGCACCGGTGCAGGTAGTCACTGTTGTCTGTGCTTGTGCAAGAGAAGGTGAAGGTGGGTCTCATCAGCTTCGGGTCTGAGGAAGTAACTTGGAGGATCGCCAACAGAGTCCAGGAGTTCTAAGTAAAGTTGGTCAATCCACAAGGCTCACACCGCACGCCTCATGCTTTCCGTTTTCCTGTTAAGGCTGTGATCTCCCATGATTTGGATGGGCCGTCACGGCTGAGATGTTCGTGGCTCTCAAGGACAACAAGTTCTGCCTCCTTCGAGTTCTGCTCCGTTGGAGTCAGATGGGTCCTTCATTGGCCCGTCGTGTATCCGTAGTTGGCCCGGGTGTCCATGACAGCGGTGAGTCCTGCCCACCGCCCTCGCTGCTCATGTTACCAGAGGCTTCACCCAGCGGCACACGGGAACTAGAAATGTCCCCCGAAGAGCAGCTCGACGCCGGCCCGACAAGTCCGACAAAGTCTCCGCTGGAGCTGAAACGAAGACCTCGACCAGCTTTACTGAGAGTGTCAGCTGGTTGGTCCTGATCTTCCCTCCGGAGATCTCCGCCGTCAAAGCTCATAGTCTCCTCCCGCTGCTGGGCGGGATCAGGCGTCTCCTGGGACGGGCCGTTGCCCCCATCCTCGTCCGCCTCTTGATGGGTCCCGGCGCCCCTCTGAGTTTGAGCTGCCGGGGCGTCGCCCGAAGCCGGGCCCGGACCCGTCGCTGTGCATCGGACCGTTTGGTGGCACATGGGGCAGGTCTCCTGCACATACAGCCACTTGCGGAGGCAGTTGCCATGGAAGAAATGTCCGCAGTATGTGATCACAGCGGCGGTCATTTCCTGTGAGGAGGAGAGACGCATTTTACTTGACAACCAAACCTGTAGACTGCATTTGTTTAAGAAGCAGAGACATCTTTAATACTATTTAACATGCGTAAAGATTTTAATACACATATAACATTCAGCATTTATAGTTCACACGTAATGTTACACATTGTTGTTTAATGTCATCTCTTTTCAATAACCCCGTAAGTAATTCTTTAATATATTCTTTTTAAAGTAAATATCCTCGATGGGGATCAATAAAGTATGTTAGTATTATCTTTATTTAAAAATAAAACAACTTCTCAAAGTTCTCAACAAGTTAATGGCCGGGCCAACAAATCTTCTGTTATTATGAAGATTTTCTGTGTGTGACACAGAAACATGGCTGAAGGCCAAAGATTTGCAGAGGTTGGGCTGAACTGGAAAAACAGGATGCACATTCTTAAGATGTTGTTGTATGTGTAATGCACGCGCTCACGATCTGCCACGGGGCGGTTTAACTCTACTCTCGGGTCGATATTGTGATAATATTGAGAGTAGGTTTTGGTTATGCAAAATAAAGTCTCACATCGCCGGGTGAAGAAGAGCTGAACATTTAAACCAGTTTTCATTCAGTCGTGTAGATGCGTTGTTGCAGATTCCCTCAGCAGGACAGAATGTCAGGATGTGCTTTTCAACATAAACTGCTCCATTGATCGACTGACCTGGAAGCAGATGGAGCAGACGTCGTTGTGCTGCTGCAGCTGTCCGGCCGTGGCTCTGGGGAGGGAGTTGATCTTCTTCGCCGCTTTCTGTCTGAGCAGGAAGCTCCTCCAGCCGGATTGAGCCCGGAGCCAAACGTTGAAGTACGAGTGGATGATGATGACGGAGGCGCCCATCCAGCTCCACTCGCCGAACAGCGACTCCCAGGTGCCGTACGCCACCACGCAGAGCGCCACCACGAACTCCAGCACCCTGCTGACGGCGTTGACCCAGTAGATCACTTCGTCCAGGCTCTCGATGGGGTCGCTGCGGAACAGCTCCACCATGAAGAGGGAGTAGATCAGCATCGTGCCCGTAACCTGGACCCACAGGAGGTTACACATAATCAACTTTGTTGAATGTTTAATGGAAGGACTGTATGTAGAATTTTTATGGGATGAAAAACCCCTTTTTCCTGTCGATCTAATGACTTAAATATTTGTTTGCAGGGAGTTCAGTGTCCTATTTTATACGGCCACTGTGGAGCGCCAAAGTCAGGATTTATCTCGTTCTGAACTTTTGGGGCCCTTCATTTGTAAAGACACGTGGAGTCATACCTGAAGGGAGGTCAGCATGCAGCTGGACACGAGGATGAGGAGCCAGAAGTCCATGTGGAAGAACTGGGAGATTTTATAAGCCATAACCACAGGGAAAACCAGCAGAAATAGACACATGCTGAGGCCACGGAAGTGTTTCCACACACTCCTAGAAAAACAGGGAAAGAAGACGACAACAGCAAACCCACTGAGTACTGCTGGAAAACCTTTGAACGTCGTGCACATACACGTATTGAACCTCAGTAACCTCTTGTTGCACGTTACCTGTTGCGCGATGCGCCCAGGGCCAGAATAACCGGGTCGGTTATTTCAATCATGGACTGCAGAGTTGAAGTCCCCACGATGAAGAGGATGATGCTGAGGAGGAAGGTGCGCTGCAGCGCCTCCATGTCCAACAGCCCCGTCTGGAGAGCGAGCAGCAGCAGGGTAACGCCCTCGGTCACACCTCTGGAGAACAGGGGGGTAAACAGGGCAAATCAGGTTTTTCCTCTAATAACATGGTTCAACGTGTCAATGATGTGCCTCAAGTGGTCCAATGAATCTGTTACTGTATGCTAAAGTGTGGAGCAAAAGGAGTTACCTGTGCATCACGTTCTCGCTCTGAACAGCTGCATAACCTCCGAGGTAGAACTTGCACAGGTTGAGCAGTCCAAGAGCGAGATAGGACACCACGAAGGTCAAACCCAAAAGGGAGTACGGAGTGGCACAGCATTCAGAGACACTGTAGGGGGCAAAGACGACACAAACTTTAAATAAAATAAAATTTGTGTTGGGTAAGTTGGTTTACAAAACGTACACAAGGGAATGTTAATAATCCACATTGTGACATCACACCTGGTGAGCAGGAACAACATGATGCCCTGATGGCCCGCAGAGGTTTTTCCTGACATGGCATCTGAGCAGAGCTGGACCACGAACAGAACAAACCAGAAGACGCTGAAGAGCACCGGGACGGCAAACTGGTTCCACAGCGAGATTCCCACGGCCAGAAGTCTGTACAACTCGATCACCTGAGGGACGCGACGAGGAGCATGAAAACAGGATCAACAAAATGCATTGAGGATCACCGGCACACTGGAATCAAGAAACTGTTCGATTACAAACCAAATCATGTGCTAAAAGATTTGAATTTGAGATGTGAATAAAACTCTGACAAGAAAATCAGAGAAAACAAACCTATTTATGATGCCCTTGGATCATTTTCACTTGAAAAGCCTAAATGATTTTATAATACCTACACATTAAAACAGTCAAAATATTTTTGAATTGGTAGATTGTGTCCAATATTTTCAAAATTTGACAATTTTGTAGGAAAAAAACAAATCCACTGGAAACTTCTTGGAAATTGTGTTAACTGCATGTACATCCGTACATGCATAAGTCCTGAATGCTTCATGGACAAGCAGGATTGAATTTCTTCATCACATATACATTTCAGAAGAAGAATACCTCCAGCTGCAGCAGCTCCGAATAAGCGGCCTTTGCCAGCCGATATGGCACGAAGAGATGCGAGAGGAGGAACAGGGTGACTCCCGCTGCGGTCAGGCCCATGGCGAAGGTGTTTACGGCTAACAGCGTGGCGTGACGCGCGACGCAGAGTCTGGCCAGCAGGGGGAGCACGTGAGCAGAGAGCAGCCACACCTTCCTGGTCTTCATCAGGAAGGCACACAGCGTGCTGAGAATAATCTGACCTGGGCCGAAAACAACATTGGGACCATTGTAAGGCTTTTTTTCTCCATTTGCTCCCTGGTGGAGGTTTTATTGGAATATATGTGGAGATTACACACAGATGAAAAAGTACAGAAAATAATCACAACCAGCTCACATAACAGATTGATCTGAACAATTGCATTAAAATAAAAAGTCTGCCTCGTTGCTCAGCTGGACTTTGTAGGTGTGGACCCAGTCCCAACTGTAACAAATCTGCCGCTGATCTAAAGTCTAAAGTTTGGAAAAGGGAAAAAAACGTATTCTTATTATGTATCATATTTACATGTAAATTTGGTTAGAGGACTCACTCGTCATCGCAGAGACGAATCTGTTGAAGGCCAGAGAATCGAGGTACACTGCTCCTCCATGGCCGTACCGCAGCTCCTCGTGAACGTAATCCCTGGGAAATGGTTCATAAATCACATATTCACTGTATGCTCTTTGTTTTGTGCCATGAAGAGAGCACCCAGTTGTTCCAGTTGTTTTCTTACTTAGCGTTAGCTTGTTTTTTTGGAGTTAGAACTGGTCCACAATCAGAGCTGGCTATATAAATAAATGAAAACCGCTTTGAAAAATACAAAGAAAGGAGAAACATGTGAGAGAAAAGGCGAAAGTGAAAAATCTAAATGAATAAATTATGAATTAATTTGTGCATGTTTATTTTTTGTTTATTTAAACGTAATCATTCATGTCTGACAAAATAAGAAAGCCTTTTTAGAGCAGCGACCCTGAATCCTTTGAAGACGCCACTGCTTCTTCTCACCTTACAGCACATGATATCGTACTGTCTTCTAAAATTAAATATCAGGGTGAAGAGAGAGACGAGACAGAGAAAGAGGAAACCGATCCAGCTACTACAGCACGTAGCAGCAGTAGTAGTAGTAGTAGTAGTAGTAGTGGGGGTGGTGGTGGTAGTACTAGTGGTAGTAATGGTAGGGCATCTCACTTGGAAATCTGATGCCCCATGTAAAGCAGAAGAGCGGCCAGGATATGGAGGTAGAGCGTCACAATGTGTCTCAACGGCAAAACCAACACCACCACGTTTAGCAGATGACCTGGAGACACAAATTACGTCTCATTGTCAAGGCAGCCTGTCCCGTTAGAAGCCGTTCGCATTATATCACCTTACCAAAGTAGTACATGTTCCAGATGACGTATTTGTACTTGAAGAGCATGTCTTCGTTTTTGGCCTTGAGGTGCTCCGTTAAGCCTTCGACGTCACATTTGTACAGCAGGTCCAGGACCAGTATGCTCGGCACCCGGAGGACAACGTTGGCCAACTGCTCCAGACGAGGCATCTTCGACACCCGCCCCGGGGGGTGTTGTTTGGGTGGGAGCAGACAGCCTGTGTGTGTGCGTGTGTGTCCGTGTGTCACATGTTGTTTGCTAACCGTCTCACTGCTTTGCTCGTCTTCTTGTCATCTGAAAGAAGCACACAAAACGCCCGTGACTTCCTCTAAGAGGCCATTGATGAGGTGCGGAGGGGTTTTAAAACGCAAAATAAGTTAGCGTGTGCGTTCAAACATAACTAACAACACAGCTTTTAGCTGGCTGAGTATTTCACTTACTTCCCACGGTGACAGACGCGCGGCCGTTTGCTAGCTTGTTCCTGTTGCTCTCGGTTAGCTTTCGCGTCGATCGGCAACATGTTTTCGTTCAATACAGCACAATTTTTCACGTTTCCTGGAATAATGCTGCGCTTCGGTGATAGTTGGAGACATTGTCAGTGGAGACGGTCGGATTAAACACCTGTAATTAAACGACAAAAGGGCGCGGACAGAGACTTCCAATGCAATGTTATGATTCCACTCGCTTGCGTGGCCATTTTCCGCCGTCACGTCAGAGCAAAATGAACCAATCACGTTCACGTATTCTGTATTTCAAAATAAAATGTTTTTTGGATACTACAGACTTTTGTACTACTACTGCTTCTACTAGTACTACTGGTATACTGTATGTTAAACGTACTTTTTAGCAATACATTGTAACGTATAGAAAAATAAATATAAAATACTTTAAATTCTTGTTCACTTTATGACCAATGGGTCAAAAGTAAAGAAATGTTGGTAACCAATGCAGTAGTGAAGAGTGCAGCAATGAAAGAATACTCTAAAGGCAAAGCTAACAATGTTGTTACATATTGGACATGTTTACATAAACTATTTTCTTCTTCTATTGTACTTTTATGATTATATTGAATCAATGAAGTATGGAAAGAATGAGGTACAATGGACTTCGTAGTACAAGCAGTTACTGTCGTGGCTGAATTATCTTAATGGTCCTGACATACAAAGTGCAGATGCACTGGTTTCACTTGATAATGTAATGCCACTTCCTGTCTGTGTGAGAAGCTCTCTTCTTTGTCATCTGCATATCTGAAGGAAGCGGTTACTCGTTTGGGGTTTATTTGATTCTCCCAAATAAAATCTCTTAAAATATTAGATGTGAAACAAAAACGGTACTATACACTTTTCAGTTGATGAGCTTATGCCCGTAGAAAAGTATTCATGTTCTTAAAAAAATAAAAGTCCTGCAGAATAAAATCCTGCACCCTGTCATGTACAATATCAGCAGGCCATTTATTCTACTCGCGTAAACACTGTAACATCTAAACAAACTAAATAAGACTGTGCAAACTTTTGAGATGTTTACATTATGTTTAATGTGGTCATATGTTCTCTGTATTTCTTTGCCTAATCCTGGAACACTCAACCAAAATTAAATTACGATCAAAATGCTTTTACTTTTAGGTGTATTTACTTCTGTCATTGAGTTGGTTTGGAGTAGACGTTTGGAATATTTCCAGTAAACCCTACAGCTGAAGAGAAGATAATTTACACATGCTCAGAGAGACGCAGCTGAGTCAAACCTGGAAACACAAACCAAAAACAAGCTTCACTGTATAGACTGTTTGTGCTTACATGCTGAGAGCAGCTGGGATCTAGAGAGTGAACTCCTTGTTGCTCTTTATGCCGTTCTGCATTGCAACATTATTCACTTTACCAGATGTTGACAGGCAAATGAATAAAAGCACATTCAAGCTCATGACTGTTTGACTCAAATATAAAGTAGGGGTGTGATGCCTTTCATTTCAAGTAATCAGTTGTAATAAACTCCAGCTCGTCCCTGCAGAGCAAAAGATACACAAACACTTTGGCAACAGATCCATCAACAACCAAGGGGGATTTATTGCCTGTCTGGTCCTCATATTGTTATTTAAATGGTTAACACTGTTGCAGCTGTTTTGCATTAGATGTTTTCCGGGAAGCACAGCGGGAGTTCTTCTGGAGAAATCAAAGAGTCAGCGGGGGGAGGTGGAGGACGACGTGAATCATGACTGATAAAAGATTGTGGCAGGATTGTGTCTCAGAGTGGAGAGTAAACAGCTTGTGAAGTGAACATGGCAGAAGAAAGAACATTTTTCCTTCAAAATAAAAGGTGAGGGAAATTGGGTCATGCGCTGCCAACAGACCTTCAGGTCGACAGCGAAGGGGAGAAGAAGCTGCCCCATGGGGGAAAGATAAAAAACGAGAGAATTAGCATGAAACTTGACCAGCACCAGATGTTTATCTGAGGAAAAGTCCCCACTTTCTGGCAAAGAAACGTTCATATCCTGAGTCCTTTCAGATGAAAGCACCACACGAAGGGATGGCAGCTCATCCAACACACACAGTCAGTTCACCAAAACAGCTGCGACAGGATGCACCTGTCAGGTTTTTAAGTCTTCCTCTTCATGTAAAAATGTTAGGCGTTATCTCCAGCAAACATCCGGCAGCAGCGAGGAAAGACATCAGTTTGTTTTTTGTTCTCTTTTTTCATTAAGTTTATAACATTTTGAGGGATTTGCAAAGTAAAGTGAAACGTGTAAAGGAGGAGCTAGTCTTGTTTCTCTAGAAGGTTAGTTATCAAATAAATGTAGTGGAGTAAAAGCTTTAAAAGAGTGTGAAGCAGCAGTAAATGGAAACACGCTGTGGTGCACAATTAAACAGTAGTTCAGTCATGAGGAGATGAAACACACGTGGGGTGAATTGGGCAGAAATGGTAACTTTTCATGCCACACTTTTGCAAAAACTTGTGTGTAGGCAGTTAAACAAATATGTCATTGATGTACAACGAACTGACACTGTGTAAACTTTTGTAAAAACTTTTATTGGTGTTCTTATTTAATGCCTTTTTGTTCCCGGGACTTCAGTTGGAATTTTGCGAGGGAGGGGAGTTGGGACGAAGGAGGAGGGAAGTGGATGAAGGTCTGGCTCTCTGTCATCTCCACATAAACTGGCCGTGTTCCTCCACCCCCCCTTCTCCCCTTCCCTCCTCACCCCTCTCCTCCCCTCACTCTGCAGCGGCACACAAAGAGGAAGATGGAAAAGACATTGTGCACGTTGGCTGCAGTGATTTTTCTGGGTGGAATTTTAGACGCAGCGTTGACGGACGACCCGACGACCCCGATTAGTCCGTCGTTTAGCAACACAACTACGGCCGCGTCTGCAAGCAGCGCAGACCGACCGGCTCCAACAGCTGCAAGGACCAAGTCCTCCACTGTCAGGGACAAACATCTGGAAGGGGAAGGACAAGACAAGAGGCTCGGTAGGACAAAACATCACATACAGACATATTAATTATTATTTGAGTCAGGAAGATCTACAAGTCTACAAATTGCTCCAAACAACATATTTCAAACGGTCTGAAACCGTCACAAAATCACAAAAGAAAACCAGCAAATTTCTACGTTTGGGGAACTGGAGTGAGTGATGTGTTTTTTAGTGCAGATCAACAGCACACATGCTAAAGGCATTTGTCCTGTGCGAACAAAACCCTCCCTTGAAACAGAAACAGAACATCCTTATTCTGCTCCTCCTGTTTGTAAGATTTGAAAGATGTGAAAGTGAAAAACTCTTTTGTCCCAAAGAGAACTAGTTTTAAAGAGAACTTTTTGATCCTGCCAGTTAGTGATTAACGGGGCTGCAGTTGTGGCTCCACTGGCCCCCAACTTTGTCTCAGATTACATTCAAACCTTCCACAGCTTTGCTTATCTGCAGTTTTCCTCTGCAGAGGCCCACCAGGCTTCCACGGAACCGACCCGAGATCATTGGAGATATTCCGCATAGCAACCTCTAATTACATTAGACGGGTGTTTGCTTGCCGAGGGGCACCAGAGGGAGAGTTTTAACCCGTAAGCAGCTGGTTTCTTTGATAAACCAGCATCTCAAACTCAGAGGACCTGATCTCCCTCTCCTTCCAGACTGCCCCCCCCTCGGCCTGGAGTCCCTGCGGGTCGACGACAGCCAGATCCAGGCTTCTTCCTACCAGGCGACGGGTCTGGGTCCTCACCGGGGGAGGCTGAACATCCAGGTGGGTCTGCATGCAGCACCGTGAGAGGCTTCTTATGGAAGTTTAAAGGATAAAACTACAGGAAACCTGCATGATAACGGTGCTGCAACTAGAGGTTGTTATCGGTTTGGACACTAAATAAAGGTTGAACAAGGTTGAATTCTGAGAATCCCAGGTCCAAACTATACCTTGTTATGGCCGACAATATTTATCACAATGCAGATGCACGCTGACGTTTAGCATGATAACAATTGGTTATTGCCACTGAACACAAAGTACAGCAGAGACGGATGTGAGTCATTTTTATTTGTTCTAAACCAAAGTATTGGAAAAATTGATGGCAAGAATAAGCTGTGAATATCTGCACAAATACATATCTTAGTCTGGATCCCCCTCTCATGTTCTGCAGTCAGAAAGCAATCACAACACGGACGCACAAGTTAGAGCCGTGTGTTAAATGCATTTAGCAGATGGCCCAAAGAAACCCTTCCACATCTGTGTAACATGTGTTTACAGTCGGGCATCGAGGACGGCGACCTGTACGATGGAGCCTGGTGTGCAGAGCATAAGGACCGGCACCAGTGGCTGGAGGTGGACGCCATCCACCTCACGCTGTTCACCGGGGTCATCCTGCAGGGCCGAAACTCCATCTGGAGGTCAGGTAGCATCAAAACGTAGTTTAAAACCGCCGCTAAAAGCACGCAGAAAAGGCAGTGTTCTTTATGCGCGTTAAAGTCAGCATGTCGCAATCTAACGCTTGGACTTTGTTACAGTTGGGACTGGGTCCACACCTACAAAGTCCAGCTGAGCAACGACTCCGTGAGCTGGAAAAGCTGCATGAATGGGACAGAGGAAGCGGTGAGAACCCTTCTTTCCTTTTTAAAGGAATTCATGTACCGTGACCGGCGGACCTCCTGCTGATGCAAAACAGATTTCCCAGAGTTTGTGCTCTTAGAGAGAAAGAGAGAAAACAAGCACAGAACAAAGCTGAAAACTGTGTTTGGCATAATAACACACACTTTATTCCCATGAGTCACTTGCAACAAGTAACAACAATGTAAATGTGCATTCAAACTCAAATATTGATGAAGGCAGCGCATTGCCAATGGTGTGTTTGTTTTACATCGGATCTCTTACTGTTGGTTTTCTGGATGATCAGAATGTTTTCAGAACGAGGGTTTCTCTTTGAGTATTGGACAACTTAACCGAATCGCACTGCAGTCCATGTTGCAGGGGCAACACGTTCACACCTCTGTGATGTTGAATTGTACAGATATTCGAAGGGAACCAGGATCCAGAGACGCCGGTGCTCGGGCTCCTTCCCGTTCCCACCGTCGCCCGGTTCATCCGCATCAACCCTCAGACCTGGTACACAAACGGCAGCGTCTGCCTCAGGGCCGAGGTACTCGGGTGCCGAGTGCACGGTAGGCCGCCTCGCAGTGCGCCGCCTCGCAGTGCGCCGCCTCGCGGTGCGCGTGGCGCCTTTTTCTTTAAGGGCCACGTTGTCTTTCGGGAAGTCAATGTGCTCCTTCCTGGTAGATCCGACTGAAACGCACTCGGAGCAAGAGCCGGGGTCACAAGACGGCCTGGACTTCAGGCAGCACAACTACACGGAGATGAGGAAGGTTGGTGACGGATGACCTCGGTTTAATGAGTTGATGCCAAAGTTTTTAGTCAGACTCGTTTCTGAATTTTTACAAACCAAACAATCCTGTTTTAAATGAAACAAAAGCGAGGCCATTTTATTCGTATGGCGCATTTCAACAACGAGGAAATTCAAAGTGCTTCACATAAAACCATTAAAAACATCCAAACATGAAGCAAGGAGATTTACAAACAGTTGATTGAAACATAAACCTCAGAAAAAGAGATAAATCCTGCTGAATGATGGAATTGATGCCTCTCAGTGACCTTTCTTTTGCAGAATACTGTTGATGCTTCAACTATGTTGACTGTTGATGCGTCTTGATCATACACACTTACGTAAATTAAGAGTTTGAGGCAATTAAAGGGATGCATTTGGAAAAGTATACTCACTGTTCGTACGCTCAAAGCCTCTAAACACTTCACCACTGCTCACGACCCCCCGAAGCTCATGAAGTCCGTGACAGAGGAGTGTCCAGACATCACCCGCGTCTACACCATCGGGAAGAGCTACGAGGGCCTCAAACTGTACGTCATGGAGATCTCAGACAACCCCGGCAAACACGAACTGGGTAAGAGAGATTCCACTCTTCTTCTGCCCGTTGAGATCTTCTTCAAAGTCTCAAAGTTTCTGGACCAGAGTTCATGGTGTTCCCCCGGGCCCCCCCCCGAGCTCAGCTGCTCGGGGGCTCCGCTCTACATCCTCCAGTGTTTACACAGACTCTTTTTCTGCAGCGGCAGCAGCACACAGGGAGGCTTGGGTGTCTGATAGAGAAGGCTCCTCTTATATAAACAAGATGATCACCGTTTGAAACTGGACCCGGCCTTCTCTCCACCAGACAGGACACAGTTTGTGTGCGATGTGGTTTTCACATGCGGGCCACTCGCGGTCACTCTACAGCTGCCAAGAAGCTTGATTTAATTAGACTAGATTGGCAGATTTTCTTTATTATTTCTTCTGCAGGGAACATATTTCAAAACTGGTTCACATCCAAGACGAAATAATGGGAATTTGGGTTAAAAATATTGGTTTTATGTTGAATTAACACTGGTGCGGAAAACCACGAGGGATTTAAATCTCATCGTTTTGTTGCTGATTTATGAAGTTTAGTTTTTGGGTCTCTGCTGCAGGAATGTCAGCCATCAAGTCCGGCCAAGCCGCGGACGATTATTTGGCAAAGCGTTTCCCACCACAACACAAACGTGTGTTCCTGATGTGGCTCTACTGAGCCTCTTAACTTCGACCTAGTGCATTAAATCTAAAAATCTGAGGCCTCATGTTAGTGTGACTCGAGCTGATGTCGGGCCCAGATACGCATTCCTTCATATTCACTCACTCGGCAAGCGAAAACGACTCCCTCGACTCTCCCCCTCGGCAGGGGAGCCCGAGTTCCGCTACGTGGCCGGGATGCACGGGAACGAGGCCCTCGGCCGAGAGCTCGTCCTCAACCTCATGCAGTACATGTGCAGAGAGTACAAGAAGGGCAACCAGCGCGTCGTCCGGCTGGTGACCGAGACGCGGATCCACCTCCTGCCCTCCATGAACCCCGACGGATACGAAGAGGCTTATAAGAAGGTGGGTGAGGTCAACGGGACTTTGCGTAGAGAGAGGAGAGCGGCATCAAATTATCGCTAGAACTAATTTAACAAAGCAACAATGATGGAAAAGTAGTGCAACTGATCCGCTTGCAGGGCTCCGAACTGGCCGGCTGGGCCGACGGGCGATTCACCTTCCAAGGGATCGACCTGAATCACAACTTCCCAGACCTGAACACCATCATGTGGGACGCCGAATTGATAGCGGAAGATAAATACAAGGTCCCCAACCACTACATCCCCATGCCAGAGTACTACACTAAAGAAGACGCCATGGTAAGTGGACGGGGGGAGTAATAGAAAACGTGAGGAACGGGAGAGGTTTGATCTCTTGAGGCCACATTTAAAAGCTTATCGAGAGTCGTGGCCAAAATCACAAACTGCCCATAAATAAATTACCCAAAAAGAAAAGTTACACTGCCACAAAAGTCTTACTGTGAAATATCTCATGATATAGCCACACATGTGACTGTGAGTCAGCAGCCAATCACGTTAGAGGAGGATCTAGAGCCTGAGGAGCAACAATGTGTCAGTTACACCTTCAACTATGGGCAAGGTAACCAATGATTGAACAATCAACAAGGCTTCTGAAGTGGGTGTCGTGAAGAATGGCGCCATCTGGCGGCGTTGTGAGGAATGACCGCGTGGAGGACAGCAACGAATCGCCTAAACTTCCCACTATAAACATCAGAAGAGTTTTGAAAGAAATTAGTGTACGAAAGGAGCAAAATACCACACTAAAAACATGAGCGTTGGCTGTGACTGAACATTGAGAAGACAAAGAAAAGAATCTTTTTCATATTTAGAAGTATGAACGGAATCAGCAGATGTAGAAGTCTGTGTTTTTCAATGTCAGTACAATCCTTTTTTTCATGCTTTATGGTATATTTGTCTCTTAAACAACCAATGTAACTAAGTGAATAACCTTTGCTCATTTTTCTCCCCCTCCAGGTTGCGCCAGTGACGCGAGCCGTCATCAACTGGATGCAGGAGATCCCCTTCGTGCTGAGCGCCAACCTCCACGGGGGAGAGCTGGTGGTCACGTACCCCTACGACTGCACCCGGGACTGGGTCCCCAAGGAGGACACCCCCACGGCGGACAACGCCTTCTTCCGCTGGCTGGCCACCGTCTACGCCTCCACCAACCGGGTGATGTCCAACCCCAACCGCCGCCACTGCCACTACGAGGACTTCCAGGCCCACAACAACATCATCAACGGCGGCGCCTGGCACACCGTCCCCGGCAGTGAGTCCCCTCCCCTGAGCCACGAACACCTCGTTTTTTTGAACGTAAAGAAATGAGACACAGGTGAGGCAGGTAGGGACGTCTGGGGGCCTCTGGTGGACAGGTAGAGAATAGCAATGAGCTCAAGAAGTGGAAACCGCTTTCACCAATTTCACAGAAGTGCTTCTCAAGGTGTACAATTTAATGATATATCGTCCCAGCGTCCGAACTTGCCTTCAAGAAAGTTCAGTTCTGTGATTAATCTTGACCTATTTGTCTGTAAATGTTACATTTTCAGGTTTAGTAAATACGTTTTTGCTTGTATTAATACTTCAATAAACTAAAATGTGTCCCTCTGCTCCTCGTGGGTCATGCGCTCTCACGTCCTCTCTGCAGGTATGAACGACTTCAGCTACTTGCACAACAACTGCTTCGAGGTGACGGTGGAGTTGTCCTGCGACAAGTTCCCTCACGTCAGCGAGCTTCCCGTCGAGTGGGAGAACAACAAGGAGTCTCTGCTCATCTACATGGAGCAGGTCAGTCACCCCCGGCCGATCCTTCTGCCCGTAACCTTCTCCGTGGAGGCTCACAGCGCGGCGCTTCCTCCGCCCTCAGGTGCACAGAGGCCTCAAGGGCGTGGTCAGGGACAAGGCGACCAAGCGGGGGATCCCAGACGCTATAATCAAGGTGGAGGACCACGAACACGACATACGATCAGGTGACGCGCTCGCTTTTTACAGGTGGAACTCTCCACTGGGGGTGTGTTTCTAGTCTCCTCCGCTCATCCCTGCGAGTTATTCCTCAGCCGCCGACGGGGACTACTGGCGCCTGTTGAACCCGGGCGACTACAAGGTGGTGGTCTGGACGCCGGGCTACTACCCGTCCACGCGGCAGTGTCGCGTCGGATCGGAGCCGCGCGCCACCATCTGTGACTTCGCTCTGACCAGAACGCCCGTTCAGAGGCTGAAGGAGATCCGGGCCAAAGGGGGCAGGATCCCGCAGGACGTCGAGCTGCGCGTCCGCGCTCTGAGGCTCCGCAAGCTGCGCGCCAGCACCAAGGTCCTCAACCAGCGCCGGGAGGGTCAGCAGCGGGCGAGGAGGGCGAGGGCGGCCCGGAGAGCGTGAGGGAGGAGGAGGGTGGGGCCTCAGAGATGACTTTAAATATTAAAAGAAAAAACACAGCGACTTGATCGGGTGTACTGACCCTTTTAAGGCAGATTCAACAACAACAACAACAAAAAACTTTTACAGATGTTGACAGGATATTTAAAAAGCAGGTTTTATACACACAAACACACAAGGACACAAACTGAGTAACTTAAGTACACAAAGTTTTCAGAGCCTTATTGAAATCTTCACATTTATAGACGTTAAAGTTCAAATTCACTTCCCTCGTTGTTTTTTCTGTTTTGCACACGAAGGGTTTCAGTCGATGGCGCTGTCGTGATTGTCGACGGCCGAGTGTGTGTCAGCTGGTCTGATATGTGACGTGTTTCTTTTCTGACAGCGTGCGGTTCACTAAAGTCCAACAAATTTCAAATAAATATGACTTATTTGTCTTAATCTGTTTTGTAGCGTCTGAATCCCAAACCAAAGAAAAGTACAACGTCGAAACGCAGATTTCATTTTTTCTCGGTTCAGAATGTCAGCATAATAACCATTTTTTAATCCTCTTGGGGAACATGAATATCTGCCAAATAGGCATAATTATGTTATTTAATTATGGGCTGATGAAGTGAAAGCAGTCATTCATTCAGAAAAAACAAAACACATTTCTTTTCATTCCCTTCTAAGTTGGTAAATCCTCCTTTGACCGCCCCGAGGGTCCGGGACCCCTAGTTTGGGAACCACTGGTTGAGTTTGACTGCCATCTGGTGGTCGATCCTCAGCACCACACGTGTGCAAACACAAACACCAAACAGTCAGCAGTGCAAAAGAAGCTAACCTTTTTATTTCAGTGACAATAGGTACCATTTTAGTATCGTTGTTGGGATTACTGGCTTTGTTTAAGCCATTTAGAGAAAGTATTTTGTCCCCCGTCCTCTCGTCCTCCAGCTGGGACCATGGTGACGGTGCACAGGTAACTACTGACAACATTCAATCAATCCACACAACAGAAAACAGGTTCAAACCCAGAACAGGAAGAAAAAACAAAGAGCAAAAAAACCATTTAAATGTTTTTTTAGTTGCTATATCTGAAGTGAGAATGGCAGATAAGACACTTCTCTTCAAAGAGCCAGTGATTTTTAGTGAAACAAAAGCAGCAGTGATGCAGCGTGGACGTCCTTTCCCCGTCAGCTCAGTCGACTTAATATAAAACGGCTGCAAATGCCAAATTGAAATCATTTCTTCAGGTCTGTTCCTGGGGAAATAAGTTGTTTGTGAGGAGACCGAGCTGAAAGTGAACGGAACCAAAGTACAAACGTTTTAACAGCCGTTCAACCGAGGTACAAAGTGTTAAAAGCATCCCTCCTCACTCATGAAGGTTGGTTTCATCTGTATTCAGATCTACTTTCTTAATCATTCACTTGCAACATGTTGAGAAATACGCCTCTTTTTGTGTTGACTTTAAAAACAAAATCCATAATATCCGATGTTCCCCCTTTTAGTCCTCAGCTCACACGGACTCGTACAACAAAAACATATTTTGGCCTCTGACACACGAGAGCATCGCGCCTGCATAAGTAAGACCGGTGAATCTTCACAAAGGCTTGTGTGCATAGTAGTAAACGCTAACGTCGAGTTCTTCTTCACGTGAAATCTATTCGGTGTCGGTCATCCGTACGCCGAGGGGCGACGTCCGTGCGCGTGCGATGTGCCGATGCTGGTCGAGGGGATCCAGTCGGTCCTCGGAGAGGAGAAGAGACCTGGTTGGTCACCTTTAGGACAAGACTTAATGAAAAATGATACAAACAGGGAGGAGGTGGGGGGGGGGGGGGGTCAGATACTGACACCCGAAAAGCAACAAAAAGATCAAATATCAAGTCGAATGTTTCTTGGCAGCACTCCAGCCTGTAAAAGGTAAAAGGTCACCCGATGAACGCCCGAGGTGCCGCCTGCTCACCAGGCCAGTAAGTGGGATGGAAGTAAGTAATTGCAAAAAGGCCTTTTCACTTTTGCGCTTTGCAGCGAAAAGGGGGCGATGTCGCAGTGGTGGGTGGGTGGGGGGGGAGAGGGGGGGGACAACACTGTGGCAGCTGAGAAAAGGACAGCAGCTGGACTGCTATCGTCCAGACAACGTAGTAGTTTCCATTTTCAGGCTCAGGGTAAAAACACACAAACTGTGAAGGGAGATGAGGAGTGAACGCGGCGAATCCCAAACGACGCCGAGAGCAAATAAACACCGTGAACATGTGACGACCTTAATACGCCGATAAAACCACTAAAAACCTAAAGCACTAAAGACCTCCAGGGCGGAAAAACACGACGGAGACGGAAAACACGGAGAATTGGGAAGGCGGGGTGAAGGCGTTGATGATGAGGTCCTTGAAGTCGGGGGGTGGGGGGAGGTCAAAGTTCAGATCGCATGAGCAGAGAAGCAGCACCTGTGGAGAGGAGCCGAGCGCCGGTTCCTTCCTCGTCTGGTTGGTTGATTAAAATCTGTCAGTTTGCATCATTAGTGTTTGTTTTTGCCCCGAAACGGCAACATCCGGATGAGTCCAGACTCTAAATAAGTCAAAGTCTTCTACTTCAGTATGAAAAAGGGCCACAGTTTTTCTTTCTTTTTTTACTGGTGCCGAGTAAGAAGTTTGGACTTCCAACTCGCCCCTCAGTCTGCTTTTCAAACCCCAACTGCCCCTTTTCTTTCTCTTTTATGAAGTTCAGGGTCAGAGACGGAGAGTTGGAATCCCCTCCGGCAGGCCGGTCCCGGCTGGGGTCGTCTTCTTCTTCTTCTTCTGCTGCTGCTGCTGTGATTTTCCTTTCAGGTGTCGGCTGACTGCTCCGTCTCAAACAAACTGCTGACAGACCTGAGTTTAGGAGCGCTTAAAATATATCTTTTTTTTCATCCTATTTAGGGTACCAGATGGGTGAGATTCCCCATACAGATTGTCTGGCATGGTGTGCAGAGAAATCACATATCTGCATGCAGTAAATCCCACCCGGCTGGTCCACTCCAGCACTTTAAAACAAATGCTAGGACACGTTGGTCAGGGTTTCTAAAGTTGCAGATTAAGTGACATTCTTAAATTACTTCGATTGGTTTTGATATAACTTATAACAAATGACGCCAAGGAGGCCATATTACTACGTAGATACAGTCTTTGTGCAGCACACGTCTGCATATATTAGATGCTTGGAGTTTATACCCATAGAAAAAGGGGGAGGGGGGTGGGGGGAGGGGACACTTCTTCCTCCCCCAGGTCTGCGGCTAAAACTTGGGCTGGTAAAGCGCCACGCGGCCGCTGAGGCAGCCCGAGGCCAGCTGGCAGTGTGTCGGGGAGAACTTGGTGGTGAGCACCACGTCGCTGTGCGAGTAGATGGAGCGCACCTCCCGCAGGCAGCTGGTCTGGACGGGCACGCAGTCCACCAGCTCGCCGCAGTTCTGGTCGAAGGCGAGCAGGCGGACGCCGTAGCCGTACGGCGAGCAGATGAGCCGTCCGTCGGGGCTGAAGCACAGCTCCTTGATGTAGCCCCGGCCCACGTTGGCCTCCTCGATGTAGTGGGTGAGGCGGAGGGAGCAGCGGGGGGAGACCGGCGGGCGGGTGGGCGCGCCCTCCTGGAACTCGTACACGCACGTCCACTGCAGGGAGACGTATTGTTATGGTATTTGTACCTAAACTCAGGTACTACCAAAAAAAATACTTATACTTATAATATATATTTTTGTTGCTGCGTGACATTTTCCAACAGATGACATCGTTGATGCTCTAAAAGTATCTCGCTGTGCTTTCGGGTGTGTGAAACACGAAGGTGGGGACATGCAACGAGGCGATTGGATGAAGACGGGAGGATGTGTCTTATGCGAGAGGACACGTGTTGCTCACCTCCTGGTCGTCCATGTTGCTGGAGCAGCGGATGAGCGTGGCCCAGCCCTTCGGATGGAGCTGCAGGGAGGTGATGCAGTTCCCTCGGTCTCTCTCCCCGGGGATCTCCGGAGTCAAGACCTCCAGGCTGTTTCTAGGAGGAAGGCCTGCGAGACCAGAGTTGAGTTAAGTCTTCATTACCTTGGCAGAGCCCAGGGGGGGCATCTATTATTCGGTGTTCTCTGACCTTCTCGAGGAGGGTGGATCTTGCTGGAGTCGTTTCCCTGGCGAGGAGTTCCAGCCGACCTGGACGCTGACGTGCCTCCGTCTGCTGAATCAAAACACGGCCACAAATCGCTTTATTTGGTCAGGAAATTTGATTCCCGATTGCCGTTTCAAAGACAAATATCAAAACATCACCGACCGTGCCTTCTGTCTGTAAAACTAACCAAAGTTATTGTGCCGAAATAGGGAAATGTCAGGGTTCTTTTCAGTGTGAAAGGGTACATATCTGGGTAAAACACAGAATTGATATTGATATAATTCAGGCGAGACTGTGGTCTGACCTGAGCTGAGGGGCGTCCGGCGTGCTCGCAGCATGCGGTAGCTTCCCACCTCGAGGGACTGGGTGAGGTCCAGGTCGTGGAGGATGAGCAGGTACCCCGAGGACGTGGAGATGAGCATCTTGGAACAGTCGGGCGTCAGACGCATCCTCATCAGGTAACGGGTGTGGAAGAACTTCTTGTGCGGGCAGCCGTCTTCTGTGAACCTGCGGGGGCACAAGGTCGATGTAACGGAGTTCAGAGGGTTCTAAAGACAAGTGGTTTGGGTCGAGACAAAGAAGGTAAAACTGCTCGTCTGAAGTTCCAGAAAGTCACAATCTTTGAGTAGTTGAGAATTACACCCTAAAAGGACAACGACATTTGCGCCACATTCCAAAGAAAGCTGTGACGCTCACACGCACCTGTTAGTGTCCCACGTGATGACGTTGCCGTCGAAGCCGGACGTGACGAGCAGGCGCGTTTTGGAGTCGTACTCGATGTTCTTCACCCAGCTGGCGTGGCCGTGCAGCGAGCAGACCTTTGAATTCAGCTTCCGGAGATCCCACAATGCAATGGTGGTGTCGTCGGAGCAGGTGGCGAACAAACGGTTGTCCAGGAACCTGCGGGCCGCCATGATATGGTCATCAAGCAGACGTGAATCAAGACACCGGCAGCTTCATCTGACGAGGAGTTTCAGCAGCTCGCCTGGTTTCCCTCCCCGCCGTGAGACACTGTAAAACCCTCCCTGGATGATATACGATCTGAGAAAACGCACCGTATGTTGTTGACGCAGTCCTCGTGGGCCTCCGTCAGGGTTTTGATGTGTCTGGACGAGATGGGGTCAAACAGCAGGACTTCGGTCTGCTCGCAGGCCACGGTCAGCACGGACCTGAGCAGACAAATCAGAGAGGAAAGGAGTGGATCTCTACTTCCTACGAGACTCTCATTATGCTTTTCAACACATAACGGAAAAATTAGAACGTTCCATTTCTATCTTACACACGATGTGTACATGACTTATTCAACGGGATAATTGCACAGAAACATATTTGGGAAGCATTAATGGGGAAGCATCATAGTAAAATATATATTTGTGTTACAGCGAGAAACAACTGGAGAGAAAGATGGGAAATAAATAGGATAAATGACTAATCCTCCGTGTAACCCAACGATAACAGTTTACTCATTTCTATTATTGCATAACGATCGTTATAATACAGTACGTGCAAGTCCTTTACCAGAAAGTTCAAAGTTGGATATCACATTTTGATTACTAGAAGTTCAAATAACAGCTTGTTCCGACCCATAATTGTATGTGATACACTTTCAATGTTGTCAAGATGCTGACCAGTCTGTTTTGATGAGTCTCTGACTGGGTGAAAGACACAAATATAACAAATAGTTTTGATCTGACCAACCAAGAACATATCTGCAGAGGTAAGTGCAGATATGATATGACAACATAACACCCACTAATTACCTACCAGAGACAAAACAAACTGATCAAAATCACTCAAATCTACTTCCCCCTAACATTTCTGTCTGGCATGCAGAAGCAGGTTCTGGATGTTTTCCTGCAGGAGAATGCATTGAGCGGGAGGAAGGTGCGTGCGTTTTGAGCTGCTGTCATCATCATCATCAGCATCCTCATCATCAGCCCAAACACAAAGCGCTGCACAGCTTGACCTGGTTTCACTGCAGGATTTGCCCGGTCACTGAGGCTTAAACCATGCATGATGCCATTTGTTTGGCTTACTGAGAGTGGATTCGGCAGGGTTCTGTTTTGAGGAATTCAACGTGTCATGTTCTGATCGACAGTTAGAAGGTAAACAACAACCAATGGATGGATGGTCAGGTGTCCAGAAGAGACGAGGGGGGGGGGGGGCTTTTAAAGTGGCAACTTCGCCGTTTTCCAGCCAATCGACCCACTTAACAAGACTTTGCGGAACAGTGAGAGCACTCTGAACATGATATGCGGGTGGTCTTACCCGTCCGGGGAGTACTCCAGGTTGAACACCGCTCCGTGGGTCTGGGTGCTCAGGTTCACCGACTCCGCCGCAGGATTCATTGAGCAGTACAAACTGGTCATTGTCCTGAAGTTCTCCCTGGCTGGGTCCACAAACACCCCTCGCCTTATAGTCCTGCTCTGCAACCAGGAGAACAGGCTATTCCCCGGGCGGATCTCGCCGCTGGTGCCCTCGCCGCTCCCCGTCTGCGGCGGCGGCGCCGCGGCGGGCGGCTCGCGGCGGGGCTCCCGCTGCTGCGACCCCGCAGACCTGGCGCCGCGCTCCGGCCGGATCCCGCCGCTCCCCGGCGGCGAGGGGGAAACCCCGGGAAGGATTTCATCGTCCGAGTCGTCGATGTCGGGGTCCTCCTCTTTGTCGGAGGCGCCAACGTGGGGCCTGTCCTGCGACTCGTCCGCGTCCTCGCTGTCGCTCTGGTGCTCCGAGCTCATTGTAGCATTCGTCCGCACCGCGTCTACGGCTCTACGGCGAAACTAAAAGTTGACCAGCTCCGGTCACCTCCCCAGCACGAAACCGTGTCTTCGTCCCCCCGTTTATGGTGCCATGGCGGTGGATGTTTTAGCTGCATAGGTTTCGTTTAAATTGTATTTTGTAAGGCTTGGTAGCGCCTCAACTGCGCGCGTCAACACAAACACGGTTAGCTTAAATGCGACCGGAAGAGTACAGGTGTAGCCTTCAAAATAAACTTCCAATTTATATAATTCCTACGTGTTAAATTAGAACAAAACATACTTTTTATAACGTATACTTCTTAGTTACATTTGTATTTATCAATTTCTTATTTTGTTAGTCAGAATATGTACAAATACATTAAATTGTCATCAGAAATATTTTAAGCTGAAGCGTCCAGACGGAAGTTTCCTGTTTACATTTTAACTAACTATTTTTCTCCTCACCAAAACAAACGCAAACTAAAAAATGACGTATTTCCGCTTCCATGTTCACGTTGCGGTGCATTTGTCGGTAGCTTGCTGCCATCTGATGGAACCATGGTGAAAGTGATTTTGTGTGTTACTTTTTTATTATTATTTTATGTCGCAACCGGGCTGTAGTTGTAACCCAGTAATTGTTTCTGGGGAAAATGTCTCATATTCAATTACTTCAGCTATATTGTCAAGACCGTTTTATACTGACTAGATTGACGTCAATTGCCGAGTTGTTTAGCCCCTAACAACGTCCTCTGAGAATCCTCTATGGGTTTAGTGTAACTTCTTTTAATCCTCTTTAGGTTCTTTAACGAAACACAATGAGGATTTACTTGTTCAGTAAACAATTAGAGCAGTTTTAATGCAACCTTAATGACTCATATTCCACATCTCAGCAAAATTGCAACAATATACATATTTCATTTATACATCTTTTATTTAGCCAATGATTTATCTTTCAGATACAATATCTCTCCTGCTGGGCAGTCAAAAAATGCGGAGTATAAGATCATTCAAAAGATGTCTGCAGGGACCCACCTTTCAGGTGCCGGGCCAGATGTGTCTGCAGGAAGTGTAGCGGTTGTACTCTTTCTTGCGTTGTGTTGTTAAAATCACCACCAGGACACGGACCACATTCGGCTCGGATCGGCCGTTTATTGTGTGACGTTAAGGCACCTGGCGAACACACAGAAGTTAAGTCCTCAGAAGGAACCTCGTGGCATCACAACAGTTACACACCCTGCAGCAGACTAACTTTTTAGCTACAGGGTGTCGCACCCACGTCCGCAGGGACCCACTAGAGGGCACCCACGTGACACCCTGTCATGACTCTTAGCGATGGCAAGTGGAGTCAAACACCTGTTACAGAAGCGCGAGATGTTACCACAGACACACACATAATGACAGTTTGGGTTGTGGTACGCATGGTGGCGTGTTGATGTGCGCCTCGACACTGTGACCCGCTGTCTGCCTGTGTGTGGAAAAAGTGCGCCCATTTTGACTTAATCGTGCGCGACACTGTGGAAAATAACAATTCTAATGAACTCATCAAGCCATTACGAATGTGTTTGGTTTCAATCGTGACAACTTGTGGGAGACGAGGTGTTTTACCTGGATTGCAAGTGGCGAGGCGCGCGTTGGGCAAATGAGGCAGCGACGTGCCGGGACGCATTTCTGCAGCAGGGTGGACTTGTCCGACCACGACTACTGCTACGCAAACGTCTTGAAGAGCCCCGAACATGATATCCGGGTGGTCTCACCGGGTGGTCTAAATCTTGCACAGACATGTTCTGGAATACTGTAAATCAGCTGAAGCCTTCCGATGTTGGGAAGTCTGTGACGGGGGGGGTATGTGTACAGAGGATGTGAGTCACCCAATCTCAATGGACTGTACATCTTTGGAGACTTCATGAGTGGGTAAGAGCGCGTTGGATCGAGTACTCCAACTGTTGTGGGAGCAGCTGTCGTGCCTTCTTTATTTATTTATTGAAAATCATCCAAGACCCCGAGTTTATTTAAGTGTGAGTTACAATTTCCCTCTTGTTCTGGCCTCTGCGTCGATCCGATGACGCTCGCCATAACTCCAAGTTCAATCTCGCAGGCGCATCATGGCGTTGGAGGAAGACACGTCCACAGGGGGGCTGGAAGGAGAGGAGTGTGTGTTTGGGCCAAAGGAAGACGTGCTCATTCCCCGGACTCATCAATCGTCACCACAGGTTCATCGTCTCCTCTGCTGAAGATGAAGCAGGTACCGGCGATTCTCACAGAGCGCAGAACTGTATTTTCTGGCCACTGCCCACCCGAGCACCACGTCTCCTCATGGAGCTGTTTTCAAATTCATGGATCGGTCCAGGTGAGGTATCAGACACAGGTTACATTTAACCATGAACCAAACAGGGAAACCACAAATGATCAGTAAAAAACACGATGATAAGTGGGAAATGTTTAGTTTTCTTTAGATTTTCCAGTCAAGTTTGGTGTTATTCAACATGTTTTTGCTCTTTGCAGAAGAGCTCCTCCAGGAAAATGTAAGCAGAAGCCGCTGCCTGTCAAGAGTCGGGAGGAAAAAGGTTCCTTTTGTGGAGAATGTAAGTCATGTAGGATATTAGAAACAAATAGACAATCCGGTTCATAAAATTAATAAAAATGCATATAGTGTACACCAGAATACAGCCATGATTCTGAAACTGTGTAATCAATAAAGTAATGACAATATTGTAAAACCACTGTAATTCTGAAACTGTACTAGAATAATACCAATGCAGTTATGATTGTATTTGATGTAATGTAATCAACTGGAATGCATGCATGTAATACTTGAACAACAACTGCTATTGACTAAGGATCATTCGAAATCCGAGTTACATTGAACTCACCAGAAGACCACTCCCAGAGGTGTGGACACTAACTTTCACACCTTTAAGCATTGGTATAAATACCTGTAGGAACCATTGTTCTGGAGTTCACTGGTGGAGGCGACAGACGGGCACTATGGGGGGTCAAAGGACTGACCTGGGGCCTGTTGGTCGCTGAGACCAGCGGCTCCTCAGCTGAGATGTTCTTTTTACCACAACACCATCTCTTTTATTAAATACATTTGATTTGAACCTTTTGATCAGCGATGACCTCTGTCCGTCCGGCGTTTCTTCATTTTTGACAGTCACCTCAGTGGACTTTTCCATGTTTAAAACTTAATGTAACACTTTATGACCTTTTGAAGGATAAACGCATTTTGTTCATTCAGGCCTGGTTTTTGGAGCATAGCTTTGAATCTCAACATATTTGAGCGCAGAGTAGCGAGTAGAAGTGTGATATTGGGACTCAAATGAAAAACCTACTAGACCTTCACCACCGAGAAAATCCAAACTCACCCCCAAACCAACGAGAAATCAGCTGATGAGAAAAATAAATACATGAATAAACTTCTGAGAATGCAGCGAGCTCACACACAAAGAAGAAACCATGTGAGACAGAAAAGCAGGGAACCATCAACAGACGCCTCAAAAACAAATCTCAGGTTATGAGAAAGAAACATAAAAAGCACTTTCAAATTTGTATTTGTTGAATGTTTGTGATCAGTGTGATCAGACTTTTTTAAAGGAATAACTTGAGATCTTTAGAAATACCGACTGATCCCACTCACGTGACCTTGCATCTGATTTATTACCTCAGTAAACATTCTAAACATGTGTTAATGGTCTCAATCCGCAGTTTGTAGCATTGTTCATTTCGTCGACGAAAACTATGACGAAAATCTTTCGTTAACGAACCTTTTTTCCATGACTAAGACGAGACTGAGACGTGACGAAAACGATCTTAAAAAATAAAAACTATGACTAAATCCATTCTAACTTTCATTAACGAGACGAGACGAGAGGAACATGTTGGTGGTTGACGAAGTCACGATACTTTTTTCCCCCTAAATTCGCCCGCAGCTGACAAGACAACAGACCGGCAAAGTACGGCGGATATTAACGCGTCATGATGACGTCATCCACGAACCCAGAACGCGCGCGCACAGCGGTGGTTCTTGTGCACCGACTGCGGACCGCGACGACTATTTTACGCTTCGGCGAGTTTGAACGTGGCTTCGTTAGTTTAGCTCGGCTGTCTCGGGTTAGCTGCCTGTTAGCGGGCTGAAACCGCGCTGCTTCACAGAAACACGAAGAAACGTTTAAAGACTGTCGGACCTTTCTGCTCTGTTCTCTGGCGACGCTCCGTCACAAACGCGTCTAACGTAAAAAACTCATTGCAGGTTCTGAAGCCTCACGCATTTCAACTATAGTTCACGCGCCACATCGTGAGAAGACGGCGTTAAACCGTCTCGGCCACCGTACGTTCGTTACTAAGCAACGTAGAGGCGCGCACACGTGACAGGTGTGTCGCCTGAGGCCGTGTCAAAAGCGTTGCAAGTAAACAGACAAAGACAACAAAGTGTTGCGTTTAGATCCCTGGTCCTCATCAAGTTGTTACACCTTTGCCAATTTGTTAAATTGCCTTGCAAATAAATGCTTTGCTATTTGTTAAAATCCAAATCCTTTCATGTAATATTTTTCACATGTCATTTATATCAGCTCACACAAACACTTCAACCATTTGTTCTTGGCCCGGCTGCTCCGTCACATTTTACAACCCATTGTGGCCCGCGAGTCAAAACGTTTGCCGACCCTCCTATAGACCTGTCCTAGGAGGGACATCTATAGACCTGTCCTAGGAGGGACATCTATAGGCCTGTCCTAGGAGGGACATCTATAGACCTGTCCTAGGAGGGACATCTATAGGCCTGTCCTAGGAGGGACATCTATAGACCTGTCCTAGGAGGGACATCTATAGGCCTGTCCTAGGAGGGACATCTGATGGACAACCAAGTACTGCAAGCTGGACTATTATGCAGTTGTAGACACAACAGAGGGGGTCCCTGGGCCTGAGAAGGGAAGAAAAGGAGTTTAATATGGCTATTTAATGTGACTAAAACTAGACTAAAACAATTACATTTTAGTCTAGTTTTCGTCAACTAAAACTAGACTAAAACTAAGAAGGATTAAAATGACAAAATGTGACTAAAACTAATATGCATTTTTCGTCTAAAGACTAAGACTAAATCAAAAATAGCTGCCAAAATGAACACTGGTTTGTAGACTACAAAACTAACTAAGCAATAAAGGAAAAAAGTGTAACTAGTCCTTTAAAGAAAAACACAACTGTTGTAACCAGACCAAAGCCTGGTGTTTGAATGCTCTAATTTTACATGCAGGTGTTAGAAAATACACACTGGAAGGTGTCTGTCTGCGTGTGTGTCTCTGCAGCTCTCTGTAATTAAACTGCACACCACTGATCCTACCAGTGACTTACACGACTGCTGTAAATGTAAAGACAAACCCACTGAGACGAGCAGCTGTGCACCCAGATGTTACCCCAGGCTCTCAATCCAAGTCTTGAGACTGACATTATGGCTTTTATAGTTACTGGAACGAGGCATGAAATGCTATCGTCGTGGTTACGTGACGGTTTGTGCTTTTGTAACACACAATGACATAAACATTTCATAACAGCCTGACGTGACAGACATGTGGTACCACTTGTACGATGACATGACACAATCTCGCTGAGCTGTCACATCTCATGTTATGGTACAATAAAACATTTACTACGATAAGAGCTTTTTATTTTCTTGGGAGCGTTCCGACTTCTGTAGTTTGTTTTTTCGTCGTGTCGCGTCTTTTATTTTCTCCTGCAGCTTGAAGACACGTAGTCGGGGGGGTTGGAGTCTCCCCACGTGTGAAATTACTACATGCTACAATACAATTATACAGCCGAACTCCGCTCAGCAGATGGAATGCAGTACGTCCTGCGTCACCGTGGCAACAGAGGAAGCCTTCAGAACCCCTTCAGGATCTGTGACTGAGCACTAAGAGTCTATTTCGGTCAATTCTGATCTAAGAACTCAACAAATTATTGGCCAAATAATAACAAAACGGGGATTAGAATGATTTATTAAAGCCACATTTAAAATAAAAAGCTCCACCATGAATCACATTGATCAACATAAGAGAAAAAAACCTTTAAAAATCATAAAACGCATGTTATTTTAAAAGGATTCAAACATTTCTCAACCTAACATTTTTTTCAATTTATTTCCTGACATTTATTGAGCCAATAGTTTGGGGATTTTTAAGAAATATTTTCCATGACATTTTGACCAAAAAGACTTGATTTTTGCATTCGATTTTTTTTACTTTTGTTCTTCCATGATATTTTTCTACCAAGCATATTTTCCTTTATTCTTGCAGACACCAAGACTTAGAACAAGTCCTAATTTTCCCTTTATGTTTGGTAATTATAGATGGTACCATTCCGATGTCCCTTAGTTTGCCTGGAAATTAAGTACCAATGATAAAACCGTTTATCCACAAAAATAGATTCAGCAGAATTCTTGTTTTTATCAAACCAGAAGTTGTTGTTGCCCAGCAGAGATGCAGGAATAATTTCAGACCTTTCTTATTGTATTAAAGACAGTTTAATCACTTTTGTTAATAGAAGCATGTATTTTCAGGATTTAATGACCAGTGGGAATGTTGTTGGGCCTCCTACGTCATCCATTTATGTGATTTTAGTGTGGACCAACTGGGTGATTATAGCGTGATAATAAGTTTGTTAGGATGCATTTAACTCCCCGACTCCGTTTCATCAACGGTTGATCTTGTACACCACATCTCCGACCTGCAGGATCCCCGTCGTCTTCACGTTGTGCAGCTGTCCGAACAACGGGGAGGATTTGTAGATGTGCCTCTCGGACGGTTTGCACACGCGATAGCTGGGAAGGAATCGCAGACACAAAGTCATTCCGGTGGGAAATATTTGAGTCTTCAGGTCCATTTGGGTCAGTTGTCTTATGAGCCATTGCCGAAGACAAATGCCTAAGTAAACTAAAAAGTGGGTTAAACAGAAATATGTCATGCAATATTTAAATTTGCATGCAATTTAAAAAAAAGGTTAAATATGAACCCATACTAAATAATAGTTAAAACTTTACCCCTTCAGTGTTTCCAGAGGCTCCTTTCTGGTGTATACACCCGTTTCTGGGTTAATGGTAATGATGCTGCACCTGGAAACAACCAACGGTTACAAGTGAGTATGAATGCAGCCTGATGACCACAAATCTCTGCACACTGATCACAAAATAAAGCCTTCTAACATAAAACAAACAGGACAAGAGAACAAAAAGAAAACGGCCCCAGTGAAGGTACTTTGGATGAATTGTTTTTGATAAACAAAGCGATTCGGCCTCTGAATAAACTGAGTGTGAAGCAGGAGCCGCGTTACCGTCCACACGACATTGCGCGCTGCAGTCGCACGCTGCCGATCTGGATCTCTTCCCACGAGTCCTGCAAAAAAAAAAAAGCCAAGCAGTTGGGTTTTTCTGGTCAAAATTAGTCAACACTAAAAAGGTTACGGGATTAGTCAGAAGTGAAAAGGACCAAATGATCATTTAGAAAACCTTGTGTGCTGTAGTGTAGAGAAACCACAGATCTGTCCATCAGAGACCTTTCGTGGTTCAAAGTGAACTTTGCACGATCGCCTAGATAGTTTTTTTATATTTGTTCCTGAAATTGGAGCAACATTTCCAGATGGGAGCGACGCACCTCGTCGAACGCTTCACAGTCACTGACGACAATGTTCGGGCGGAATCGCTCCACCGTGACTTCCTGCTCCAATTTGCTGCTCAGGTCCTTGACAGAAGACTCGGACAGCAGCATCACAGGTCCCATGCCTGCGTAGGCCACCTCCTGCAACGATCACAGATCTCCTGTGTGCAGCAAGGCTTAAAAAGATTTACAAACATACCAAACACCTTACAACATACAGGTAAAGCGCCATTTCACTAAATGAGTCACGCAAAAGTGGGGCCTTGTTTACCTCCGTCGGCGGGGGGAAAGGCTTGCTCTCCTCCGCCTTCCTGCCCTTCATCTGGGGTTCAAAGTGCACCAGGCGAAAGGTGTTCTCCTCCCCGAGGTAGCGGGTGAGCCAGCGAGACGTCTCGTCGCCGCAGTCTCTTCCCTGGATGTCTTCTCCAAACAACCTGCACGACGACCACAAAACCAAGCATTCACAGCGGTGTGGAAACAGAGTAGTTCTGTGGTTTAAAACAAGTGTCACCGACATCTAAAGTATCTATGATGATGAAGCAAAATGAGTCAGATTTTTATAATCATTAATCTCCAAGAAAGAAGAGACAAATATTCACTGAGTCTCATGTTTCCATAGGAGACAGACAAAACAAGGACCTTGTACTTTTACAAGACGCAACTGATTTGACTTTTTTTTAAAAGATAAAATAATTCTTGCTTAACAAGAAAATAATCAATAGAATCTTGAGCATACGTTTATCTTCTGTATCCTTTTTAATATTTTTTTTAAGTTGACTATTTTTCTTTCTGGTCAAACTGCAGACAAATGTCTCTCCACGCAGTAGATCATCAAATAGTGAAAAACAAAGCAAACAAGTAAAACAAACAATGGATTCAGTGGGAGACGATTGGCGCTCAAACATGGCGTGACACCTGCAGCCGGTCACTCTGTTGTCGGCCTGTTTGATGGGGAATCTCAGCTCCTCCATGTCGGGCCCGTTCAGGCACACGCGACCTCCCTCGCAGGTCAGGGACACCAGCACCAGACGGGGCTGCTGTCGGGCCGTCACCATGTGGCCGTCCTCGGTCACCACCAGCCAGTGACTGCGACCAGAAAGCAGAACAGAGACGGGGGTTTCCCCTCAGGCGCACCATTTGGCATCGCTGGTTCGATTCCAGCAACGAGGTGCCCGCTGCGACTCTAGCAGCGTTTCGAAAAAGGGACGTTGCACGTTGTCATGGCTACGCCGGTGCCGCCGACTCATCTGTAAATGCCAGATATATATTGACATGTATTTTTATCCACTGGTTAGGAAATAGATCTGAGGAAATAGTGTTTCTGCAAAAGAGACGGCAGAAGTGAGCCTTACAGTTTCATTAAATCTGGCATTTTCTTTTGTACTTTCCTTCTTATGTTATCAAAGTTTGGGCAGTTAAATTAAATATGGGCACAATAAGCATCAGTTTAATCTGGTAAAACATGTAATATTTGGTACATTTCATTTCATTCAAATAAACAGTGGTAACATATTGAAAAGTGTTGACATTTCTATTACCAACCTATTAGCCATTTGGCCTGCCTGCAAGACTAAAGATGAAGTTTTTCAAGTTAATAAAAACCAATTTAAAACACAAATATTTAAGTGAAACAGCACAGCGAGTTTTTAAGCATAAGATGGCCTGGTTGCTGTTTAAGAACCATCTCAACAAAAGTATTAAAGGAAGATACCGCAGAGCCATATAGTATTCTTTGTTTATCCAAAGTTTGCTGGACTAAAAGTACCAAAAGTAATATTCATGACACAGCAGACTGTTTCACTACGGAGCAAAGTCCCAACTTGGTGCAAACAAATGAGAGCGAGAGGAGAAAGCAGAAGAAGGCGCCCGAGGAGGAGAAGGAGAAGGAGGAGGAGGTGGTGCTGGTGCTGGTGATGATGGAGGAGGAGGTGCAGCTCTCACCGGTCCTGCAGGTCGCCGAGCTTCAGCCCTTTGGGTTGGCACTCCGCCAGCGCCACGGACACGGCTTTGCCGGACTTCAGCGGGTGGATGAGCAGCTTGGACACGACTCCCACGCGCACGGCCTCCTCCGGCTTCTTCCACAGGTACTTGTATCCGAGGCCGACGAGACCCAGAGCCGCCGCCGCCGCCGCGCCGGCGCCCAAGAGAAGGGAAGAAGAAGAAAAAGAAAGTCTCCTGGTCGACTCCATGTTGGACGGGTTGCGACTCCTAAAGCCTCAGAACTCGGAACCGCGACTTAAAAAAAAGACGTTGCGCGCTGTGCGGTCAGGTACACGTGCGCACCTGCTGCTCCGGGGGGAAACGGCGCGTGGGAGGTCACGTGTGTGCGATTGACGTTTAACTTTTAGGAGTTAAGCAGCTGGATGTGAAGCCCCGCCCCTTCCGGGAGAACACTGCGACCTTCGGTGGGTCGATACGTGGTGGTCAACTGGGAAAAAACAACACAACGTTTGATCCCTTTTTAATCGTTCCTTGAATTATACATAGAAAGTTTGTAAATGTATTGTATTATTCAGTTTTATTTTGTGATGAAAATGTAATCGATCCGAGTTCGAGCTGTGGTTCTGCAGAGGGAAGCCAATGATTTATTAAAGCCACATTTAAAATAAAAAGCTCCACCATGAATCACATTGATCAACATAAGAGAATAATAAACATTAAAAATCATAAAATGCATGTTATTTTAAAAGGATTCAAACATTTCTCAACCTAACATTTTTTTCAATTTATTTCCTGACATTTATTGAGCCAATAGTTTGGGGATTTTTAAGAAATATATCCATGACATTTTGACCAAAACTACTTGACTTTTGCATTCGATTTTTTTACTTTTGTTCTTCCATGATATTTTTCTACCAAGCATATTTTCTTTTATTCTTGCAGACACCAAGACTTAAAACAAGTCCTAATTTTTCTTTTATGTTTGGTAATTATAGATGGTACCATTCCGATGTCCCTTAGTTTGCCTGGAAATTAAGTACCAATGATAAAACCGTTTATCCACAAAAATAGATTCAGCAGAATTCTTGTTTTTAATCAAACCACAAGTTGTTGTTGCCCAGCAGAGATGCAGGAATAATTTCAGACCGTTCTTATTGTATTAAAGACAGTTTAATCACTTTTGTTAATAGAAGCATGTATTTTCAGGATTTAACGACCAGTGGGAATGTTGTTGGGCCTCCTACGTCATCCATTTATGTGATTTTAGTGTGGACCAACTGGGTGATTATAGCGTGATAATAAGTTTGTTAGGATGCATTTAACTCCCCGACTCCGTTTCATCAACGGTTGATCTTGTACACCACATCTCCGACCTGCAGGATCCCCGTCTTCTTCACGTTGTGCAGCTGTCCGAACAACGGGGAGGATTTGTAGATGTGCCTCTCGGACGGTTTGCACACGCGATAGCTGGGAAGGAATCGCAGACACAAAGTCAATCCGGTGGGAAATATTTGAGTCTTCAGGTCCATTTGGGTCAGTTGTCTTATGAGCCATTGCCGAAGACAAATGCCTAAGTAAACTAAAAAGTGGGTTAAACAGAAATATGTCATGCAATATTTAAATTTGCATGCATTTTTAAAAAAAAAGGTTAAATATGAACCCTTGCTAAATAATAGTTAAAACTTTACCCCTTCAGTGTTTCCAGAGGCTCCTTTCTGGTGTATACACCCGTTTCTGGGTTAACGGTGGTGAGGAGGCACCTGGAAACAACCAACGGTTACAAGTGAGTATGAATGCAGCCTGATGACCACAAATCTCTGCAGGATTTTAAAAGGACAAAATAAAGCCTTGTAACGTAAAACAAACAGCACAAGAGAACAAAAAGAAAACGGCCCCAGTGAAGGTACTTTGGATGAATTGTTTTTGATAAACAAAGCGATTCGGCCTCTGAATAAACTGAGTGTGAAGCAGGAGCCGCGTTACCGTCCACACGACATTGCGCGCTGCAGTCGCACGTTGCCGATCTGGATCTCTTCCCACGAGTCCTGCAAAAAAAAGCCAAGCAGTTGGTTTTGCTTTCTTGGTCAAAATTAGTCAACACCCCTCACACTAAAAAGGTTACGGGATTAGTCAGAAGTGAAAAGGACCAAATGATCATTTAGAAAACCTTGTGTGCTGTAGTGTAGAGAAACCACAGATCTGTCCATCAGAGACCTTTCGTGGTTCAAAGTGAACTTTGCACGATCGCCTTGATAGTTTTTTTATATTTGTTCCTGAAATTGGAGCAACATTTCTAGATGGGAGCGACGCACCTCGTCGAACGCTTCACAGTCACTGACGACAATGCTCGGGCGGAATTGCTCCACCGTGACTTCGTGCTCCAATTTGCTGCTCAGGTCCTTGACAGAAGACTCGGACAGCAGCATCACAGGTCCCATGTCTGCGTAGGCCACCTCCTGCAACGATCACAGATCTCCTGTGTGCAGCAAGGCTTAAAAAGATTTACAAACATACCAAACACCTTACAACATACAGGTAAAGCGCCATTTCACTAAATGAGTCACGCGGAAGTGGGGCCTTGTTTACCTCCGTCGGCGGGGGGAAAGGCTTGCTCTCCTCCGCCTTCCTGCCCTTCATCTGGGGTTCAAAGTGCACCAGGCGAAAGGTGTTCTCCTCCCCGAGGTAGCGGGTGAGCCAGCGAGACGTCTCGTCGCCGCAGTCTCTTCCCTGGATGTCTTCTCCAAACACCCTGCAGGAAAACAACAAAACCAAGCATTCACAGCTCTCAATAGCTAAAAACAAAGCAAACAAGTAAAACAAACAATGGATTCAGTGGGAGACGATTGGCGCTCAAACGTGGCGTGACACCTGCAGCCGGTCACTCTGTTGTCGGCCTGTTTGACGGGGAATCTCAGCTCCTCCATGTCGGGCCCGTTCAGGCACACGCGACCTCCCTCGCAGGTCAGGGACACCAGCACCAGACGGGGCTGCTGTCGGGCCGTCACCATGTGGCCGTCCTCGGTCACCACCAGCCAGTGACTGCGACCAGAAAGCAGAACAGAGACGGGGGTTTCCCCTCAGGCGCACCATTTGGCATCGCTGGTTCGATTCGAGCAACGAGGCACCGAACGTGCCCGCCGCGACTCTAGCAGCTTTTCGAAAAAGGGACGTCGCGCGTTGCCATGGCTACGCCGGTGCCGCCGACTAATCCGTAAATGCCAGATTTATATTGACATGTATTTTGATCCACTGGTTAGAAAATGGATCTGAGGAAATAGTGTTTCTGCAAAAGAGACGGCAGAAGTGAGCCTTACGGTTTCATTAAATCTGGCATTTTCTTTTGTACTTTCCTTCTTATGTTATCAAAGTTTGGGCAGTTAAATTAAATATGGGCACAATAAGCATCAGTGTAATCTAGTAAAACATGTAACATTTGGTACATTTAATTTTCAAATAAACTATGATAACATATTGAAAAGTGTTGACATTTCTATTACCAACCTATTAGCCATTTGGCCTGCCTGCAAGACTAAAGATGAAGTTTTTCAAGTAAATAAAAACCAATTTAAAAACACAAAATAATTTAAGTGAAAACAGCAACAGCAAGTTTTTAATGCATTAGATGTAGGGCTGCAACTAACGATTATTTTGATAACCGATTAATCGGTCGATTATTTCTTCGATTAATCGGATTTTTTTTAAAACGGCATTAAAAAGCTTTAATTTCAAACCGTTTATTCTAAAACAGAACCTCAAATTCGTCAGAACTAGTTCTCTATACTACACTCACAAACACACCCTCATGTTCACTTGAAGCATATTCATTAAATTAAATCATTGTAGTGCAGGTTAAGTAAATGCATACAGCTACAAAACAACCAAGTGCTATGAGATGAATTTAAAATGGCATTTGTAAATAAATGCATTAGAGGCTTCTTAGTTGATTTAATGGATCATGTGTCTCCCTTTACAGGCATAACATCAACTACCGTATAACCCACAGTATATGCGCAAGCGCACTGGACTACCATATATGACAGCATTAAAAAGTACAACACACACAAATATATTTGTCAACAATAACCGATATGGGACCAAGCACAAAATATCAGACAACACATTGAAAAGTGAATGGTCCAAACGAGGCGACTAAATAAAAACGTGTCTTAGTCTTGCTAACTGCTTTACTGCTGTTATTAGCGAGCTAACGCTAGCTTGATCAGCTGGATGACGAGTAAACAGGAGGCTTGTTACGTCCCTCACGTCAAAACGGGACAACGTGGACCGGGACCCCCACGCTCGCACACCTTAGACGACTAGTCGAACAGACGTCTCTCCCTGCGTCATGTGACTCACAACAACTGCCGGCTGCTCTTTCCTCTACGTCGGCTCGGCGCCTTTATTTCTATTTTTGCTCCGCGCGCATCTCCGCAACTCATCGAGTGACGTAATAATCGCGCGACACAACGAATCGATAATGAAATTCGTTGCCAACGCTTTTAATAATCGATTTTATCGATTCGTTGTTGCAGCCCTAATTAGATGGCCTGGTTGCTGTTTAAGAACCATCTCAACAAAAGTATTAAAGGAAGATACCGCAGAGCCATATAGTATTCTTTGTTTATCCAAAGTTTGCTGGACTAAAAGTACCAAAAGTAATATTCATGACACAGCAGACTGTTTCACTACGGAGCAAAGTCCCAACTTGGTGCAAACAAATGAGAGCGAGAGGAGAAAGCAGAAGAAGGCGCCCGAGGAGGAGAAGGAGGAGGAGGAGGAGGTGGTGCTGGTGATGATGGAGGAGGAGGTGCAGCTCTCACCGGTCCTGCAGGTCGCCGAGCTTCAGCCCTTTGGGTTGGCACTCCGCCAGCGCCACGGACACGGCTTTGCCGGACTTCAGCGGGTGGATGAGCAGCTTGGACACGACTCCCACGCGCACGGCCTCCTCCGGCTTCTTCCACAGGTACTTGTATCCGAGGCCGACGAGACCCAGAGCCGCCGCCGCCGCGCCGGCGCCCAAGAGAAGGGAAGAAGAAGAAAAAGAAAGTCTCCTGGTCGACTCCATGTTGGACGGGTTGCGACTCCTAAAGCCTCAGAACTCGGAACCGCGACTTAAAAAAAAGACGTTGCGCGCTGTGCGGTCAGGTACACGTGCGCACCTGCTGCTCCGGGGGGAAACGGCGCGTGGGAGGTCACGTGTGTGCGATTGACGTTTAACTTTTAGGAGTTAAGCAGCTGGATGTGACCCCGCTGCAGCGAAGCCCCGCCCCTTCCGGGGGAACACTGCGACCTTCGGTGGGTCGATACGTGGTGGTCAACTGGGAAAAACAACACAACGTTTGATCCCTTTTTAATCGTTCCTTGAATTATACATAGAAAGTTTGTAAATGTATTGTATTATTCAGTTTTATTTTGTGATGAAAATGTAATCGATCCGAGTTCGAGCTGTGGTTCTGCAGAGGGAAGCCAATGATTTATTAAAGCCACA